CGCTCTTTTCTTCGCTACCCCTTTGGCACCTATTCCTAATTGGTGCTCCGGTCTACTGCATAGCTCCACCAGCCCGGGTTATATGGTTGGTTCGTGACAAATATGCTTGACTTATTGAGAACGCTGAGGGTAACTGCACTCTGGTGTCTCAAGTTAAAGTTAGGTTAGTCTCTTGGGCAATTCCGTCCTCAAGATTCAAAATTCGTTACCGTGTAGTTCAATTTCAATGTATTCCCCCCTTTTTGCTCCTTCTCCTTTGTAAACAATGCAAGGAATTGAAGGAGAGGTGTCCTAGGTGACGGTGGTTCGCATGTGCCTCGGCAAGTTTCGGTCCCACTTCACACTCCCGGCAGGCAAGCTGGCCCTAAACAGTCTAGCCAGCGCCACTCAGTGGGCAACCTCGGCACAAGGTCAACGGCAGTCCGTCGCGGCGCCCCAGCTTCCCCAGTTTCTCGGCTGCCCGCTTCCCCAGATGTCTCAATATCTAGCGCAGCTTCATCCACCTTGGTCTCCTTTGTCTTCTCACCAGTGGTTTCGGCATTCTATGCATTTTAGCCTTCTTAGACTTTGATACCGCATTCGCTTATTTCTCCCTCGGCAGACAGACACCATGGCTTCTCCTCGTAAGTCTGGACACCCGGGCAAGCAACACGTCTTGCTTTAATTGTCGCCAGATTTCGGTACCTATGCTAATCAGCTGTCCCGCAGAACAAATCCGGACCGATGTTACGGATCTTTTCAAGATCAACCATCCTATCCTGCTGGCGGGCATGAACGTAGCTGCCGGTCCCAAGCTGGCAGCGGCCGTCACAAACGCCGGCGGTCTTGGTGTGCTGGGTGGCATCAATTACACCCCCGACATGCTAAGAGACCAGATCGATGAGCTCAAGTCGCACCTCATTGACAAGAACGCGCCCTTTGGCGTCGACCTCTTGCTGCCCCAGGTCGGTGGGAATGCCCGGAAAACAAAGTAGGGCCCCGTCCCCCTCAACAGTACCATCCCCCGCTGACGTGTTTCGCCGCCTAGCTACGACTACACCAAGGGCAAGCTCAATGAGCTGATAGACATCATTATCGAGTCGGGCGCCAAGCTCTTCGTTTCGGCCGTTGGTGTGCCCCCAAAGCATGTGGTTGAGAAGCTGCACAAGAACGGTATTGTCTACATGAACATGATTGGGCACCCCAAGCACGTCAAGAAGTGCCTCGATCTGGGTTGTGACATCATCTGTGCCCAGGGCGGCGAAGGCGGAGGCCACACCGGCCACGTACCGACGACGGTCCTCATCCCCGCCGTCGTCGACCTTTGCAAGGGCTACAAGTCTCCCCTGACTGGCAGGCCTGTTCAAGTTATCGCTGCGGGCGGCATCCACAACGGCCAGCTGTTGGCGGCGGCGCTAATGATGGGCGCCAGCGCCGTCTGGGTCGGCACGCGCTTTGTCCTGTCCGAAGAGGCCGGTGCCCCCGAGGCGCACAAGGAGGCTGTGAAGACGGCGAGCTTCGACGACACGGTCCGCACTGTCATCTTCACCGGCCGCCCGCTGCGGGTACGCAAGAACCCTTACATCATGAACTGGGAGGAGGAGCGGCAGCAGGAGATCAAGGAGCTCACATCCAAGGGCAAGATACCCTACGAGGCGGATCTTGACCGCATTATGTCGGGAGACGCTGCAGAGTCGCCCGTCGCGAAGGCAGCAGGCCTGGACAAGGCGGGTGGCGGTGGAGAGGAAGAGGTTGATGTCGACGAGCTCCTCGACCAGTTCCGCCCCTTCCTCATGGGCCAGTGCGCCGCGGTCGTCAATGAGAAGAAGACGGCCAAGGAAATCGTCGACGAGTTTATCACCGATGCCGTCGCCAGCATTAAGAAGGGCAATAAGACGCTCGCCAAGTTGTAGTGGGCGATGGAATGGTAAAAGCAACCGTGTCTTTCAGTTAAAGCGGCTTGTGGTGTATTGATAGCGTCTGTCTTCCCGTAGTTATGAGTCTGGTTGTGATTCTGAAATACCATTGTTTGTGGCGTCTCTCTGGTTGCAACATTATATATTGCTTGTGCGTTATTGTCCGAGGGGCTGAAGGGAGTTAGAGGGTTCAATGTAGTGGATTGACTGGGCTACTGCTGAAGAAGTAGAGGAGCAAAAGTCCAAGGCCAACGTACGGCTAGCAAAAGGGGCAGTGTGACTGGCTGAGGTAAGCAGTGTAGGCTAGGTTGGCCCACACAAGAGTCATTCAAATACCGCGACTATCTCCGAAATACCCGCAGGGCCGAGCATCTACTCGGTGCTTGGGATCAGGATCGGACGGACTGTGGGCTCAGGACTCCTGAGCTGGATTTTGAGACAGGCCCTCCTGCGCATCAGGCCTGTCATGAATCTCGAGGACAGTCGTTGATACCCGAGCGTCAATACTGAGGGTCACTGTGCCAAGCAATCCGGGTTTGAATTGCTGTATGTACCTGTAGGGTTGACAATCAACTTTAGGAATGCCCGGGCCGGAGCCGGAGAAGTGGATCCCGGCCCGGCCGGCTACTAGCGCCGGAAGTGGCCGTCTGCCTTCGGGACGCATGAGCCAAGCCGCCCGGTACAACTTGGTGGGTTCCAAGCTCGCTAAGTACGGGAGGTCAAATGCATACGTGGGTTTTCTGACGCCAATGTACAAAAGTAACAAATGTCTTGCCCTGTCTAATAAGCGTTGTTGATTCAGGTAACTGAGGTAAGTAATTCCGTCGTATGCCCCTAAGTTTACGGAGTAACAGTACCGTAACTGATACAGTAATTTACAATGTACGGTCCGGCACCTGCCGGTGCGATTCGCATCACCAATCCAAGCATTTCTCGCTAACATTAGCTTGGAATTCTAGGCCAACAGGAGCCGTGACGTAGGAGGCTATTTTTGGAGAGCTCTCCTGCTCATTCTCCAACATCGCTCAGTCTCATAAAACCGACACCTTTTGTCTGTCTTCACAGCAACGTTTTGATCCTGCATTCAAAGCTTTACGAAACTTGGCCGATTCATAATTCAATAGTGCCGAAAACACGGTAAAGATGCCTCCGCAGCTCGGTGACAATCCTTCCTACCGAGATGAGGAAAACGACGACGAGGAGCGCGACCTGCTCGACGAGGGCCGTCGACGAGCGGGACGCATTTTAGGTGGCTTCATTGATTTCGCCTTTCAAGGCAACGTCCTCGAGATTGCATTTGGCCTGATTCTCGCGTCAATGTTCACTGCTGTCGTCACTTCCTTTGTCAGCGATATCCTGCTGCCCCCGCTCTCTGTGCTGCTGCCGCTGAACAAGAATTTGGAGGAGAAGTTCGCCGTGCTGCGAGCCGGCCCGAATGAGCCTTCTGATGGCGGGTATAACACGCTGAAGCAGGCGCAGGAGGATGGCGCCGTTGTGATGGCTTACGGGTAAGTGTCCTTTCATGCCTCGCTCACTCGGCCCATCTGGGGGCTTGCTTTGCTTACCTCTTGAACATAGATTCTTTGTTAACCGACTTTTGAATTTCATGGGCGTCGGGTTTTCACTGTATGGCCTGGCGGCGCTGTACCAATATCTCTCGAAAGATCCCATCATCAAGCACACGGTCAAGTGCCGGTACTGCCGTAAGAGGATTAACGACAAGGTGGGTGAAACAAGTGGGCTGACGAGTTCTGGCTGACATGGACATAGGCTTTGCGTTGCGTCAATTGCAGCAGCTGGCAAGACGGCAGGGAGGATCGGACTTAGGGTAAGTGGCTTTGGCTTCCTCACGGGATGAGATTGGCGGCATCTGACTACCACCCTCATTGTGTACAATTTCACTGACTGAAACAGTGCCTGGCAGCTAGGCTTTAGATTTACATGGATATCGTGGGATATATAGATTGTACAGTGTCCAACTTCCCGTCATTGTCCACACCTCAGTTCGTTAGATCAAAAGAGCGCCGCCAAGCAAGGCAGCTGCTCCCAGAACGGCGGCGTTTTGAGTGGCACGCGGCACACCTCCGGTACTCGAGCTTGAGCTTGCGCCGCCGGTTTGGGTCCCAGTACCTCCAGCCCCGGTACTCGTCACGGACCCGGTACCCGACGACGACCCAGTTGCCGTGAGCTTCTCTGCGCCTGCGGTAACAGTTACACTGAAGAACCACGACGAGGTCGAGGTACCGCTATACGTTGACGTAGCAGCATTCGAGGTTCCGTTCGCTTCGATTGTGGTGGCGCACACCATGCTCGAAGGTTGAATGTTGCACGCTTCATTATAAGTCCTGTAGAGTGTCAGCTGGTTCCGACATGGTGTTAGAATGGCGCGAGCACTCACGACGAGGGGTTGGTGTCCGTATAGCGAAAGACCATGGTCGACGGACCGTATAGCAAGGAGACGCCTTCTGGAATAGTACACTCCTCATCGGTGTTGGTGGGGCAGGGAATCAGGAAGGATGTTCCGGTGGGGTTGACCTCGACGACGGAGCCGGACATGCCAGTCGTATCGGCATCTGGCACCATGACCGTGACCACGGTGGAGGAGGGGTTGGCGGTTAGCGTGCCGGTGGTTTGGGTGGTGGTGGTTTGGGTGGCGGTGGTTTGGGTGGCGGTGGTTTGGCTGGTGGTGGTTTGGCTGGTGGTAGCTTGGGCTATGGCGCCTGTGGCAAGAATGGCTGCCAGCGACACGGAGAGTCGGACCATGGTGATTGACGGAAGTGGCCGAGGGAGTACAGAGTACAGTGGTAGAATATCAAGTACACGATGTACAACAAAAGATGATCTCGGAGTCGGGTGCAGTCCGAACGCGCTGCTCCTTGAAGATGGAGGGAACAGAGAGCTGGGCTGCAGGAAGGCAGACAGATGTCCTACTATTTATGACCGCGGTGGGCTTCTCTGAAGGATCAACCTCCCTCATGATGCTTAGCCCCCACTTCAAGATTTCTAGAGTTGGTTGGTTTGTTGTACTTCGTATTGCTTGTGAGGATCGTGTTGGCTGGCGAGGCTAGCTTGTTGTGCATCAAACGGCGGCCGACATAGGAAATTGGCTGGAGGAACTACCTGGGTGGTTGAATCCTGAAAGTCCGAGCAGTTTGTTGAACCCGGCCCCCAAGGTCTGTGTTGTCCAGCATGTTTTGCTGGTGCCTAAGCTATTACCTATACATATACATATGGATATGTGCATGCTTTACTGGAAACTGTGATGTTTATCCATGTGTTGTATTAGGCAGCCGCAAGCCGGGTTTCTCATCCTGAATCTTAGTACGGAGTATGTAGATTCAGTTTGCCCTCATCAGCCTACTTCGAGCCTACCTCGATCGTCGACTGTGCTCTGGAAGGAAGAGCGGTTACGTCTGGAGGAGTATCGAGCACGTGTACAGGGATTATTGTCGTTCGCTACGGATACATACTCCTTCCGCTTCTTCGCCAAAACGTCTATGTGGTTACTGGCAGGGTTCGGGTGTAGCTACTCCGTATCGCCCGGGCCAACTGGGACCGTTCGCACGAAAATTTTGACCGACAGAGACACCCTCTGGGGCTTTTACATAGAGAGATCTTAACAAGTTGACACTGACATCTCCCAGGGCTGCTCACCGCCTGGATTGTCCGGCGGACATTGGCGGTATGTATGTACTACGGTGGCGATGCGGGCCAGCACGGGGACCAAGTTCAAGCAGACAAAACCTGTCTGGCTGAGAGAACGGAAAAATATCTGGAGTTGGGTTATGAATCCTGAATCAGCACTCCCTTTGCGCAGTTGCGATCTGATTCTGGAAAGGCTCTAGAATTCTTAAATCAAGTAAGTAATTAAGGGCCTATGGACAAATCGGATGGACGTGTCGTCGGATTTCTACTTGAAATCGGGCGTCTAATTGACTACGCCAAGCGAAAGGTCAACAAGACGTTAACGTTGCCGACTGAGCTGTCGATAGTCACGCGGCTGGTGGTGCCACTTCGGTTTTAAACCAGTCCCCCAGAATATTCAAGCTGCTATTGTAACTTAGTGTATTTACAGTACAAACATGCACGTATGTTTGTTACAGCCGCATGGAATTTAACGTATTTTTTTATGTACGAATACAATACATACTATACTCAGTACACATGCCCTAGCAAGTGTTTCAGGTAAGAAAAGTGCCAACGCCAAGGAGACGTGGCTTTGGCTTGCTGCCAATCGGACCCTTGTCGATTTAGTGCCCCTGACCACCGCTTGGGCAGCTCGGGTGGGACTCCACCCTTGAGCCAGCGTTGCGCCTCCCTTCCTGCCATACCTAGGTACTCCGTATGTAACATGGCTATACATAGCTTGGGGCTGGTTCCTGCATCCTACACGTGTAGTGTAGGGATTTACCAATAGTATCAGGTTGAGTCAACCGCAAGGTCTCAATGTCAACGACAACCATTGGAAGTGAAAGTGGAAGTGGTGTGCCCGGCGGCTGCAAAGGCTCGACTTCCGCTTGTCGTTCTACCCCGTGACGGCATGTTCAGTCCAGTAGCTGACGAGCTACAGTACATAGCATTAGGTAACGTTAACAAGCGCATGTCCTGGGGAATGATGTGCAACTCTCTTTGACAACCTGTGGAGCGGCTGTAAATATCTGAAGGTTACAAGAAACGAAACACAAATCCATGTCTGGCGTAACATACAGGTACAGTAGTGGAAAAAGGACAGGTCGTGGTGCAACCCGAGAACCAGGTTCGCGAACATGATCGCCGCCCATTGGCTGTCATTGCAGCTTGGCTGGGAATGAGTGGGTTCGAAGTTCCCTCGGTGTGGCTTCTTACGGTAGAATGCAAGGGCAGTCGGCCTGCATCTGATCATCTCCAGGTCCTCCCTTTGCCTCCCTTTCCAAATCTCTTTCCCCGCCATCCAGACCACTGTCTCGGTCTCTCAGTAGCTTTTTCTCTCTTTTCGCGTTGTCATTGTCTCCTTCGCTTGCTGTGTTGACCACCAACAATCGTTTCTCTTCTGTTCAGCTTCATTCGCTTTGGTTTTTCGCTGCCGTCAGCCGTTCTCTTCACCCCCTTGCTTTCCGATAGCTGTACCTGCCAGTCCCTAAAGCGCCTCCTCGACGCTCGTAACTACAGGACATCTACGACGTTTGTAACAGAGCCGCGATAGCATCACAACACCTGCCTAGAGAGCTCTATTTCCCCACTTACCTTCGTTTTGCTCGCTGTGCGGCAACCAGATTCGTTTCTTTCGGGATTTTTCGGCCACGCAGCCCACCATGAGGTTTGCAAAGTCCATGAGGCCCGCGGCGGCCGGAACTGCTCTCATTGCTGCCATTGCTCCAAAGGATCTGAACATCAACGATCCATGTAAGAGGAACGACCCTCGACTAGAGAGGCAACTGCTGACCTTCGCGCAGCCAACATCAAGGGTGTGGCCAAGACAATCGCGGCTGACACCATGCAGTATTATTCGGGGACTGCGGACAAATTTGTGGATCTTCCCCAGCCGCACTACTGGTGGCAAGCCGGTGCCCTGATGGGCGGAATGCTGGACTATTCACACTACACGGGCGACAAGAGCTACGACCCACTCATTGCCAGGGCTCTACTTGGTCAGGTCGGCCCCAATTTTGATTACATGTTGCCGTCGCACTTTGGCCAGGAAGGGAATGACGATCAAGCATTTTGGGGATTCGCCGTCATGTCCGCGGCCGAGAGAAACTTTCCGCACCCGGACGAGAGCGTCCCTTCGTGGCTGCAGCTAGGTGAGAACCTGTGGAACTCGTTGGCCTCGAGATGGAACACGACAGCCTGTGGCGGCGGCCTTTTGTGGCAGATCTTTGCTTCCAATCCTAACGGACTCGATTATAAAAACACGGTGAGCAACGGCGGTCTCTTCCAGATCTCGGCGCGCCTGGCGCGGGCGACAGGGAACGACACGTACCTTGAGTGGGCGAACAAGGTTTGGGACTGGACCGAAGCCGTAGGCATGATTGATCAGGCAGGCAACGTCTACGACGGCGCACACGCGAGCCGCAACTGCACTGACACAAACCCCGTTACCTTTTCGTACAGCGCCGCTATCTACCTGTACGGAGCCGCCGTGCTGGCCGACCACACGGGCGACCAGAAGTGGGTCGAGCGCACCGAACGGATCCTTGAGGCCTCTCGCTCCTTCTTCAGCCCGTTTGACAATGCGACAAACATAATGTACGAGCACGCGTGCGAGTGGGTCAACAGCTGCAACACCGACATGCGTAGCTTCAAGGCCTACTTTTCCCGCTTCGTCTACGCCGCCAGCCGCTTTGTGCCGTCCATCCAATCGACCATCGACGAGCTCTGGCACCCCTCGGCGCTTGCTGCTGCCAGGTCCTGCACGGGCGGTGCAAGCGGTACGGCATGCAGCCACAAGTGGTACACGGGCGGCTTCGATGGCACCACCGGCTTGGGGGAGGAGCAGTGTGCGCTTGAGACAATTCAGGGATTGCTGGTTCGTGAGGCCGCGCTCCCTCTCAAGGGCGACGAGATCAAAACTGTTCGTACGTTTGGGGCCTCGTCCAGCCAAAATTAAAAGGCGAGTTACGCAGTATGCCGCGGCGTAAGCTCGAGGAGATTAGCTAGATCCCTCAAAGGTTTGCTCACTATCTTCTTCTCCTGTATATATTCTTGATTGCATCCGGGCTAGGGTTTACCAAGGCCCGGCACATTTTACACATACATATGGCATTGAGCGGGTTCTGATCCAGAGAATCAAAACGGGCATCAGCTAGTATGCCCAAAGAGGGCGTTCCCATTATTTTTTCTGTACAAACAGGTGCTTATTATCTTCTCGTCTATTTCTAAGCAACTACTGCGCTCGCAGCGGCCTCCCTATTTTCCTCGTCCGCAGCTGGAGGGATCCCCCGGACCTCAGCTAGTGTCCGCTCCAACGCAGCCAAAAATCGTGTCACTTCGTCTTCGGTGCCGACCGTGATCCTCAAGCAGCCCAAACAGCCATGCTCCTTGCCGCGGAAACGAACAACCACCCCCTTCGTCTCAGCCAGCCTCTCGTACACTGCAAGCGCCGTGACATTGTCGGGTTTCCCTTCGGCGTTGAGCATCTCGTATAGCAAGAAGTTACTGTCGGTTCCACCCCGCAGCCTGCCCACGCCGCTGATCCGGGGCATCTCCCTCAGCATTCGCTCCCTCTGCGCAATCAACTTCTCCCTAATCGCCCTCGTCGCCGCCAGCCCTGCCTCTGACAGGGCATATTCCGCGATACTGCTGGTCAGGCTCGAGATGTTGTACGGCGCCTTGAGCGCGTTGAGCAGGCGGGCGATGGGGGGCGACGTGAACACCGCGCCGAGCCGGATCCCCGCCAGGCCAAAGCCCTTGCTCATGGTCTGCATGACGACCAGGTTGGGCCACTCGACGACCCACTCGGCCAGGCTGGCCTCGGGCCCCGTGGCGAAGTCGACGTAGGCCTCGTCCACCACGACCACGCCGTTCCAGGTCGGGTGCTCCAGCACGGCGCGCACGTCGTCCTTGCGCAGCAGCGACCCCGTCGGGTTCCCCGGCGAGCAGAGGTACACCAGCTTGATGGCCGCCGCGTCCGGGCCCGAGAGCGCGGCGCGCACGCCGGCCACGTCCACCTGGAAGTCGGGCGCGGGGAGAAGCGGGACCTTGACCAGGGCCACGTCGTTCACCTGCGCCGAGACGGAGTACATGCCGTAGGTGGGCGGGCACACGAGGATCTTGTCACGGCCCGGCACGCAGAAGCAGCGCAGCAGAGCGTCGATGGCTTCGTCGGAGCCGACGCCCACGAAGAGGTTCTCTGGGGAAAGCGTGCGTTCGGTGTGGGCGTGGGTGGTGCGCAGGTTGCAGAAGAGTTGTTTGAGGGAGTTTTGGTGGGGGTCAGGGTAACGGTGGAGGCCCGAGAGATTCAGGGACGGCCCGCTGGGAGCGTCAACGGCGCCGTTGGAGACGGGGGGCCCGAAGGCATTCTCATTGGCGTCGAGGAGGATGTTGGTGCCGTCATCTTTGTAGTCGCTTTTTATGGAGCAGTTAGTACAAGAATGAGTGCGTGTGTGTGAGTGATTGAGTGCTTACTCTCGCGCGCAGCGATAAGGTTCCAACGCGAGGATGTTGGGCCTAGCGCAGGTTTCGAGGTTGAAGGGCGACATTGTTGGGCAAACTACGAGGTACCTAAGATGAGTTCTGAGAAATAAATTGAAGTCTCGCCGCCCACCGCGTCTTATACACGCCCAGAAAAGTTATGAGGCTGCGGTTTGGAGGAGTCGAGTCGCATTCAAGGAGTCACAGTCGAGGAGTCATTCATTTGGGAATTGAGACGGGGATTGAGATCCATGGATGCAAGTTTGCAGCTCCGGCCCCGGAGGGCGGGTCCCTGTGGTTGGCGGGTTTCCTAGAAGATATTTGAACCGCCCGAGACATTATGGATAACAAGCCCGACAAAGACGAAGAGGATTCCAATAAAACCTCTTCTTCGCACAAATATCTGCCATCCTGCGGGATCCTCATCCTGCCTTTCCCGTTTCGAGTTGAGCCTAAGTTGAGCCCGGAGACCCCTTGTTACCCTAACCCTAGCACCAAAGACACTGTAGAGTGACATCCTTGAGACAAACCCCTGGAGCGCACATATCTCTTCGACTCTCCATGCTACCGGTATATGGTTTAGTTGTTTGCAAGTACGATGATCAAGGACTTTCTATAATCTCTGTCTTCTCCCTTCCTCCACAAGGATCAAGAGATTCTCCTGAGCGGGCCGACTTGCATGGAAAGGCGCGATGCAACCTGAAATGTAATTCGGCATTAGCCTCCGTCATCCACCGCTCTCCAACCTTCTTCCCCTCATCTGTACCTCCGGGGCAACCAAGCTGCTATTGAGAATCGAGAGAACAATAATGATCCACGAGTTTGACGACCTGGTATTGAAAGCCCATCGAGATCTGCAGGTATACGGTGGAAACCCGATAGACGTTTCGGGGGATTTGAGACTAATGACGGTATGGGTCATACATAACAATCGAATGAGGCCCCTACGAGGTTTTCAGCTCCCATGTCTGGAGAAAAGTCGTAGTTCCCCGGATTTACACAATAACCTAGGACTAAATTTCCCGGAGCTAATCGGTATGGAGTACTGCAATATAGCCTGCAGTGTATGGCCCACGCATGTATCCGCATTCCCGGTTGAATGGAACCATAGAATGACGGGACCAGCAAGCACGTCCTTACAAAAGGACTTGTCCTTCCGTAGCCGTGGATCTTGGTTAGTCGATCCGTAGTCGTTCCCCAACCCGCCCAGGCATAGCAGGACTTCGACGTTGCTTTCACGATGCTGCTCAGTTGGATTCTTACTAGCTCGGCCGTTGCCGTGGCTGCCAGCAACCAGCATCGAGGAGGAAACGCAGCTTTCGACACTCTGGTCACCTTTGGGGACAGCTATACCGACAATGGCCGGCTGTCGTATTACATCTCCCACGGCGGGTCTGCGCCATCGCCGGGCCAAACTCACTCCGAGACAAACAAGACAGCCAGCGGCGGTCTCTCCTGGGCTCAATTCGCCGCCCGGACGGCGCGCGCCAACCTTGCTGACTACGCCGTCAGCGGCGCGACGTGCTCCAACAAGATCGTGGAGCGGTACTTCGCAACCATCAAGAGATCCTTCCCGTCCGTCATGGACGACGAGATGCCCTCCTTCCAGGCAGACATCGCATACAAGACGCTCTTCCCGAAGCGGACCGCCAGCAACACGGTATATGCTCTCTGGATCGGAACCAACGACCTGGGCCAAGGCGCCTTCCTAACGGACTCGGTGAGTAACCCTCCAGACTGCTCTTGAAGTTGGAGTCGGATTGATATGCCTGACATCGTGATAGGAGGCACCTGACAAAACCATCAGCGACTTTGTGGACTGCGTGTGGTCTGTCTTTGACGCCATCTACAAGACGGGCGGTCGCCGATTCGTGTTGCTCAACGAGGCCCCGCTTGAGCTGTCCCCGTTGTATGCTCCCCCCGAAGTTGGAGGAGCGCTGGACACTTCCCTTTGGACCAAAAAGACGCTGTATAACATGACGGAGTACAGCGAGAAGATCAAGCAATACACCACTAGCGTCAACACAATGTTTGACTATGGCGTGCCGTTCCACACCTTCGTCAAGTCTAGGTGGCCGAAAGCGACATTTGACATCTTTGATGTCCACAGCCTGTTCATGGACATATATCAGCAGCCTGCGAAATATCTGGACGCTCCGCACAACGTTACCGGTTACTGGCACCACTGCTCATTAAGCGATTCCGATTGCGTCGATCAGACCAGCCTGGGCCCTCTTTCCGGGTTCATGTGGTACGATGCGTTGCATCCATCCGACAAAACCAGTAGGTCCAGTTCTTTTTAACACGCTTCGTAGCGCCGTCGGGAACTGGGACGAGGTTGACAAGGAGATCCAGGTTCAATCGTCGCACAGCACTTTCTTGACGTCGTCGCTGGCAAATCGAGGTATGGAACCCGGTATCACTGAGCGCGCTTGACACGGCTGCAGACCGTTGGTAGCAACACCATGCCGAACAGGTTGGTGTAACCCAACTCTGCGAGGAGTGGTACAGTACAATAGATGGAAACAAGAGCCTTCTACTCCGTAGTCGAGCAATGAAAGGGATACGCACACAATCTTGTTGATGCGGGATGGTTGGCTTGATGAACCTCGAAGAGATGCAGGCAGAAAGGGATCCCTGTAATCCTGCCCCGCCGTGCCGCTCCTAATTGGGCTAGCGCCCTTTTGTGGGAGCCAATGTGGAGCCATTCATGCCCGCTTTCTCGTCCATGCAATTTGCATCTGGTCATCGTGGCATTTTCACGACGCGCAAACTGCTTCCCCTCTGTTTCTGACACGCCCGCACCTCCGCTGGCCGACCGACCAGAGACGACAGAAGAACTGGACCCAAGGCCAATCCGCACACCCCCTTTCATTCCGATACTCCATTCCCTAGCTCAGTCCTTCAGCCCTGCCTCATTTTGACATGTTCTTTCTTCCCTGCCGGCAATTTCTGCCCTCGCTTTTGCGCTGAGCCACACCTGTCCGGTCCTCGGCATTTTTTCGTTGTCCCACTGCCGCATTTTTGCGGCCAAGATCCCGCGACAGAGGCGGCAATCTCGTGGGTCTACGATACAGACATCTGATAGTCCCTCCCCCAGTGTACCGTACCTCTGCCCTGCAAAACACGCCGTAACAATCCGCCCCCCTGTTGGCGGCTGTCTATTTTTCGGCGTGAGCGGCGGAGGCATTGGACAAGGCAGGCAGCGGACCCAGCCGTCCTGCGGCCCCCGTCACGGATTGGCATTCCATCCCCCACCGCCTCGATCGTGTACATACATACATCCACATCCCTGGCTGGCTGCTGCCCAGGCGGCTTTCGGCTCGTATCGAGCCCATTCGCATCCCGGCCGTCTTGCCGGTTGGGCTGGGGATCCAAGTTCCTTAGTGGTTTCTCTCGTTAGCGAAGAGCTCCCGTTCCTCGGGCGCCTTCCCCCATACCCCCCTCGAGAACCACCCATATTGGTGGCCCTATCCTTCCCCACCCCCAGCAGCCGCAATACCAGATCTGATCCACGACGCTGTTCCACCCGCCGCTCCCTCACCCCCGGCAGTCGCGCCCTGTTCTTGGCTTGGGCAGCCTTTGGCCCAACAGCAAGCCATGTACTCAGCTCCCTATGGCTATCCAAATGCCGCCGGAAGGCCGGTCTTCAACGGCGCTCCGCCACAAGGCCTTCAGTTGCAAGCTGGACAATCCCCGAACCAGCCGCAGCAAATGATGTATAATCCGCAACAGTTCCCCATGACGACCCAGACCGGCCCCTTCCCGGGCGGTCCCAACCCGGCCATGATGGGAGGTGTTGGCCCTGCAGGAATGATGCAGAATGCCGCCATGCCGCACATGGCTGCCAATGGTCAGAGTAAGCCACCCTTTATCTTGTTCCCCTCATATGACGTCTCACCCCGTCCCTATTCCTTGGACAGGCTTCTCCCCTTTCCCCTTTCCTCAATTGTCTGGCCGGAAAGAACGTTTCACGTGCGACTGGCTCCGGTGCCATGCCGGGAACTGCCGCGACGTCGCCGCTGAGTGCTTTTTTGCTTCGTTTATATATATGATTCTGTCACCTCGATTCGACCTTCTTTATGATGGAGGCTGACCGGCTCGTTTCCACAGTGGCTTACCAGGCTCCATTCACAACCTCACCCTATGGGGCTGGTATCCCTTCTTCCGTGGCCCCTCAGCCGCAACTCCCGGCCAATTTCATGATGGCCGGCCAAATGGCGCCGTATCAGATGAACGCGGGTTTGGCTCCCCAGCAGCCCATGCTGCAGCAGCGCATGCACCCCACGCAGCAGAATACGGCTGGTGTGTCTGTTTCGACTCCCCAGCGCCCTTTCAACCCTTCTCAGGGCACCCCAAACGGCACGATGCCTCATCAACAGCCACAATTCTCGAACCCCCAACAGCAGGGTACTCCTCAGAGTCAGACTCCCACCACAGCTCCGCTTTTGCCGACGTCAATAGCGACACCTCAAACACCAACGTTCCCTGCCGAGCAGGGGCAGCTGGTCAATGGAACCTCCAACAGCCCGACTCCTCAAAGCCCTGCGACTGAGTCTCGAGATAAAGAGAGGTTCGCTGTCCTGCTAGATATCAACCAAGAGTTGCTATACGAGTCAATCCAACTCGTGAACAGCCGGGCGGAACTCAAGAGGGAGCAGGCAGCCGCCGAAGCCGGTGGGACAAAGAGTAGCGATGTGGACTATGCGGAGGAGGAGAAGCTGACGAATCAGGACTATAATCAGTGAGCACAACTGTTCCTTTTTCTGGCGGGCGTGTTCTAACTTGAGACGCAACAGTTGTATGCGGAGACTGCAGGCAAACCTGACATATATGTTCTCCTTGGCCGACAAGAAGCCGAAAACGCAAGTGCCGCCTTGTCCGGCCTTTATGACTCCGCCGCCTCTCAACTTGAATCTGAAGCTGAGGTTACCGCCGGGCACGCCCGATGACGGAATTGACAGGCCTGCAGATCCCGTTGCAGACCGCGCCGAGAGAGACCACCTGATCAAGAATCTTTACAAAAAGCTTTTAGCGCTTTACCCCGGGATCGACCCCAGGAAAGAGCCTGCTGCTCAAATGGCCGGTAGGCCGGCGGGAAATGCCAACGCGGCTGCCGCGAAACCAAACGGCCAGGTAACCGCTGCCACAACTCCAGCGGGAGGGCTGGGTTCGAACCATAGCAGTCCCGCTCCGGGCCCTCCATCCCAGAACACGCCGCAGATGGTTGATGCTGCTGCACCTGGTCTGCAGGGACAGGCCGCCGGGTCATGATGTTGATTTGGAAGGTTGTACAAAAGATAATCGCCTCGAGGGTCTGCGAGGAGTAAATATGACTGCAGCGATGAACGTGGCAAAGAGACACAAACGGCGGGTCGGTCTTCATTATACCTTTCGGGTAGGCATTTCTCAAACGGGGCGTTGGCGTTTCGGCTTGAATGGATAGCGTGGCGCTTTTGACTAGATACCGGCTGGGTAAAGGAGTCTGAATGCGGAGGGTGTCGCCTGAAAATTCATGGTCTGGTTTGGTGACGAATATATTGAGGCAGGTAAATGTACGAATATATGGGAAGGGAGGCTGATCTTAACGGAGACGGTGGTCTCACAGATATATTCCTCTTTTATCAACCTAGTCCTCGCTGAGATTAGTGCTATGAGGGAATCCAATGGATCGAAAACCAGGCGAGAGCCTGTATGTATACTGATCAAGCCTAACTATCCATGGGATAATGGCATTAGCGTGGGCTTAGGCCCGCGACAAGGTTGATATCTGCGTATGGGTGAACAATGCGGAACAATGCCGTTTTGTTCGAGAGGATCGCCCTTTGGAACTGTAAGCAGTCACAGATACTTGGTTTAGACCTTACAGATGCAGAAGCGTGCATTTCAAAGTGGATAAGACCGTCTTTTTAGCTCCGCTGGTGTGATGCTGTGTGTACTTACTTGTACAAGATTACAGTGATGCCACGATCCGATCCTCCTTCCTTGCACAAAATGTGCAGGCTTGAGGCTATCTATAACGACCGAGCTGCAATCTCGATGGCTATGCAAGGTTCGATTTACCAATGTCGTATCTCCTTACGGACTAGATCATGCCCATCGATTACCTAATCACCTAACAGCCTAAGGTAGCTTGGCTTTCACCACCTCGAGCCACTGCAATGTGCAGACATGACTAATTCAGTTAACCTTGATGGTCGGTACCTACTAATAATTAGATGAGTAGATTTTGTTCAAGAAAGCTCGTGTCAACGCAGACTTGACGGGATACTGCCACCTTCCCCAGAATTCCCGAGGTTTGTTTCGGCCGCAGACTTTAGGTCCAGCCCCGGGCCGCCTAGCCTTCCCCGGCGGCCGGATCCGTGGCGGCACAATGCCTACCAGAGTCTCCAGCTTCCCCATGCCAGACATCAGAAGATGAGATGAGGAGTGATTTTCTTTCCCCCACACATCGGCCGACTCCTCCTCTTACACTATCATGAGCACAGATTGACATCGGCCAGGACTGTTGGCTTACCTGGGACCGGTAACATTTCGTATGTAGAAGAAGCGTTCTCCCTGAAAGTGCGATGCGGTTGTGGGTTGCGGTAGTTACAGAGAGGATGGGCCGTCCCTGCAGCTGGCTCGGTTACCTGCATGAAAACCCAGTGGACAAAACCTATAGGCCGGGAGCTTCTGTCAATACTCAAAAGCAGCTTCTGACAAATGAAATGGCAGCTATTGATCCGCAGCACTGATTGGCGGCGGCCCACATTAGCTTGCCGCCCGTGATAGGTGAGCGCATCGAGGTTTGTGATTGTCAACCTCCAACGGCTTCACGATGCCAAGATGGGAACAGGAACTCTCACATCATTTGCTGGATTCTATGAATCGTGATTGATGAAGTCTAGTGTAAAAGAACCCTGGCAATTGCCGTCTCATAAACAAATGTTTTCCTATTCGGAGGGCGGCGGGAATGCCCCGCATCACCCCTGCCATCTGGTGCCTGCAGGAGATAATTGCATGGATATCCAGGGGCTTCTCGCTAAAATTCGCCGCCTTTCAACGCGCAGTAACGCAACACTAGTTGCTCCATACATTGCTTTGCCTTTTTTCATCCGTTGAAGTGCTGGATTGACGGGACTCTCACACTTTATGTGCGGTCGTCCTTGGGCCAGCCGCAGCGGGTCGCCTCATCATCGAACTGTTTCAGTGTCCTCGGCCGCTCGATGAAACCATAGACCATCCGGCCGAGCAGTCGCGTGCCAAGAGCCACACAAACTCGAGTTCGACGATCTCGACCGCCTCTTTTCTCCCGGTCAACAGGTGATCCCTGCCAGTCCCTTTGCAGGCCTGGTCCCCTCGTGCTTGTGAGCTAGCTGCGACGGCAGCTAGGGATTGAACGACCCAAATACCAAATATTGTGCTCGGCAGCACTTTGGGCAGTAGCTATTCGGCTCGAAAGATAGCATTGACAGCGCCATTTCGACCAAATCTGCCGGTACATGACTCTGGACCCGGCCCGCTGAACCATAGCGGACGAATTGACTCCTTTCCTGCAACGAGGCTGCCGGATCAAGCTCTGAATTTCGGGATGGAGCCCGACGCGGAGGAAGGTACACAGCAAATACGGGCACTCGCCGACCCGATGCCCTCACCAAGCGGCACCTCCGAACGGACCAATTCGCTACCGGTTGGGACAAAGATGGGGAACGAAAAGAGCGATCACGATTCTCTTGTTACAGTTCGCCTATCCGAGCCACCGTCGCTCCATGTAAACACGGCGGTTCCGCCCAGTACCCTTCCAATGAGGAAAACCTCTTACGCCGAATACATTCCGAGCGATGCCGTGGTTGAGACGCCCGAGGAGCAAGATGATGATAGCGACTCGGAGATTTTTGAGCCCGAGACTTCAGCCCGGCGGCAAGCTAATCTACGAGCGGAGCTTGGCCGGATGGCCATGGGCAGCGATGATGATGAGGACGAGTCGAGATCCAGTTCGGAATCGGATAGAGTCGATTGGGAAAAGTTACAAAGAACAGAGAATATGGAGTCGAAGGATCAACAAGTAGGTCCCAAGAGCCTTATTTACGCATCGTGTCGTGCCCTCGCACTGACAGACATGGTACAGACTACAGCTTCGCTGCTGGCCAGGCTGGAGCAGGAAAACGCAAAGATTGCGAAAATTCAGAACAACATCAAGGTCAAAACCTCCAAAAAGTGGGAGAGCAAGGAAAGCCGGCCCAGGCCTCCCTCAATGGCGCAGCTGCAGAAGATGGTGAGCGGACCGACCCCTCCGGCGCTCCGATACTCGACTTTCCAACAGCCGCCGATGACAGAACTTGAATTCTATCTCGCGTTGGTCAAGGATCCTAAGCAGACCGCTGCGCGACTGCCGACACTGCTTTCCAATAAGATCAGGAGGGGCATCCCGCCGCCGCTTCGGGGCGTCGTCTGGCAGAGCATGGCAGGCGCTCGCGACAGCGCTCTGGAGGAACTCTTCGAAAGACTGACGGGAGAGTCCAGCCCGTATGAGGGCGTCATCAGCAAAGATCTGGGGCGTAGCTTTCCCGGCGTTGACATGTTCAGGGACCCAGATGGCGATGGCCAGAGGATGCTGGGCCGAGTGCTCAAGTGCTTCAGCCTCTACGATACCAAGATCGGGTACTGCCAGGGGCTTGCGTTCCTGGTTGGACCGCTGCTGATGCACATGCCGGACAAGCAGGCCTTTTGCGTCCTGGTCAGGTAAGTGGAAAATCGCCCGGATCCGCCGACCCGCTCAGGCGGTACCGGAAAGGCGCTAAGCTAACCGCATGTGAACAGACTGATGGAGAACTACGATCTGCGTCAGTGCTTCGTCCCCGACCTGTCCGGGCTGCACGTCCGAATCTACCAGTTCCGAGAGCTGCTGCGACAGCATCTGCCCATTTTGTCGTCCCATTTGGACGATTTGCAGGTTGAGCCGGCCTATGTTTCACAATGGTTCCTGTCGTTCTTCGCCGTAACGTGTCCCCTGCCAATGCTGTTTCGCATCTACGATGTGATCTTCGCCGAGGGCGCATCGGAGACAATCATGCGAGTAGCGTTGTCGCTCATGCGAAAAAACCAGGCGCGCATCCTAGCATGCAGCGAACTGGAAGACGTTATGCACTTGCTACTATCGCGAGGGTTGTGGGATTGCTACAATTACAACGCCGACGAGTTTGTCAATGACTTTGTCGCTTTGTCCGACACGGTGACAAAGGAACGATTGGCAGCGCTAGAGCAGGGGTACAGGGAAGCTAAGATTAGCTCGGCCGCCAATCACTGCGGCGCAACAGATGCCGTGCAGGGGTCGGCGGATGTTGCGACCGCTGCCTCCCGTTTCCTTGGTCGCCTCTGGGCTTCTTCCTCAACACCCAAACCCACTACATTGACAATTGCAAGTTCGGCATCGGGATCCACGCCTGCAAGCAGCACTCTCAATCCAGCTCTCGGCGCGACATCGCGCCCGCTGAGTATGCTTCGGCGCAGCACGTCAAAGCAGAGTATAGCCTCAACGTTGAACTCGATGGAGGCTGTCTCGTCATCGAACACTTCATCTGCCGCCAGCGTCTTGAGCTCAGTATCGACAGAAGCCACCTCTGTCTCGCGCGACAGCACAACCGATGATTCGCCCCGAGAGGGAGCGCCGTTTCGCACACTGCCGAAAGCCGTACCTGGCCCCCCAAGCGGGCATAGCACCTCAAAGGACAGCAGTAAACACCTTCACAGCCAGATCGAGGACCTCCTAACGGCGCTTAGCGAACTACAGCGGAACCATGCCCTCTTAGCGAGCCAATTACAAAAGGAAAAAGAAGAACGTGAGGAAGACCGGTGCGCGGTCCGCTCCCTGCTGGACGGACTGCGCAGCAGGGCGAGCGGTGAGGGTTCGCTATTGTCTACAGAGGAGACCCAATCGGAATATGCATCAAATGGCCCAGCGACGTCGGAAGCCACCGATAGGCCTGTTAAGTCCACCACAGAACAACTTTCCGTCTTGCTGGATGCCGTGGAAATGCGTTTCACCGAGCCGGCCGTCCGCCGCAGATCATCCACTTCGCAGACCAAATCGCAGCTACGGGATGAACTAGCGCGTACGAAGGAACAGCTGTCGCAAGAGAGAGCGAAATCACGGCATTTCGACCGGAAACTACAAGAGATGGAGCAGGAAATGGTGTCGCTGCGGGAGCAATTGAGGGAGAGCCACACCCATGTCCGGAATGTGCACCAAGAGAAGCAGCGGCTCGAAAAGCAGATACACGTCATGAGGATCCGGGCATCCGACACCCCGCCTAGCGCGGAACAAACTGAATGGTTCCCAAAGCCGCCAGGGGCTACCGGGCTTCGCGAGCTCAAGCTGGGTCGTAGCATGTCGACCCCATCACAAGCGCCGTTGCCATACAACAAGCGAATATCTTCAGCGACTATGCAAAAGAGGGCAAGCAGAGAAGCGCTGGCAGCTACGTCGGGGCCGTCAAGCGAGCAAGATGCCCTCGTGCTCGAACTCGTGCAGGCCAAGACTGCCGAGGCTGTCGCCAGGCAGGAAGCAGAGGAAATGAAGCAGAAGCTCGAGCAGCTTCGCAAGGCGTTCGGTCTCGCGCTGGGCGATACCCCTCCGGCGTCGCAGAACAGCAGCGCAGCTACGGGGACGTCGGCCGCGGCCGCTGCTATGGGCATGTTCGGACGCCTCACTGGCTCAACCGCCCCGGTACCCGCCTCGGACTCGCCGGCCAAGGCATCGACTGCCCCTGCGAATAACGCATCGAGCGGGGGCTTTTGGGGCTGGAGGAGGTGATTCTGTATGGAGATATAGTTCCCGAACTAACAAAGGGGCAATGCTGTATTTTGAAGACGGATGATACCATCAGGATTTCTGCACATGGCGACAGGGATTCGTCTCACCACAAGATTTTGCATTACATTTGCCCAATGGGGGGCGACGTCCACATTTGGGCCCGGCACGGCGGAGATAGGGATACTTTTGCTTCTTAGAAAGTGCTTCGACAGAGGCAAGAGTAATACTAGTACAAGGTTCATAATGCAGTCTGCGAGATGTATTCGACAAGTCTGGAATGCGTGCTGCGAAATGACGTCCGAGCTGTCGACAACCTCTTCCGCAAGTATGTCTTGTCTGATGGCTCTCCAGCGGTGTCGCGTGCGGGCATCAAGTTCCCCTCCTTGGTTCCCCTGCAATCGCTATGGGTGATTGGTGCACCGTTAGTGTGGAAATCACATGCATTGGAACGGAGGATGGAACCTGCCTCTGATGGCAGTGGTGCGTCAGGCCAACTTGAACAATGGGCAGGGCAGGGTACGCATTGACCGATACGTAGCTCGCCGAACAATCTGTACTGTATCCGGATTCCGTAGACACTCCCTGCGCAACGATGAACCAAAACGATGGCAACTGTGCTAACGTCCGAAACAAATTGAGTAGCCGTCCTGTGAACGCTCTAGTGGAGGATATCGGCGGGCAGATATTGGAAATTACATGATCAATTTGGCGTCGGGGAATGGCTTCAGGGGCTGCCAGGGATGCCAGACACCCATAACTAAAGTACCTTATAGAGCGTACTCCGTATTGTAGGTACTGTACTTGACTGCATGACGGGGGACGCTGCTGCATGTGGGATGATGAGATCATCCATTGGGATAATTCAAAGCGGGCAGCTTGGCTAGCGACTTATACGATTATACCTCTTCCCCTAATAGTATATAACTGTTTAATAGCTGCAGGCAAGGAGACAGCGGAATGGAAGCGCAATCACGATTAACTAGAGAAAAAAGATATGGACGAATATCGGAAACCCCAATGTAAATATCTCGTCTCAGGATAGTATTCCTCAGACTGAAGGACGATTTCAAGTCGGTTATGACAATAGGGAAACGTCATGTCATTACAACTGGCTCAGCGTGGGGCTTACATGGCTGGCCCGAGCTTCCACAATCCCGTCATTGACCGTGGCCGCTTGGCAGGTTTTTGGCAAGCCAGAAATGATAACCCTTTTATGTCCCAAAGCCCTCGTCGCTTCTTGCCTATCTCAAACTCGAAAATAATTACTGCTCCTTTCCGTTGCCCAATTTCCTCCCTGCAGCTTACTCGTAGCCCTTACAGACCATTTCCGCACCGCACAAAGAAGCACCGAAGGCCCCATAACACCTTTGTTGTGTTGCCTGGTCCCAAACTGCAGCGAAGCCAGCGATTCCACGACCCCGTCACTCGTCTTGCTGCTCATCATCCTTTCGACATCGCGAATTTCGACAATTCTCCTTCGGACCACCAGCGATAATCAATTGAAATGGCTGACGGCGCCGCTAACGGCAATCCCAGCATGGATGCCTTCAAAGCCAGTAAGGTGCGTGTGTCTGCGTCCTGTCGCGTGCTTCCAGACCAATGATAAACCTCCCGGCTAACCCGTGCAAGTGTTTCACAGCTCGACGACACATGACGCTTCCGCACGCTTGAGCCAAACTGACGTCGTCTCCAGATGCCACATCTGCCTACAACACCATCACCAACGGTATGGAAAGCCGATCTTTTGCTTTGACGATTATATCTGACCAAAATCCTTGCAGGTCCCGTAGCTCAAAACGTCATGGACGAGTCCGCCAAGGCATCGGCCGAGCTTTCCAAGCTCGCCGCCGCCCGCCATACCCCTGATCACCGGGCTGCCACCGGCCAGCCGCTCACGCACTACCACTCCTTTTTCTCGGAGCTCCTGTCATGGAACAACCCTCGTATGCCACATACACGATGCTGCCGAGGTATGGCGCGATTGCTGATACGCTGCAGGTGCTTCGGCCATTGCGTATGCCACCGCCGTCTCCCTTATCTTCTCGGTTAGGTACCTGGATATTTTCCGGTGGATGTTCAAGCTCACTTGGATGGTCTTGGCCATCACCATCGCGGCCGAAGTCGCCGGAAAGGCGCTCATGAACAACGGCTTTGCTACTCAACTCCGTCCGCGAAAGTACTACACAGTTCCCAGAGAAACGCTCGATAGTTTGATTGGCGATGTCCACGAGCTTATCAACTTTTTCGTGATCGAGTCCCAGCGCGTCTTGTTTGCTGAGAATGTCTGGGTCTCCGCCGCGGTACGTATCCACTCTTGACGCCCAAGCTCCCGAAGCTATGGCGTCAGACCAAGCTAACCGCAGCTAGGCCGCTCTCGCCGCCTTCTTCTCGTATTATCTTGTCCGAATCGTGCCGTACTGGGGCCTGGCCGTGATCGCCACCACCGTGACCTTCTTCGCGCCCCTCATCTACACCACCAATCAGGAGCTTATTGACGCCCAACTGAAGCACGCGGGCGAGATTGTCAATGCTCAGACGGCTCAGCTGCGCACCGTTGCGCAGAAGCGCACCGAGCAGGCCACTCAAGTGACCAAGCAGTACATGGGCGACTACACAGCCAAGGCCCAAGCATTGATCAAGGGCTCGCGCGGTCACGAGCAGCAGAACCACAAGACGGATCTCAAGCCGTCCGACTTCCCTGCTGCTCCCAAGGAGGAGTTGAAGCCCGCGCATATCAATGTCCCGGAGCCTGTCAATGTCCCGGAGCGGGCCGTCGCTGACAAGCCCGAGCAGGAGCCCATGATCGCCTCCTAAAGACAACCGTGATTGGCAGCCCTTGGTGAATGGGTCACTGACGTCATTTGACCGATCCCCTGTGGATTAGCCAAGCGACCAGTAGCAATCCATTTTTGCCAACATTACTAGAGGGCGATTGGAGGTATTCCAGCATGGAATAGCATCAAGAGGAAAATTGGCAATTTTTAGAAGGGAACAATCGGTCCTTGAGTTAGCAGCGGCGGGACGCAAACCGTTGACAAAGGCTACATGTGGGGACAGACAGATCCAAGTATCGGCAGGCCTTTCCACCTGTGTTGATTGATGTACCTTTCCCTTGTTTACTCCCAACTGCGCCGGATGAACGTATTACGGCATGTGTTCTGTATCTCGAATTTGTCTCACCGGAAAGGGGAAGGGTTCAGGGAGTTGATTCGCTCGGAGTTCAGTTGCTTTAGCTAGGTCAACTCAGAGTGCACTACTGTATTCATCAATCTGGCTCACTCAGGTCCGTGTTTTGTGCTGGAGCATACAGTTGCTTAGGGGACTTGCCTTCACCACTCTGCTAATGCCAGCACGTGGGTGTCGACCGCACTCCATTGCAGACGGGTGGCTGCGATCATCTTGCTACCGACATCTTGTCCTCGCTGTTGACGTGTGCCGGCAGATGTTTGCTTTCTATTAGGTAGGCATTGATTTATGCAGGAGCGATGGCAAATTGAGGAAGGAGCCCGGCTGGAACCTGTCCACAAAGACCACTTCTTCCCCTACGCCTGGCCGGCCCTACTGGCCATGAGGTGCCTCGCCATGGCTCTTTCCGCCGATGCGCTGGCCTTCCTGGGTCAACTTTGAAGCTCGGATCTGGCTAGTATATGTTGGACTTCTGGCGAACAAGCGCTTTCACCGACATGGCCATTGACACCAGAGATCAAGGCCTGCAGAAAAGCAACCAGACTGAAACTATCATCTTCGACTCCAAGAGCCCAGCCATCCTCCCAATTCTACACTCAAGTCTAGGGATTCAAAGACAGCCATGTCGAAGCCGCCGCCGGGACCCCAACCCAGCCCGGATGCACCACCCTCCGAGAACAGATTGCTGACCCCTGAGGAATGGTATGTACTTATATACAGTGATTGCCGTGTCCTTTCCACTGTTGCTGTCTGGAGTCTGCGGACTGTAAAGAAGAGGGTAAAACGAGACGACTGATAATGTTTGGCTAGGGCACGCGTTGCGCATGGCGTAGGAGCGATCCGAGAGGGCGAAGAAACACACCAAGTTGTACACCCGACATGCTGGTACTGGCCTCCCAAGGGCATGCCTGAGGGCCTCTACCGAGACGTGATCACGCAGCGGTCCAAGTACATGATGCTGTACCTGGTTCTCAGCACGCTGCGATGGGCGCTGATGATTCTGCAACTCGTTGTCGGCGCCGCCGTGACGGCTTTCGGCGCCGCAGAGTCACATATGGTTGACACCATCACCGTCCTCGGCGCCGTCAACACCGTCAATGCCGGCCTGTTGGCTCTGATGCACAACAGCGGGCTGCCGGACCGGTACAGGATGGACAAGGTTGAGTTTGTGAGGGTGGAGGATTTTCTAAAGGTACCTATTTAGATAAACGATCCGCTTAGAATATGCCATGATATGGACATGGGCTTCTCGATCTCGCTCGGGTAGAGGCGACTGTGACTAACGAGGCGGGCCCCAGGAACTGCTCGACACGGGCGTCGTCAGAGCCAACCAGCCGGTCGAGGACGTCCTCGACGATTGCTTCAACCGCTTCCAGAACGCAAAGGCTACCGTGTTGGCCAACAAGCCCGAGGCATACGGCACGAGCACCAGTTTCTTTTCCCCGCTGTTCAGTAAGGGTATACTACCACCCGCGCAAGGCCACCCTACTCGACCGTGAATTACGGTCAGGACTCTCCCAGAGCTTGACACGGGACATACTTTTCTTCCTTCTGCTTTCTTCTCTCTTTTATCTTGAATGTTTTGTTCTAACCCTTTCCTTTGTTGTTGTTATCTCCCTGCCGAGTCTGAGAGGCGACATCGGATGATGAATATCCTTAGAGCATATTAGCAGCTGGTTGTTTTCATCATTAAAGGACCGTTTACAGAACACATGGACAATAACTACACTTGGTCTACTTGATATGCTGGGGGAATGAGTGATAGGGAGCACTCTATATATGGCGGGTATGACTTGGTCTGTCTTGGCTCCTACGAGAAGTTCATAGGTTTGGTACCTTATTATTAACGGTGGGACTGGGCAAGCATATGGATTTGGCACAGTTTATTGGAATTCACCCCTGTGTTGTGATTCTGCTCCTTGATCTGCGGTTCATGTTCCGCCTATCTCTGATGCGAGGGTGATAGACTTGGGCCGAGTCAGCGAGGGCAACTAGAAGACTAGACTTAGCTCGCAGGCCGTGGGTGAACAGGGGAGCAAGATCAACTCGAAGGAGTCCGGCTGGAATGCTGCTACGTATCTTACCAAATTGATACAGAAACGAATTCAGACCATAAGAGATCTCAGATCACCAGAGCATTCCTGCAAGTCCACTCTATGCACATTCCTCATACCTATGCTCCAATTCACTGTCCAAAACTCCATGAGCTTTTGATGCATTGCCAACTGCCAGCACACAGCTACGCTATCCACGCGTCTTGTCATCAGTATCGACAAAAGGAAAAACCGTTCAACGAATGCCAGAATCAACCCGCTTGATGCAAGCAATAGATCCAGTCACGACCCGAGCCCAGATGAAAAGGAGTACATGGGAAGAAAAACACCACGGCGCCATCCACACTGCCGTTCCTGAAGGTCACTGTCCCGGTGTCACCTTTTGGGCCCTTCGCCCATCGACTACCGCCTTGAGCACCTCGAGATGCTCCTCAGTGACGCGCATTGCCTCCTTGACTTCGCGCTCATCCATTCTCTGCTCACGCAGCCTCTCTTCCACCGTCCGAGGATCCACGCTCCGCTTTCTCGGTGGCGGATCGCTGCCCAGGCGATCCAAGCCCACGCGCTCCTCAAGCCACTCCCACAGATCACTCTCCTCGCGCCGCCACATCTCCTCGTACGCGGCCATGCGCTGCGGGTAGCTGGCATAGGCCAGATCGTGGGCGTAGCGCGGAGGAACGCCAGGCCGGGCGCCGAAGCCGAACCATGACGCCACAAGCAGGCCGACAAGCAGGCCATAGACGACGTTGCCTGTGAGGATGGGCCGGATGATGTCGACGACAGGGCCGAGCAGGGGTCGGGCAGGCTCAAAGAGGCCCCAGTTCTGCTCGGCGACCACCTTTGCAACGTCTTCGGTATCGCTGGCGAGGTTGGACGCCTGCGCCGATTTGCTCTTGCGCGTTCGCTTCTTGCCGCGAGCAGCGCCGTTGATGCCCGTGCGTGGGCGTGATGACACGGCGGCTTTGAGGCCGGCAAAGAGATCTTTGCAGAACTGCGTCTGGCCATCGTTTGCACCTCGCTCGATAGCGGCTGATGTTGTCAGCAGGGGATATCAGATGGGGACTTGCAGGGCACATACCTTTCAGCCAGCTCTTGCCGGACCACTCTATGGTGCAGTTGACCTGAACTCGCGTGGCATTGTTCTCGGCCCACGTCAGACAGTACTTGGTCTTGACGCAAAATATGTTGCCGCTCGGTACGTCAGGGTTCTGCGTGCTGACTGACACATTGACCGCCTTTTCGAGGTCGATGTGGTCAAGCTGTTCCGTCACAATGCACTTTGTCTGTTTCGGGCCAATCGATGCCGAGAGCGGTTTGATATACGAGTATGTACGCGATTTCACCTCCTCCGAGAGGCCACGCTTGTCGTCCATCTGGAGATCGGTGCATTTTTGGTCTGTCGTGAGCCACTTACCCATCCATGCTGCCGAGGCGGGACCAAACAAGAGCGTGTACACCTTTCCTAGAGGCGCGGGAATGACCTCGTCACCCATGACCTTGTCATAGTGCGTGCCCGCATCGCCGCAGTCCGTGGGCGCGTGGGTAGCGGGACCAGGGAAGTCGCCGCCGCTTGCAGGCGCGCCCTCGTCCGGTTTTTCGGAGGGTGCCGCGGGGCCAGACACCTTACGTGCGACAGCCTTCTCAGCGACCTCAGGACCCGGTCCATCGGACGGCTGGGTACCATCATGTCCTTCTTCGTCATCCTCGTCTTCGTCATAGACATCGTCGCCATCATCACTCTCAGCGTCGGATCCCGATATGCTATGGCTGCCGACTGCGGACACAGATGCCGTCTCAATCTTTTCGGTCCGGTCGCCGCCCGGCTCCTCGAGGCGGACGCCGTTGAGCGAGCTCTGGAGATGTGGATGGCCGAGCTTCCAAATCTTGATGATCAGGTCGTATGTAGTGTCACGGCTGGCGAACGAGGCAAAGATGTGTTTTGTGTGCAGAGTGGAAATCTCGAGGCCGTTCTTGAACACGAGGGCCGTGCTCCGCTTCTCGACAGAGACGATCTCGTCGAAGCTCATGACGAGCGTCGTCACCCAACCGAAGATGTTGCTGCTGAAGCACAGGTGGCCCTCAGACACATAGAGGCGTCCGTGCGCGAGGATCTCGCGCTGGAGAGCGCAGCTGTAGTCTTCGATGAGGTAGTCATCATCGGGCACGCTCTTGAAAAGGGCATGGAAATCACGATTGCGCTTCTTGTTAGCGACAGCAAACCCCGTCAGCTTCGGGGCACTCCCGGAAGCGGCGGGGTTGCTGATCGAAGAGTTAGCGGCCGCGATGGCTGCAGCGATGGTCCCACTAGTGCCCGTAGTCCCATGGGTGGCAACGCTGCTGCCACGGTTCCTGCGGTGGCCGATGGCACTCCGTATGCTGCCGCTACGGTGGACACCCGTCTTACCTTCGTACAAGCTGCCGGTAGGTGGTGTTCGCTCGCCGCCGGCAGCCTCGTTGAGTGAGCGTGGCCGGGAATCCAACGAGTCTTCGGGCAAATCCGCGGTAACAGCTTGTGCTTCGGCGGGCGCTGAATCAGACCTCGCTCGAGTGTCAGACTCAGCGAAACGGTGGGCGACGGGGCTCGGCGCAGCACTACCCGTGTCGATAATGCCCAGATGGCTGAGGCTAAGGTCTCCCATCCCCAAGGTTTTGACGGCTGGCTCCTTGGGCTCGGTAGATGGACGTGACGCTGTCGCCGACTCAACCTCGACAGTGTCTTCTCCTTTCTCTGGCTGGTCCTTCGACGGCGGTCCTCCCTTGTTCTTAGCCGCAGGAGATAAAGTCGAGTTGGAGATGGTCGCGCCGAGTGTATTAGCAGTGTTTTGGACCGCCGAGAACATGGATGAAAAAAACGTGGCGGCGGGATTTGGCGATGCAGGGCCGTTTTCGGGCGTGGGCGTCAGCGGGGCGGATATGATGTTGGACAGTTTGCTGGGGCCAGCTCCGGAATCTGCCCTCCGTCGTTGGGCAATCATACTCCCCGCAGATGCATCAGTCGAGCGTGCACTCCCACCTTTTGCGCTGTCTGGCTGGTAATCAGTTGGCGTGGGCGGTGTGTTGACAATCACAGGGGTGGAAGACTCAGTCGGCGGCGTCCGCGGCGGTTTCAAGGGCTCGGGCTTCTGACCCCGAGAAAGGTGGCGGGTGGTGTTGCTGATGGATGCCGGCTTGGGCTCCTCGGGTCTTGGGCGCGGGGGCTCGTCCGGTTTCCTTTCCAGCCCCGGCTTCTCTTCGTCGTCAAGCGCCCTATTTGAGCTCTTCTTTGCCTTGAACACGTCTCTCAGCCGGCTGGTAGACGAGGACCGCTTCGGTCGGGACTGGGGAGCGTCAAGCGCGGTTCTGCTGCGGTCTAATGACTGGGCAAAATCAATGCTCTCGGTGCTGTCCCGGGGCAGCGTCGAAGATTGCACGGATGGGTTGGACGGCGTGTTTGAAACGAGCGAATCTGGCTTGTGAGCCTCATGGGCAGCCAGTGAAGAAGTCGGTGTACGGGAAGAAGCGGAGGCGGAAGTGGGACTGCGGTTGCCGGCGAGGGTCAGTTGTTGGGATGAACCAGGGGCCAGCCTCTCCAGAATATCCAAAAGAAGAAAAATAACAGATGACGAATGCAGGATGAAACCGGAGACCAGATGCAAATGAGATGTTGAGGCTAACGACGAGGGCCAACGGGGAGCAAGCAACGCTGCTGCTGGGGGAGGCGCAGACGCTGACAAGCTAACGAACGGTATTGCTGGAGCTCAACTTGAAGCTGGAGCCAAGACGGCGGGACCCAAGTGCAGCACTAGCTAAGGTATTCGTATGTCGGCAGCGGAATACGCGGAATACGCGCATTACGAGTCGAGAGTAACACTGTGGCTTGTGTACAGAGTATGTACAAAACCACTGGACAATTCACTAGGAAAGATGCGGAAATGCTCAACTCACAATTCTGGATCCGATTCAAGAGATTGTGCTCTTCCATTTTCTTGGCTGTTCAGGCTGCCGTCGATGGAGCTTACGTCGCTGGCTGGAGCGCTGTGGCTGGCGAGGCTGCCCTTCTGCGGCGTGCCTTGAACATCATCACTGCTGGTTGACAGGGGTCTGGTGCGACGTCGCTTTGCCGCGATCGCCTTTGGCAGAAGCTTTGAGATACCGTTTGATGTGCTGTCCATAGCTCAGTGACAGCGTGTCCGGCTGCTGGTGGTGGTAGAGCAGTGTTTCGGCGAGCTGCTGGGCGTCTTAGACCGACAGCTATGTCATCATCATGGCGGCGCCAAGAGGTGGATGTATGGATGTACTCCGTATCCCAGCAAGTTTTCGAGCTTGGCGGGTTTGGAGCTGCAAAGAAGTCAGATCTTCGCAGAGTTAAAGAATTGAAAGAATTGAGGGAAAGAGATTGGATAATGATCTTTGGGTGCACTGCAGTAGATGACAGGATTAGCCAGCAATCGAACCCCTCATATCGTCACAGGTAACAGCCTGCTCTGCCTTGTGTCTCGCAGCCTGGTTTGCGGTTACATTGCGCAATGAAGTTAACTTTTAAGTCCGAGCATGCGTACCTTCGTATTTCGTATTGTACAGTACAGTACATGTAAGATGGTAACGTTACGGATACTGTCTAACGCTGAGCCCAGATCTGCGGCATTCGGTGGGCCGGTGGCAGGCATTTGAGGGTCAAGATACGTACACCCTAACAACTAATCTCCAGCCCTACGACACCCCAGTCATTCTTCAATCAAGAAACCTCCACTAATCACCAGTTGCTGTGGATGGCGGCGATTGCGGCCGAGATCGAGACCGAGCTGATTTAAGATATGGAGTCATCACCGTTGACCAAGGTAGGTAGGCGCCCCTTCCATTTTGGCCCGGCCCGCTAACGTTGAACTTGCTAGGCACACGACCACGCCCGGGCCGCCGCTATCGCTACCCACTCTGCCGACACGACAGTTGCCATCAGCGAGCACGCTCAGGCGGCCGGCGAGTTTGCGAACGCATCCAAGAGCACAACCAGCATCGAGGCACTGCGGACTCTGAAACTGCTCGAACAACACCACAAACGCCTGTCGGAGCTGCTGAAGCTGCCCATCGGTCCGCCAAGCCACAGCAGCGTTGAGAACGACATAATCGAGGAAGAGGAAGAAAAGGAGAGAAGCGGCCTAGATGATTCTAAGACTCCCCGCCCGCGCGAAGAGGCGCCCGTATCAAAGCAAGCATCCCAAGTGAAACCGCTGCCAACCCTCGCTCACCCAAGGTACCCGGGTCGCAATCTTTCGTCTTCCATCGCAAGCAACCTCGCTTCTGCCCGCGGCATCAGAGCCAGGTACAGCACCCAGCCATTGACGCCCAGCGTGTCCAATGACCAGGCCCCAGGCAGTCTCGAGGCGCGCCCGCGCAGGGAAGGCTCGATTAGGAGCAAGGCTTCCGACTCGCTAGATCACGCCCGGAAGCCGAGCTGGGTACCCCCGGTCATTAAGGAAGACACGGTCCAAGAGGCCCCGAAGTCTCCAAAGTCCGAGGCAGACAGCTCAGCACCTAGCGAGGATGGATTCTCAAGGTTCTACAACACGTTCGGGAGCCTGATTAACCGACTCTCGGCCCCTCTGGCATTTGCCGGACTCCCGCTCATCTCGGAGGAATCCACCAGCGCAGCGACTACAACCGTCCCGTCGGAGCCGGCCTCAAGGAGACCGCGACAGCGCCCTTCCACCTCGACCGCCGAGCCCGATCTGTCCAAGATTTACTCGCGCGCCACCCTGCGCTCTCTCGCCCGCGACGGCCACGGCCCCAGCGACTCCTTCTACGTGGTGCCCACCAGCGGCCACACAGCCTCGTACGCGAGCATCCTCAACCACGAGAACAAGGAAAAACGGCGGATGGCGGCGTCTCTACACCGTGGCAACGACGATGCTGACGACAACGAGGACGACGACGACTTCGTCGACGCGCGCGAGTCGCAGGCCACCGCCGCCCCGCCGCTGTCGCCCACGCTGCGGAAGCGCCTCGGCAGCAGGGGCAGCCGGGGCGACAGGGATCTGCGCAACACGCTCGAGGAGCTGCAGCTCGAAAACGCCAGTCTCAAGGACGTCCTCGACAAGGTGAGCAAGCGGCTGCACGCCTTCGAGTTGAACTCGCAGACATCGCACCTCGCCCTTGCCCAGAGCCTCCGGCTGCAGCGCCCCGGCTCGCCCATGTCCTCCAGCGGAGGCGCGGGCCACGGGTCCGGCCCCGGAGACGAGGCGCTGCGGCGGCGGAACCGGGAGCTCGAGGAGCAGCTTGCCGAGCTGGGCAAGCGGATGGCTGAGCTGGAGCGGGATCACGTCAAGCTGCAGCAGACGGTGGAAAAGTACCGTGAGAGGTGGGAGAAGCTCAAAGCTGGCGCCAAGGCGAGGCGTGAAGCACAGGAGCAGGCCAATGACGGGGAGGGGTCTAGGAAGTGATCTTTGTTTTTGTTTTGTCGAGTAAATTCGGTTCAGCCTGGAGTTAGTGGGATGGAGCTAGTCGCCGCGGCGATCAATGATAACTACGATGGCGTTTGTCTTCACATTCTCCGTGCTGGATGCAAGCATGCCCGTAGTGTGTTGTAGTGGGGGAACGCCAAATAAAGAGATCTCCAAATAAAAGACCGTTAAACACAGAACGGTTTCATATCTTGGGGACATATGTCCACAGCACAAAGTCCATTATACTATCGGAGAATACTGACCTAAGAGAGCTGTGTAAACCACCAGTCTCTGTCTCTGCTTGTGGCCACTGTTAACATGTGTGAAGGTAGTGTGGTACCTACAATGGCGTCTTCTTCAACAGCAATGGGGGTTTGAGCAGAACAGTGTCCCTAAGATATCGACGCCAGCAGACGCGGGGTTGTGGGTGCTGTAGGTGCTGTAGGTAGGTATCTTTGGCAGCAGAGACGTGAATAGGGGTTCAACAGAATCACCGCCAACTAGGCCAAGGGCCAACCTGTATGGAAGCTGTGGCTTCACATTGTTATCGGAAGCCCTTATCGATGACTCCTCTGGCGCGAGGCGACGCGTCTCTTGGTTAAAGGTAGGTAGGGCGCGTGACGCGTAGTGTTGTTCTTCCGCACAAGTCGACTGGTTTCCAAACAGCACCATCACAAGTCAACGCTCCCGCTCTCTCTTCAACCCATCCACTTCCACCTTTCCTCCCATCACCGTCTTCTTCCAAAGATCCAACTCCAAATTACCTTTCACCCCATCCAGTCAATAGAAACCATGGCTGAGTACCCGCCTTCTGGTCCCCCAGGCACGCCGGTCAACGGTCCGAATCTGAATGGATCTGGCGATGCCAACTTTGTTTCACCTCCGGGTTCGGCTGCGACCGAGGCGGCTAAGACTCTCTGGTAAGATTGCTTCCTATAACTGCCTGCAGGAAAGCGTGTTAATATGATGGGTAGGATGGGAGAGACGGATGGCAGCGGCGGAAGCCTCAGAAGGCAGCTCCGCGCGACCTCGATGCACCGACGCCCTGGTCGTTACCGGGAGGACGACGGACGGCCCATCACGGCCGATCGGCCCATCTGGGCTCACCCCCCAAGGATTTTTCGGGCAGATCTTGCAGCGCACTGCGCCTTTCCCAGCCTCCCTCTTGACTACCCAGGCCCAGGGCCATCTGAGCTCGTCAAGGCCCAGACGAACGGTGAGACCCTCCACTCAGACTCAAACACCTCTCTCGAGAAGGTTCGGGGAGCCGGGAACCGACACTAATCCACTCATCCGAACTTCTCTACAGACTTAAGTCAGTCAAATGAACACAGAGAGTGCTCGGATGACTCAAGCGGAGACACCGAGAGTGTCTCCAGCGACGATGTGAGACCCTTCCCTTCTCAATGCCGCTTGGTCAAGATACTAACACCCTCTAAGGTCCTGGACCTCGGAAGCATCTGGTCTGGCGCTGCGCAGGGGATGGCCTCTTAGGATGAGCCAACTCGCAAAGTCCAAGTCCAGAACGAGCCACTGGTTCCGGTTGCGACGCCGGCTCAAACCAACCAGCGGTTAGATCACCTCCAGAATGAATCGGAGGAAGAGTTCTATGAAGATCTTGACGTGCTGGAGGAGCCGCTGGATCCCAATCTCTACTATCCGTCCGGGCGTCGACGACCGAATCCTCCTGGTCAAAAGAAGATCCGGAAGAAGGCCCATGAGGACGACGTTGACGTGCTGGAAGAGCCACCGGATCCCGATCTCTACTATCCGTCCGGGCGTCGAAGACCCCATCCTCGGGGTCAAAAGAGGGTCCGGAAGAAAGCCCAAGAGGACGACGATTGGAAACCCAGAAAGTCTGGGACACGGCGCAAACCACCGGCAACAGATCTGAATAAGCCGCGAAGCAGGGATAAAGATTCGGCAACACTGCCTGGCGCAACTCCCTCTGCCCCTGCAAAGCAGTCCGAGCAGACAGCACGGGCGCCCAAAAGGCGGGCACACTTCAGTGCTGATCCGGAAGCACGCATGAGGTCGTCCGAGGGGTACGAGATGACCAGATCGGAATTCGATAGGCAGTACAGGCCTGAAGAGCGGAGATACCACCCCGGCGGAGCGACGGGGGGCAGGTTCGAGATTATCGCCACGGGCGTCATGTGGGAGTACATCCCAACGATCGGAGCTGAACCGCGGAAGAGAAGACGCAAGCAACAAGGCGATGCGCAATCTCAAGATGTCGCTCGCCCGACCGGAACAACACAGCTTTCTTCGTCGGCGGCTCTCCGGCTATGGCACTGACTTGCAATGCTTCCGAGAACTCACAAGTCAAAATCCCTTCTGCGGAGGAATCCGGATTTGTCCCGACACCCCGAACGGAGGAAGAACTGAATGCCGTTTGGGCAAAGCCGCAAAACTTGGCGTGAAGTTGGGCTAGTTCGCGGGTTGGTTGGCATTTTCAGGCCCGCTTAGATGCTCAGTGTTTGGTAAACGTTGCGAAGCATTTTATGATCGCTTCGGTTGTAGGAATGAAGGCAGATATCTTTTTTTGCAAGGAATGGTGCGAGAGGGTGCTACGGAGGTTAAGGATGGACAAATTTGGAGTTCGAGGCCCGAGGGGTTCGCGGAAAGGGGCCAAGGGCTAGGTAACAGGGATTCTATCAGGGATCATGCTCTGGTTGGCCAGAACCCACGACCCACGGTGTAATTACCATTTGTACGGAGTACATACGAATACAGGGAACCACAGATCCACAGCAGTGAACGTCAGCTCGCAGCAGTTCGGCAAGACCCCGGTCTAACTCCCTACACTACGTCCCTACTCTAGGTATCACCATCATCCTTCCGCACACCGAGAACCGCGCTCCAAAGTCGCCGGAGATCAACCGTGCACGCCGCTTCAAGCAATCGGGGAACCTCGAGCCGATCCGCCAACAACATCGATTGTTCACGCCTTCCCCCTTGTCCTCCTTGCACTACACCCGGAACCGCACCATATATCCCAGCGCCCATCATGGCGCCACGCATCGAGGCTCAGGAGATCGAGACGTATTGGAACATCTTCTCAACCAGGACAAATGGCGGCAAGTATCTTACTGGTGAGCAGGCGGCGCCGGTGCTCAAGAACAGTGGGTTGCGGGATGATCAGCTAGAGCGCGTGTGGGACCTGGCCGACGTCGACAACGACGGCAACCTCGACTTTGAGGAGTTTTGCGTTGCCATGCGCATCATCTTCGACCTGCTAAATGGCGAATACACCGATGTGCCCGCCTCGCTGCCGGACTGGCTCGTGCCTGAGTCCAAAGCCCACCTCGTGCAGGCGAGCCGGGCCATAACGGGCAAGGCCGTGCAGTTCGAGCAGGTCGAGGACGACGACGACTCACCCGGTCTCAAGGATGGCTTTGACTGGTACATGAGCCCAGCCGATAAAGCAAAGTACGAGCAGATTTACCAGGAGAACCGGGACATGCGGGGCGAAGTGGCCTGTGAGTATGACCAAGCCCGCTTCCGCTACATGATGGCTAACCCCTCTCCCTAGTCTCTTCTCTCGAAGACCTCTACGAGTCCCTCGACGTGCCAGACACCGACATCCGGTCCGCCTGGAACCTGATCAACCCATCGGCGGCGCCGTCGATTAACAAGGACGCCTGCCTCGCATTCCTGCACATCCTCAATTACCGCCACGAGGGGTTCCGCATCCCGCGGACGGTTCCGGCTTCGCTGCGCGCCAGCTTCGAGCGCAATCAGATCAACTATCAAGTCGACAACGCGAAGTCGCGCTGGGCGACCAAGGCGGACGACGAGACGAGCACGGGCCGCAAGGCCAAGTTTGGCGACCAGTACCTGACACGCCTCGGGAGGAGCGGGTTCAAGACGGCTGGGACCGACTTTAGCTCGGCCAAGAGCGATGCCGAGTGGGAGGAGGTGCGGTTGAAGAAGCAGCTCGCCGAGCTGGACGAGAAGATTGCCAAGGTGGAGGCCGCCGCTGAACGGCGCAAGGGCGGCAAGCGCGACTCCAAGCCGGCGCTGGTCAAGCGCGAGCTGGAGCAGTTACTGGACTACAAGCGCAAGGAGTTAAGGGATCTGGAGGAGGGCAACGGCAAGATCAGGACGGGAAGCAACCTCAAGAGCGTGAGCGAGGACCTGCAGACTGTGAGGGAGCAGGTTGAGGGGCTAGAGGCGCATCTGCGGACGCGGCAGGAGGTACTAGAGCAGTTAAGGAGGGAGATTGAGGACGAGAAGGCGGGGAGATAGACGGATATAATGTGACGGTGATTTGTGGTATTATTACGATGTGCCTCGTTGAAACGAGAAACACGTTACACTGCTAAAGTATCATGCCCTGGGTATCGATTTCCTCCTACCTGCCGCCTACGCAACGCTCCCGTCAATGTACCCCGGAACCATCTGTATCGCCAGCGTGCGCCCCTTGGCCAGCCACACGGCGAAACTGGGCAGCTTGACGGACCCCATCCGCCCAGCACCCCGTCCCCGACCAACCGCGCACGCAAAGATATCCACCGGCGGTCCCTTGGCAACAGCAGGCTCCTTGCCGGCCAACGCGGCCTCTATGTTCTTGGCGACGCTGACGGCCTGCTTCTGCGTGATGAAGAAGCCCGCGCGGGGCTTGCTGACGACGTCGCCGCAGGCCCAAACGTCCTTGGTCTCCTTGACCCGCAGGTACTCGTCCACCACCACGGTGCGGTAGTTATCCTTGCCGGCGAGATACTTGGCGGGCACGTACTCGGTGTTGGGCACCACCCCGATGGTCGACAGGTACAAGTCCGTCGCGATGACCTCGCCGTTTGCGAGCTTTACCTCGGTCTTGCCGGACTCGGAGTTTGTGCTGGTGCTGTCGACACGGGCGCCGTACTTGATGCTGACATTTAGCTTCTTCAGCTCGTTGGCCGCCGCCGAGGCCGTAACGTCTCCGCCCAGCACCTTGTCGTCTGCAGAAAGCAGGATGATCTCCTTGGTCTTGCCCCACTCATATGCAAGCTCACCCGCCACCTCGACGCCGGTGCCGCCTGCACCGCCGACCACGATGTGCTTTGCGGCCTTGGCTTTCTTGGCGGTCTGGTGGAGATGCTCGAGCACCTCCTCGTAGCTGCCCGAGGCCTTCCACGGCGAGGTGGGCTCGGGGCAGCGGGAACCCGTGGCAAGCACGAGATGATCATACGTCAGCGTACGCCTGCTGTTGTCGGTCGAGACGGTCACATCGACGGTCTTGGCGTCAAAGTCGGCGGCCGTGGCGGTGCCAATGAGGAGCTCGTACGATGTGGAGGGGTAGCGGGAGAGGGCGCTTTCAAGGGGCTTGAAGATGTCCTCGTCTTTGATGAGGCCCGGGATGATGGCTCGAACGGACGCGAGGTTCCAGTAGAAGTGGCTGTTCTGGAAAGCTGTTAGCCAGTGGTCACGACGAGGGGTATCACGTGATTCATTCGGATCCAGCATCTACGTACCTTGGACACGAGAATGACTTTAACATCTTTGTGCTGCTTTTTGAGCAGCGCGTGAGCAACATGGAGACCCCCAAAGGAGCCACCCAGAATTACCACCGTCTTGGTCATGGTGTGTTGAATGGTGAAGTTTCCGCACAGATATCAACGTTAGTTTGCAGGTTGAGTTGATGAAGATGAAAACAGAAGAGAATGTAAAACAATGGGGTTAGTGAGCAGACCGAAGGAAAACTCTCGGGCATCCAGGGTGGTCGCAGCCTCATCTATTAATGCAGTCAGATCGACCAGCCGCCACGGACAACGCCGCTCCCACCAGAACAAAGCAATGCACCTTGCATCCCCGAGATTCCAGTCGGCTGCAGCTGTTATCCCTACCTCGTGCCACGCAACTTCAAGCAACGGGCAGAAGGTCGAGGAGAAACGCTGGCGCGTTTGTCAGCAGGACCCTAACTACAAATAGTCTGTGCCTGGTGGTACGGCACTGCTGCAGCGCACTGGGACCACCAAATCCCTGGCGTCGATCCGGGCTCGGTCTTTGGTCCTCGGTCTTTCCCCACGACAGCTCGCAAGTTCTGGATGGCGGGAGCTCGCATTAGCAACCAAACAGGGGAATTCGCGTCACAACATGGCCGACATTGTTTGGTCGCCTGATGATTACTTTGGGATAAGCTATACAGTTGCAGCAGGGAACAGAAGTTTGGTTCCTCAGAACGCAAGCCGCAGATAGGGCCAACTGAAACTCGAGATCCGCGAACACGGAGCGGCTGGCCGCCGATGGGCCGATGGGGACGGGACGGGAGTTGTATCATTTGCGCTAATCCATGTTCGGATGCCCAGTGCCCGTGCCCCTGGCAGCCCGAACAAGACCGATCGCCGGTGGCTTCGGGACCGAGTAACTGTTTTCTTAAGGTATCTCATCTCGCCAACATGTTCATATACTTCAAGGTCAGCTCATGAACTGGATGTAACCAAGGAAATAGATCCATAATAAGAGTAACCCCCTGATTCTCGATCGCCTTCTTCTCTCCCCTGTCCTTCTCTCCCTCTGTATTGTTACTCCGTGACTTCTTCAATTTCATGTGCTCCCACAGTGTGGGCCTTGGGTGGAGCAAAGCTGTGAGCAATTGAACACACGTAACTCACTACACTACCTACGGTGTTCGAAGGTCTCAGTCCCCTTTTGGCACTTACCTAGGTACAGTAGGCTGTTCCACTAATTTCAACGTATCCATCGTCCTTGTTGCGTCGTCCTGAGAAGGACCTTGTACTGTACCTACCCCGTACAGCACAGTACAGCAACTGTAAGTGCAATGTATTGTACGATACCTCCGTACACCGATACCGTACCTGAGGCACGCTTGTCGTAGCTGGTTAAGCTAGTGGGTCTCGAGCATCACGTTGGGCGGGACCAGGGCGTCTACCAAGGAAGTCGGACCCCGCGCCTGCTGACCCCGCCAAACTCAACAAAGCCATCGAATCCCCGCAGCAGCAAGAGCAGCTCGATCTTTCTGCACAGAAATCGTGAAAGAATTCCAAAGGCCGAATAGAGTCCCTCAAGTATCTACCTGAATCCCGTGAACGCAAAATGGCTCCCGCGCAGAGCGAAGCTTTCCAGAAGGCCGTGGTCGACTCCAAGAAGCTGACCTCGAAGCCGAGCAACGAGGATCTGCTCGAGATCTACGGTGCGTCACAAACCTTGTGCCCGGGAACAGAACAGAAGCACTAACGGCGCCTGCTCAGGTCTCTACAAGGTCGCCATAGGTGATGATTTCTCAAGCGCCGCCGCGCCGGGCATGTTCGACCTCAAGGTTCGTTACTCTCTCGCGAGGACCGGCCGTCGCTGACACACCACCGCAGGGCAAGGCCAAGTACAACGCCTGGAAGAAGGTTGTCGAGGAAGGCATCTCGGCCGAGCAGGCCCAGGAGAAGTACGTTGCCAAGATCGAGGAGATGAAGACCAAGTATGGCTACGACGCGAACAAGGAGCCCGAAGCCGTCGGCGGGCAATAGACGTGCGGAGTGGTGGGCCAAGCAGGCGAGAGGTGCAAGCATGGACGGGAGCGACCATTGTCGGGCAGAGCAAGCTTATTCTCTCTTCATAGCTCATATTTGAATGCTGCAAACCCAGTTCAGCTAAACCATGGGCTAGCTCCATCCGTAGAACTGCGACTCGGCCGAGCTGGGGAGCATCCGCACTCCTCATTCATGCTTCCAAACCTGGCCCATCCAATCGGGCTCAGAATGATTGGCCGTCGCAACCCATGGCACCTCTTGCTTCCCGTATGGCTGCAGCGGGAGGTTATAAGGCAGCCGGAGCGCCACCGCTGGCTTGTTGTCCGCTTCCGCGAGCGAGTCGGTCAGAAACGTTGCCTTCATGACCGCGTCCTCGGCGTAGAGAGCGGGCCAAACAAGAACCCCGAGCTCGTATGATGAGATCCGGATCTCGCCTGCCTGGTTGACTGCCTCGCCCCACGCCTGCTTGGATAGGTTCGCCGAGGTCACTAGCGCCCAGTCGATGGTCTGGTCTGACATGTTTCCGTAGCGTATATACGTCTTGATGTGCGGGGCTGCGCGTTTCCTGCCTGCTTCCTTTATAATGGCATCCCCAAGGTCTGTGCCATCCGCAGAGTCGTTCGCCCAGTGGCAGAATATAGGCTTGAGGTATTGGAGCTGCTTCATTTGCTGCGAGGATTGAATCTTGGTGTGGATAGAGCCCCCAGAGGCGTACCCATCTAGGGATTTTCGGATCTCGTCCGCGGTTGGGAATACTACCTTGAATTCTGGCGTCTGCAATCCAGTGCCACGCCCACCGCCGAGAGCTTTAAAAAGGGTATTCTTCAGCCAGCTGTCTGTAGGGCCCAGGGTAGCGATGGAGGAAACCTGGACGGCAACTTCGGACTTGGCTGGGCTAACGGGCACCGCTTTGAGGGCCTGTGCCATAGCCGCCCATCCCCATCTTGTAGGTGACTCGTCATGAATGCTATGCCTCCCCGGCACGCTAGCAATAAGAGAGCCTTTGATAGCCGAAAAGTCGTACTTCTCTAACTGGCTAATGATGGGCCTGCAGGTAACGCGGCGGGTATCGTATGACCGAAGGTAGTTCAAAAAGTCCATCTTGAACTTGGCACCGCTGCCAACTCTATGCTCCTGGCTGGTCTCCTGCTGCGAGGACTTCATGAGAGGAAGTCTCGGCGAGAGCCAGACGGCCTGCGTCATATTGGTCCAGTCGCGGATAATCATGTTGGCGGTGTGGATGACTATCTGAGCCGTATCATCATGCCGAAGTAGAATCATCATCTTGGAGTGGTGAGTACCAAACATCTCGGGGAGAAAGGCAGAGTGCAGGCTGACGTTGGAATACCGAGATGCCATATTCTGTACATGTTAGGGACTCCGGGAGGACAGAGAGGTCTGTCCACTTGAACAGATAATCAAGTGCCTACCTGCAGTTCAAGCCGGTTTGGGTCCTCCTTCTTCCAGAACCCGTGGACAACGTGAACCTTAACGAGGCCCCGGACATCCTCATCAAAGGCATTCATGAGGAAATCGATATCATGAAGGTAGTTGAATTCCCAACATTCTGATATGAGCGGGTCACCTAGGATGTCTTTGAGGCTAATCGTATCCCTATTGAGCTCTGGGGGCAGGTCCCGGATCCTGGTCAATTGGAACGGGGACCGGAAGGTTTGGGAGTGCACTGCGGCTTGACCAGCGGCATCCTCTGCGAGTCGACGCTTCTTCATGGGAGGACTGACTGGGTGAGTGAGTGACAGTGGCGTTGACTTTCGACCAGGCTGATCCCCATCGCCAACGCCATCTCCATCGAAAGACGCAGGCCGTTTGATTGCTCTCTCCATTGTGTTGTTGCACTCTCCCAGTTGAATTGGAGTCCTGTCAACGGTTCGCGCCACCAGCTGCCAATCGCTTGATCATCTGCAGTGCCAGCAAAGACAGGGGTGTGTGGAAACTGGAAAGACTGGTGGGGTTTCATCTCTTATGTGAGTGGATTTGTGCCTGGGAATTTAGGCGGTCAGAAAGACCTGGCTAGATGCAGGAAACCGAACGTGTCGGAAATCGAACACAAGGCAATCGCCTTCTGAGAAGTCCCCTGCCCGCAGTGTTGCCCCTTGCGCGAAGTCTTTCAAGACGACGACGACAGCCCCGAATTCAGGGCTCTAGCGTACACCGTTTTCCATATTGACAACGAATATCGAATTAATTACACGACAGTTGAGAGCATCCTGCCCAGCGGCCGCGCAGTCGGTTTCCATAGAGTGGCTCAATGCCGGGCTAAACCGCCATCGACGAGAAATCCCTCCCGACGACGAATTTCCAGCTGCTTACTCGTGTTTACGACGGCGTGTCACTTTGCACTACTAGTAGTTCTGCCGGCGTAACGCGCATTCACACACGGGCAACCGACAATGCGGTTGCTCAACCTTGCGCTACTGTTTGGCGCTGCCGCCCTCGCCGTTGCGCAGGATGTCGATGACGATGAAGAGCCGCAGGAGCCGACATACTTCAACGGCAAAAAGGTGCCTCCATTGCTGGAGATAACTCCGCACAACGCCGCCGAGGAGATGAAAGCCTCTAAGTACCTGATGGTCAAGCATTACAGGTAACTCTACTGTCCCACGACAGATTTCCCCTCGCGTACTAATGTCTCCAGCCCTTCCTGCCCGTACTGCCAGGACTTTGCTCCCACGTTCCAGACGTTGTACGAATTCTACTATACCTCATCCCCCGCCGGTAGTGCAAGCAAAGATGCCGATTTTACGACTTTCTACGACTTCCGATTCGCAGCCATCAACTGCCAGGCATTTCATGACCTGTGCTTCGAGCACAATGTGCGGTCATGGCCAACGACGATTTTGTACGAGGACGGCGAGCCGATCGTTACCTTCAAGGGCGTTAAGGACATGGACGTGCTGAGCGGCGCAGTGGAGGATGCGCTAGAGAAGGCCAAGCCAAAGACAAGGCCTGCAAGCATCCAGCTGCCCCAGCCAGGCGACAAAGCATCCCCTGAGGCCAAAGGAAAGAAAACCACTGAGGCTGACGCGACGGATACGGAAACCGCGGCGGCATCCGATCCGTCCGTCGATGCCTCAACCGCCAAGTCGAAGCCCACCGCAGTCCCGTACACTCCGCCCTCGGCAAAGACGGTCAAGCCTGCCGCCACCCCGAACCCCGACGGCATGTCCGTCCCTTTGACGGCAGATTTCTTCCAGGACAGGGTGAGCATGACGCAGGACCCATGGTTTGTCAAGTTCTACGCGCCCTGGTGCCATCACTGCCAGGCTCTTGCGCCCGTCTGGGAGCAGTTGGCCAAAGAGATGATAGGCAAGCTCAATATCGGCGAAGTGAATTGCGACGTCTCATCTCGCCTCTGCAAGGATGTTGGTCTCCGGGGCTACCCGACTCTTCTCTTCTTCAAGGGCAGCGAGCGTGTCGAATACGAAGGCCTTCGCGGTCTCGGCGATCTCAAGCAGTACGCCGAAAAGGCGGTTGATCTCGTCAGCGGTGTCGATGACGTCGACTTTGAGTCGTTTAAGGCGCTCGAGGAAAAGGAGGAGGTTATTTTCGTCTACTTTTACGACCACGCCACCACCAGCGAGGACTTCATGGCCCTTGAGCGGCTGCCCATGAGCCTGATCGGCCGCGCTAAGCTGGTCAAGACACGGGACCCCAAGATGTACGAGCGGTTCAAAATCTCCACTTGGCCGCGGCTGCTCGTCTCTCGTGAGGGGCGTCCGACATACTACACGCCGCTCTCGCCGAGAGAGATGCGGGATACGAATATGGTACTCGGCTGGATGAGGTCTGTGTGGCTGCCTCTCGTTCCAGAGCTCACCTCGGCAAACGCGCGCGAGGTCATGGACCGCAAAATTGTTGTGCTCGGCATCCTCAATAGGCAGGACGAGGAGTCCTTCCACGGCGCGATCCGCGAGATGAAGAGCGCAGCAAACGAGTGGATGGACAAGCAGATCCAGCTCTTCCAGCTCGAGCGGCAGGAGCTGCGCGACGCCAAGCAGCTGCGGATTGAGGAGGCCGAGGACCGGGGCGACCAGCGAGCGCTCCGCAATGCCAAGAACATCAGGATCAACATGGACCGGTCCGATCGCAAGGAGGTCACGTTTGCGTGGGTCGACGGCGCCTTTTGGCAGCGCTGGATCCGCACCCACTACGGCATTGACGTCAAGGACGGCGAGCGAGTCATCATCAATGACGAAGATGTAAGCTCTTCGGAATTCCCTTGTTGAAGGCGTAACTAACCCCCGCACAGAACCGGCAATATTGGGACCAGACCAGTACCGGCAACCCCATCGTCCCCTCGCGGACCTCGATCCTCGAGACCCTCAACAAGGTCACCGCCAACCCGCCCAAGATCAAGCCGAAGTTCACTATCTCGGCGTTTGAGAAGTTCTTCTTTGATATCAAGGTCACCTTCCGGGAGCACCCGTACCTCAGCTCGGGTTGCGTGCTTGGCATCGCCTTTGGCTGCGCCTCGTGGTTCCGTGGCAGGATAAGGCGGCCACGTGGCTACTTCAGGCTCGACGACGCGACCAAGGCGTTCAAGGGCCCGCTTCTGGGGTCGACTGCTAACGGCAGCAAGGCGGACTGAGCGGGGAGGTTGGAAGGCTGGGCCTCTGTGGCTTGTATCTTGTTTGATTTCGGCGGAATAGCCTGGGTTTGTAAGGCGCTCGACTGACGAGCCGGTGCACTGATTTTCCCCTGAGGGTTTGTCGGATAGAGGGCCCATCTGCGATGTTGCATACTAATACCTTTTGGGTGGCTCGTGTAGTAGTGTTTCTTAGTGGATTCCCTTGAGGCTTCTTTGCCGGTTCGCATTGTACATATGGAGTTTGGTTATTTGGGTTTAGTGGTTACAGATCTGGTCCATGTTTCGTGTTGTGACAGCTCGCCTTTGCCCGGCAGTTTGTGCCTCCGTATTGAGCTCCTCCGTTGCCGGCACAGTTGAGAACCGTACAGCTAGGCTTGTGATACCCAGCTGATGGACTTGGCCCATTAGCCGTTGATGCAGACGCTACACCATTTCATGATGTCTGAATGTACGTGAATGGGAAGGTGCCTATTGTTCGGTCTAACTTGGCGCCAGATGTGTAGGGTGTGCCGCATGTTGTGTGACTTTTGGGTTGAGACTGGTGGTGCACGGCATGCCGGTCCCATTTTCTCCAGGAGGTATGATGGCGCATGGATGAGGAGCTACAAAGTTCACGCAACCGTCATATATAGTGGGCGGTATGCTGTGTGTGGTTTTGTGTGGGTGAAATACGAGTCATCCAGTCCGCACAGGTCCGAGGTTGATAATGACCAGCAGCTGTGACGCAGTGCTGAGCTGTAGGTACTCCCGTAAGTGGGCGGATGTGTAAGTACCTACGTAGAATAATTACAGCCGGTCATCTTTCACGTGTGTGCCTGTGAACGCATTGGGAAGTCAGAACATGACCCTCTTCAGAACTGCCAAGGGGTTCCTGAGACAGGCTTGGTGTAGATGGTGCTTACAGCGCCCTGTTGCGTAGCTTGTTAGACTTACATAGTGAGTTATGGACGGAAGGAAGGCAGGGCTTGTCCTCCACGCAACTCGCAACATGCGATTCGTCAATTGGCCTCTTCCTCGGCAGCTTGCATGCGGGTGTGCGACATGCGGCCTCAGAATGGGCCGCATTAGCACAAGCTGATCCCGTAACGGCATTCGACAAATGGAAGGCTGGAGCACAGAGTCCGCTTAGACTGAGATAAATTATGAGTCGTTCATTGTGTTCGGGTTACTGCATGACCGTGCCATGCCGTAGCTGCGCGGTCGGGACGCTCCCGGAGACAACAAGTGGACGACTAAGTACTTAGTTCACCGGCGACACGCGTCTCTGCACACCTCCAGCTTAGAGCGACGGGGAGACAGATGAGAAAGAGATAGTGTAGAAGTCGGTGGATATATCGAGATTGGTACACGAACATGCCTGGGAGGTTAACGGGAAAAAGAGGCATCCTCCAGAAGCGTGGGCCTCGTCCGGTCTAAATAGCAGAAGCCAGCAGCCGTCAACACCAACGCCCAGCAGCGAATAAGAGGTATAAATACAAATGTCCCGAGGGAAGACGATCTACGACGGCGACGGAAGAAACTCCTTGTAGAAAAAGGTCTCGCCCTTTTTGCCATTGGGATGCACACGGCTGAAATGGGGCACCTTGCCAATCTCGATGTAGCCAAACTTTTTGAAGGCCAACTCGGCCACGCTATCCGTCTCCGTGTCGACGAGCTGGTGCAACAGCGTCAGCGATTTGGGCCCTCGGCCCGGTACGCAGCAAGAGATGGGGAAACGCGCAACGTACCAACAACGACCGCCCCCTCTTTGCCGCCTCGTACTCGAGGGCGGCCACCAGGGCCTTGGCGCCGCCCTGGCGGCGATGCTTGCGGTCGACTAGCACGGCGTCGATATGGCCCCGGAAGGAGCCCGTCTCGGACTCGGACAGCCTGAGCATGGCCAGGCCGCGGAGGTCGGACCCGGACGGCTTCTTGCCGGAGGCCAGCTCCGGCAGCAGCAACACAATGACGCGGGCGCCTCGGGCCGCCTCGGCGATGCGCTCTTTCCACCACGGCAGCAGCTTCTCGTTGGTCAGCGGCGGCAGGAAGGGCCCTATCATGTGGTCGAGCGTGATGCACGATGCGTGCAGCGCGGCGATATAAGGGACGAGCTGGCCATGTTGCTCTTGCGAGAAGACGTAGGTCATGGAAGTCGACATGTTGTCTTGAGTTTTCTTTTCTTTCTTTCCTTTCTTTTCTCTCTGTTATCTTCTTCGTGATGTTCTATTACACGGGGGCGTGGAAATCACCCAGCCGCAAGTTTGTAGCGGATAAAAGCAGCGACAATGGCTAGCAATCGCTGGCAAGATTTCCGAGCCGGACGAGAGCTTTTTGTCGCATTACCGCCCACAGCAGTGTCAATTGATTCCCCGGCTCTCAATCCCCCCTCGCTTTCCCCTTTTAGAGATGACCTCCCAGAAAATGATGTCTGCGGGGCAGGAACGTCAGGAGTCAGCCAACTATGTGCATGGCGCCGACACCGGATTGGTGACAGGAAAAAAAAAATGTCTCAAACGGCTGGCGGCGGAGGTGTGGGTGGCAGGTCTCTATCTTCTTTTGTCCTCGGTAGGAGGAGGGGGGAAATGGGGGGCACCTCGGCCGTGATCGAACGGAAGGCCGTACCTTAGAATATGAGTGCTCAATGCATCACGCTCACCGGTCGGCTCGAATTTCGAAGCGGTGGGTTGCAAGCTGCAAGCGGGAATGCAGGTGGTGTGCAGGCCGGTTCGCAGCAATATATTACGTTGGATGCCGTCAGAAGCTTGGTCTCGCTGCGAGCTCCCAGGAACAGGCACCGTCAGGGGAATTTACTCGCCGTTTTAAGGCTGAATTGGCCCGTTCCCGGATTTCCTACGGGTGTCTGCAGCTGTGTGCGCGGAATCGGCGCCACAGCAATTAGTGCGGGGGTTACCCGCCAGGCCCGCGATTAGCTAACATTCCAAAAACGTTACTGACAATGAATGGACTTGTATGTGGTGTGTGTGTGTGTGTGTGTGTGTGCGTGTGTGTGTGTGTGTGTGTGTGTGTGTGTGCGCGCGTGTGGCTTTTGTCCGCGAAGCATCGGAAGATGATGCAACCGGGCATCATCAGTCATCGCCAATTTTTCGGCCAACGTCAGGCATTGGTGTTGTCGCGTGTTTGCGGCTGTGCGACGGAGCCGTAGCTACGCGCAGATCAGTCCGGGCCCGACCGAGGCCGACGGCAGCAGCGCAGGCTTCCTTCGGCTCCTCGTCTCCATACAACACAACTCCGTATGGGCCCTTGGTAGCCGAGCCGGCGAGCCGAGAGGGTGCCGAGCATCCATCCATTCATGATTCAGGTGGATCAATGAGACGTCGAACTCGATTGAGCTCTGCCGAGGAATGCCGCGATGTCCTCGTGCCGCAGCACCTTGCACGCCAACGGTTGCCATGTCTTTTAAAACGGTCGCCAAAAGGTGGATTCCTCAGCCCTATGTCTCTGACAACGGCAACAAGGAGCACTGGATCGGATCGAATTGCCGGCCTGTGAATGGGGACTGGGACCCAAACAGGATCTGGCTCGACGGCCTCCCATTGGTCTGACGGATAGCTACACAGCCAATTTGGCAAACTGCCGCAGCGTTTCAGCTTTTATGCAGTTGGCTGCTGAGGTCATCCCTGCTGTCAAGCTACACCTAGTACTACAAAGATCTTTAGTTTTTGGGAGACCACTTGTGGCAACGGTTTCAGCGATATCAGCTTCACGAGATCTAGTTTAGAACTTGGAAACCGCACATCCACTGTCTTCTGGGCGTTCAACTGCCCGCAGTTGTACCAAACCAATCGTTGATACCCAGGGCTGGAGATCTAGCATCCGCATCATGGACTTTCATTCGCTGCTTCGAAAGGCCAAGCATGGCCTGGAAGATCTCTTGACAGATGAGACGCATTCACACACTCACGACGACGCCCAGTGTCACGACCAAGACATCCATGCCGAAACCAGCGCTAACCGCTACGGCTCGTTCGCTCCCCGGTCGACCGGCCATGCCAAGTGGTATGTGGATGGCGCTTCTTATTTCTGGGCCGTCTCTATGGCCCTGGAAGGTAACGACATCTGCTTCAGGAAGTTGGTCACGCGCTAACCCTATCTAGAGGCACGCGAGTCCATTTATATCTTGGATTGGTGGTTGAGGTAGGCTCCCTCGTCTGGATAAGCAGAGGTCTGGTGATCTGACGAGCGTTAGCCCAGAGTTATACCTTCGCCGGCCCCCTGCCCGCAATGAGCGGTACCGCCTCGATAACTTGCTCAAGGCTGCTGCCGAGCGTGGGGTTCGCGTCAACGTGATTGTATACAAGGAAGTTGAGGCGGCTCTGACCTGTGAGTGGTGTATCTATGTGTTGTACGACGTGCTGCGTCGACATAACAGGGGCTGACAACGACAGTGAACTCTCAAGTAAGACCAGCATTCACTGCGGCTCGGCCCAGGACTGACAGCCACAGCACACCAAACACGCTTTGGAGGCCTTGCATCCAAATATCAAGGTCTTCAGACACCCTGACCACCGCCCAAGCGGCGTTAGCCTCGTATCAGGCCTCCAGGATCTCCACTCCGGTCTAATGAACTTCAGCCTGAAGACGTTCGACCTTGCCAGGGCTTCTGAAGATGCCCTCAAGAACCTGTATGGCACAGCCGATGACATCGTCTTGTACTGGGCTCACCACGAGAAACTGTGCCTCATCGACGGCAATGTGGCCTTCATGGGCGGCCTGGATATGTGTAAGTGCTCTTGTACCGGAATGAAGACATTGCTGACTGTCTTAGGCTTTGGAAGATGGGATACGAACAGTAGGTTGTTCCTTGGTCGTCGAGGGCTCCGCTGACGCTGCAGGCCACCCCATTGCCGACGCCCATCCCGGCAATATGGACGACATTATCTTCCCTGGTCAGGACTACAACAATGCGAGAGTCTACGATTTTGAGGATGTCGACAAGTGGGAGAACAATAAGCGTAAGAAGCCCACGTGCGTGCCTGCGTATCTTGACTGACCGACGCAGTCGACCGCACCAAGAGCTCGCGCATGGGATGGTCAGATATCGCAATCAGTCTCTCTGGGCCTGTCGTCAACAACTTGGCGGAGCATTTTGTTCAGAGATGGTTTGTGGCCCCTTACACCTCCTTGATGCCTGCTAACCAAGACAGGAATTTCATCTTCAACAAGAAATACAACGCCCAAAACCCTGGCAAGTATCAGCTGCTCGAGGCACCACCGGCTCATTATCAGCATGCTCCGCAGCCTCTGTTGCAGGGGGGCGGAGAATTCTTTGAGGGACTACACGACCGCTTCTCGCGGCACATGCACGGCTTCTTCGGTGGCGAGGAAGGAGGGTCGCATCGTCAGACGGCTGCTGCACACATCCAGCTCACTCGGAGGTATTGTAGGAGTCACACTTGCTTTTCCTGCACACGCTAACTCCAGCAGTTGCTGTCAATGGTCACTGGGCGTGAAGACGGAGCACTCGATCGCTAATGCCTACATCGAGGCTATCAAGAACGCTAAGCACTTCGTTTACATTGAGAACCAGGTTCGCGCAGTCATCGCTGATTTGGAGGACAGAGCTAACTGCCGCAGTTCTTCATCACGGCCACCTCGGATGAGCAGAGGCCCGTCACTAACAAGATCGGTGCGGCAATTGTCGACCGCATCATCCGGGCATACCAGTATGGCGAGGACTTCCAGGTCATTGTCATCATGCCTGCCGTGCCTGCCTTTGCTGGGGATCTCAAGTCGGACGGCGCGCTCGGCACGCGTGCTATCATGGAGTTCCAGTACAACAGCATCAACCGTGGAGGACACAGCATCATCGAGACCCTGCGGAACGCGGGAATCGAGGACCCCCACCGGTACATCAACTTCTACAACCTGCGCAATTACGACCGCATCAACACAGGGGGTGCCATGGGTCGCGCCGAGCACGAGAGCGGCGTTCGCTACGAGGACGCACGCCGCGAATACGACGAGCGGTACCAAGGCAGCGACTACCACGGCCGCGGCGACAGCCAGTACCGCCGCTACCAGGAAGCTGCCAGCCGCCTCACCGACCCGACTTGGGACAGCGTGGCGGCATGCTACATGGACTCGGGCCCGGACCTGCGCACCATCCCCTGGACGGGCCCCCTGGAGGCCGAGCTCGACGCCTTTGTTTCGGAGCAGCTCTACATCCACAGCAAAGTCCTCATCGCCGACGACCAGCTTGTCATCTGTGGCTCGGCCAACCTCAACGACCGCTCCCAGCGCGGCGACCACGACAGCGAGATCGCCGTCGTCATCGAGGACCCCACCCCGGTCGACAGCTACATGGGTGGGCGCCCGTACACGGCCTCGGCGTTTGCCACTTCGCTCCGACGCCAGCTTTACCGCAAACACCTCGGCCTGCTGGCTCACCAGCGCCCGGACGTGCCGGACCGCAACTGGACGCCCATCACCCACGATCCGGTCAACGACTACGACTGGGGCTCGCCGGCCGACAGACTCGTGCGGGACCCAATGGACCATCAGTTTATCAGCCTCTGGCGCGACACGGCGCGGCGGAACACGGAAATCTTCAGCCGCGCATTCCACCCCGTGCCGGATGACAAGGTACGCACGTGGGAGGACTACGACCAATTCTTCTCGAAACACTTTGTCATTCCGGGCGAGCCGGCTGAGCAGGCCCAGGAGGGGTACAAGCAGGGCAAGGTGGACTACGGGCACGTGGTCCGAGACGAATTTCCCGGCGGCGTCGAGGAGGTCAAGGAATGGCTGAGCGGCGTGCGGGGGAACCTAGTCGAGATGCCGCTGCAGTTCTTGATCGACGTGGAGGACCTGGCCAGGGACGGGTTGGCGCTGAACACGCTGACGGATGAGTTGTATACGTAGTTGAATAGGCTGACGGAGATGAGCTTGCTATTTCCGGGAAATGTTATTGACGATCCATTGCCATTATCTTTTTTTTCTTTTTCCCATCCGCCAAAAAAACACACTTTAAATATGCATCTTAATGACAAACTGAGCCCTGAGTTTCTGCCACATGCAGTCTCCCAACTATCGCGCCAAACGCCGGCCTTGCCTCACTCATCGTCCTCGAGCTCCTCCACTCTTGGAGCCACGTAACTGCGCTGCTGCGCGGGGGCGGCAGAGATCTGGGTAGCGGTGGCTGTAGTAGTGGCAGTCGCGGGGGCAGGCTGTCCAGTGCTGGCAGCAAAGGTCGCGCCTGCGTTTGCCGAGCCGGAGCTCTTTTTGGATTTCTTCTTCTTGCCTTTGGCAGCCGGCTAGAAACAAGCAAGAGTCAGCACAGAAAAACAGCGGAGAGCGCGAGACAAAGACTGACCTCATGCCAAGCCCAAACGGGCTTGAAGCTGTCTATAACCGAGACATCCTCCCAGAGGTTAGGGAACAGCCAGAAGCCGGGCGGTAGGACAAAGTAGGTGACGCAGAAGAGAATGACGCGGAAGATGGCCATGGCGAAGAACAGGCCCAAAAAGCACAGGAAGCCCCAGCTGAGGTAGTAGCCGCCCTGGCGCAGCTTGACGGGCCAGAGCGGGTAGCAGACAAGGGCGAAGATGGCAAACAGAGCGAGGGCGGCGTAGACCTTGCGCATGACCTGGCTTCCTTCCCACAGCCAGACGTAGTACATGTCGTCGCCGGCCTCCTGCTGAGGCTCGATTCGCACCGTCCAGAGGCCCTTGACCCGCTTGGGCTTCTTGCCCGTCCCGCCGTGGCTGTGGCCCTCGTGCGGGTCCTCAGCCTTGACCACCCGCAGTGCCAGCATCGACAGCGGGAGCATCTTGAACGTGTTTTCGAGCGACGCCCGGTCCGTGATCTCGGGCAGCGCCGGGTTCTTCTTGCGCGCCGCTGCGTACGCGTCCGACTGCAGGGCTCGTAGCGCGCGTTTCACCTGTTTAGCGCCCACCCCACAGGCTTGTTAGCATTTCGTGGCGTACCCGTCAGGAGACGGATCGGGACTTACGCGGAACATGTCTTTGCGCTCGCCATTGAGGATGCAGGTGCGTGGTTTGAGGTTCTGGCTTCGCAGGAACTTGGCGAGTGCTAGGGCCACCGGGTTGGGCGGTCCGGGGACGATGGGCTGAGGCTGGCCGGGGGTTTGCGGTTGCTGATGCTGGTGCTGGTGCTGGTGTTGGTGCTGACCTTGGCCCTGCTGTTGCTGTTGCTGCATCATCCTTTGTTGCTGCTCAATGGCCTGCTTCTTGAGGTGTTCTTTGGCCGTCAGCAAGAGCCATCCAACCAAGCAACCATGCGACTCCATGCTTACCGATGAACTGTGGTACTGTCATGCCGGCTCTTTGGGCATCAGCAGCAAGCTGCCGCTGCATGGCAGCAATCTGCTCCGGGCTGGGCATGCCCATTTGCCCAGGCGCTGGCCCGTTCGCCGGAGGAGCCTGCATCGCTCCGGTTCGATTGAGATGGTTGAGATGGTTGTGGTGGGAATGTCGGTGCGTCTGCGCGTGACTTTGCTACAGATTGTTCGAGGCGGTAAAAGAGGGATGGCTGGAAAATTGGCGGTTGAGATGGCAAGCAAATTACCGCCAGAATGATGATAATCTGTGGTGAAGTTTAACAGATTTAGCTACTTTCACGTTGGCTGTAACTATCTGTATCAGACACGTATCTCAACTGACCCTTGCTGCATCGTGGTCTGTGCCGGTGCTTGGCGGTTTCTCAGCCTTCCTTATGTAATCCAGGATTCCAGCCCCGCGCCCAGCCGAGATGGTGGCTGGATGTGGCTGAATGCAAAATGTTGCACGTAACTTACATGATGTGTAACGTTATGTACGGAGTACGGAGTACGATACGGACTACGGAAACGGAGGGCCCGTAAACAAGGTACCTTGATTGATTAGCTCAACAGACCTTTCAAACCTTCAGAAGCTGGAGTTTTCACGAGTTTGAAGTGAGCACAGAGGCCTCAACGTAAACTCCCGCAGCATGTGCAATGGTTGTGGATTGCGATGCTGTAATGCGCTAACGCACGTTTCGGAGAAGCTGTCTCATCAGGGGAAGGCACGACCCGAGCCACTGGGTCCTGGCGGTCGCCCAGAAATCAACGCAAATTTCCCCGTTTTCCATCCCCAACGCGCTGAACGCTGCAGCTGAGTGCTGAGTGGACGCATTTGACGATTGCCTCACCTTTATGATGATTTTTCTGCGCTGCTGACGTTGTTCGCCACTTGGCTTCCGCTCCACCCAGTTGCACCATCTGCACGACAGACACACCCGGGGATTCGTTAGTGATAGGACGCCATGGCCCAGGGCCCGTATTCCTTGACTGGACGCATTCACGAGCTTCGCAGGGCAAGCCAATCCATGCCAACGGCCGGGTTTTGACGAAACCGCCTTCTTCGGGTGTGCCTTGCATCCGTGAGTCGGAATACCATCTTAGATTGGCGCACGCCAACCAAGCCAACGGGAGTTTATTTCCTGGTTCAGTTCCAGTACGGGCTTTGCCTCCACCAGATCGTGATCAAGGCCACTTGCTGGGCCGCACACCCTCTGTGCCGTGAGCGAGGTTTCAGGCAAGAATAGCAGCAACCCATCGCCCAGCCTTCCTCCAGGAATCTGAGTCTGAACTCGTCAATTGGCAATCTGCCGGCCGCAATTTTGACGGCCCACGAGACCCCCCTTTCATGTGGCAATGCCGCCGCAACCGTGGCCGCTGCTGCTCACGTCCAAGAAAAGGACTGAGACATTGACGCGAGTGCGGCACCTCCACGACACGCGACTGGCCCAAGCCATGATCTGAGTATGCTTCGGGGTGGTAGCGCCGCCTTTCGATCCACCCTAGCACCCTGAGGCACCCTGGTTTTGTAAGCGCCAACTGGTTCCTCAGCCGGACCATCCCAGCCTATCAGATGCCGCCCCCTGCAACCTCACCTCCCGGCTGCTGGCTACCACTAGGTAGCTATGCACTGGCACATCGCTGGCTCAGCTGTTTGTTAATGGGGCCTTACATGTGCGTGTAGCTCTGCCTCGAGCAGAGGCCGTCTCATCTAAAAGATGGCCGCTCCGGCCGAGCCGCCCGTTCTGTTCTCCGTCATGTGCTTCTGTTTGTGTGCCCTGTTCCTTTGTTCCCGGGTCGCTGGTCGCTGGATGTCGCTCGTTTCTGAGGCATGAGATCTTTTCTCCAACATCGTCGGCTGCATCTCATCCGGCAGCATGTCGTTTTCATGGCTTAGTTCTATTCTTTGTTGCGGCGCCGACGAGAAGCCTCGTCCGAGTGAGTTAGGGCCCCGTTCAGCCCCTGACGGCGTACTAAACCCGACAGGTATTGAGAGGAACATCGTCGTCTTACGGGACCAACCCACCCTCATCCCACGGCCATCGGCAGAGCCGCTATGGTCGAGCGAGAAGACGTATGAGAAGACGTTCGAGCAGGAGAGGGAGAGGGAGAGGCAGGAGGGGCAGAGGGGAAGAAAGAGGGAGAGGTCACGGTTGAGGAAGCCGGCGAGACAGGAGAGCAGCTCGACAAGCAGGCACTGGTTCAGATCTCCGTCGTCCACACGACGCTTGCAGATATCAGGGCCGACAGACTTTCGGCACCTGCATTCCGATGCGTTCCAGGCTCCGCAGAGGCGCTCCCGTCGGTTCTCATTCCGGCCGATCGAGTTGAGCATATACCAACCCCACAACCGGCTTTCGCCGATCCTCCCGCATCTCGACTGTGACGACGAATTTGTTACGCCGCCGCCCCGCGCCTACACCGGCGGCAGCTCAAAATGGGATTCCAGCAGCGGCACGACGCTCAACAACGAGAGGAGCTATTCGTCCATGTCATTCCATCTCCCCCGCCGTCATACGCGGCAGGAGTCCGGCATGTCTGATGCGAGTCTGACACCGCCAAGAATACCCCCAAAATCAAGGGCGCGGGCCAACACTGCCCCTAGCACGGAACGCCTTGTCGATCGCATTGCGAGCGCTCTTGTCGAAAAGGAGCGCCTACAGGCTGAGATCAACTCACTGATCGAGCGGCAGAGCATCTATTTCAACAGCCGCCCGTCGACGGCGTACGACGTGCGAGGTACATGTTGCCTGGCCCCTACCGCGCGATCTCTACTCACATTCCCAGGCCTCGAGCCGATGCCGTCCATACCGGCTCTTCCAGCGGCAGCACCATCTTTCGCCGAGCGCCTCAGCATCGACGGCCGGCCGCGTACTGCTCCCTCGAACATAGGTGGCATGAGTGCCCAGGAAGAGGCTGTTGAGCTGGCGACAGCAGCATTTCCTTCCCCGCCACATCGGGCCACGCACGCTTATAACCATGGGGAGAGTAGCCAGTCAGAAGAACAAGACGATGACCTCTACCGACCTTTAGCCCCACCGCTCCCGCTTGTTCTCCGCCCGCCCCTCCGCAAGAAGAAGTCCTTTTCCCGCGTCTCAAATTGGCTTTTCAATCCAGAAGATGGCCAGCAGCAGCAGCAGCAGCAGCACAACCATGGTTTGGAGAGCACCGGGTCGTCACCGACCTATTTCACCGCTACCGGCACGATCACCACTACCCCCACCGCCACCTTTACCCCGCGCCCGCTCAAGGAGGGCGACGGCTTCTACCAGTGTGTCGCCCCTCCTGGAGGAATGCCGCGTACTAGCATGGAAACGGCTTCGTCGGTGTATACCTGGGACACGAATGAAGATGGCGACACCAAGACCTTGCCGACCAACCTGACCACCGCGGCGAGCACCCCAAGGGTAAAGCAGGGCGCTGGATCGAGACATACCACCCCAGTTATTGGCTCTTCAAGGGGGTTTGAAGGGACGGTGAATGGACAGGGGTTTAATCTGCAGGCTGGTGGGGATAATGTGATGCCTAACGGACACCGGCCGCTGAGCGTGGGTGTTGCGTTTTGATATTTCTTTTTTTGATATGGCCTTGTAAAATGCACGATGGGTAAGGATGGGACAGATGGATGGATCACCGGCAACGTCTACAGTACCAGACGATGGACGTCGAGCGAGGCTTGGCGCTCTGGACTGGATGGCCTGCTTGGGTTGGGTTGGGTCAGGTTAAGGGTAATGGAGGGCGTATATTCTGTTCTTGGTTACTTTACCTATGATACCATGGCGTTTTGTGTTGTGTCAAGGGAGATAGATATACCATGGGTTGAGACTCGCAGCTATTGTTTGGAACACTCGTGGAGCCGAGTGCCCTGCGCTGCTACTATAAAATGGAAAGGTGTGTAAGTTGGAGAAATGTCTTGATAAGGTCAATACCAATCGTGCTGCAACTCAGTAGCCGCCGTCATACAATATCCCGCGCACCTGCAGCTCGTATAGAGGTCACTCTGTCTGTAGCCGCTGACCATGTCTTGCTTGTTTGGGCCTGTTAGATATTTGTTCATTAGGAATCCAGAAAACTCAACCCGACCTTGTTTCATTTCTCCTTCACCGTCTTCGGATGCCGACAGTTGGGTTATGCCTGCGCTCCGTCAGGTAGTGCTCTGGGACAAAGGTACCTATGCCCCCTGCCCAAGAATTAACTGGCACCGCAAAACAATACAGCACTACATTCAACATCAAGACGACACTTAAAGGGCTGTAAAATAAGATAAAATGAGCTGCTTTAGATAGCTATTCAATTGCTAGTGATTCCCCGATCTAATTCCAAGCAATCATTGAAGATTTGGGGGATTGAATTTATACATTTGCTGATGCTTCCCTGGCTTAAAGAGGCTACAACCGTTTTTGCGGTGCCAGTTAAATCTTGGGCAGGGGGCTATGGTACAGTACTTCGCAGTATTCACCTAGGGGTGTTGTTGGCCCAGTCTGAGTCTAGGGCGAGCTCCACTGAGTGCAACGCTCGGGCCACGATTGCCCTGTTCCTGTCGGTTTCAGCAATTCCACATTGCTCTCGACCAAATCAGCCGATGCTGCGTCCATACCAAGATACCGGAAGACGGCGTCAGTAGGATTGATTAACCTCCTAATGGCCCTGAAAGGTGACAAGGTTGATGAATTTCTCGGCTGAGCTGGCATCGCTACCGGTGTTAATATCGGGCTGTTGAACAGCACGCGGGCAAGTTGTCTGGAAGATGGGTCCGTTCTTCTCGAGGGGCTCAAGATATGCTCCCCTTCCAGCCGACGATAATGCCCACACGCAAAGACAGGCCAGTGGGTTGCGGCGCCGGGTAACTACTACTCTCAAGCTTGTCGCCGTGGCCGTGCTGCACATTGTCGCGCTTAGCTACCTGGCAATAACTATTCTGTATGTCTTTCGCCTCTTGTGCATGACACTGGCTAACTTGATAGACGACCTGAGCTGCCGCACTGCGACACCCCTGAAAGGGGCTTCCAGTGCAGCGTTCCCATCTCCCACTTTTGGGGCCAGTATTCGCCGTACTTCTCGGTGCAATCCAAAATCAACGCGGCTGTCCCGGCGGACTGCGAACTGACCTTCGTGCAAATCCTGTCCCGCCATGGGGCGAGAGCCCCCACCCCCGGGAGGGCACTCCTGTATGCCAGCCTCATTGACAGGATCCACAACGTCGTGACCGACTATGGGCCGGGCTATGGCTTTCTTAAAACCTACAACTACACGCTGGGCGCGGACGACCTCACCCCCATGGGCGAGCAACAGATGGTCAACTCGGGCCTCAAGTTCTATCACCGTTACCGTTCATTAGCCAGAACATCCGCCCCGTTTATTCGCTCCTCCGGCCAGGAACGGGTGGTACGCTCAGCTCAGAATTGGACGACGGGTTTCCAAGATGCCCTCTTGAAGGATGGAATTTCGTGGGACTCGCCTCTAGATGAGCTGCTCATCATTCCCGAAGACACGGACACGAACAATACGCTTCATCACGGCCTTTGTCCGGCATTTGAAAAGGGCATCTACTCCTCCGTCGGCACCGACGCGCAGTCCGTCTTCCTGGCTGTATTCGCTCCACCCGTCACCTCCCGACTGAACTCCAACCTCCCAGGAGCAAACCTCACCGACTCGGATACGGTCGCCCTGATGGACCTCTGCCCCTTCAACACGGTCGCGTCACCCTTTGGGGCCATCCTCTCCCCATTTTGCGACCTCTTCACGCCCTCGGAGTGGTCAAGTTACGACTATTACCAGTCCCTCGGGAAGTGGTATGGCTTCGGCCCGGGTAACCCGCTGGGGCCGACGCAGGGGGTGGGCTTCGTCAATGAGCTTCTGGCACGTCTCACGCGCACACCGGTGCGCGACGCGACGAGCACCAATGCCACGCTTGACGGCGATGAAAGGACCTTCCCGCTCAACCGCACCCTCTACGCCGACTTTAGCCACGACAATGACATGATGAGCGTGCTGGCCGCCCTGGGCGTCTACGAGGGCGTGAAGAACCTGGATAAGAGCGCGCAACGGACGGCCAAGGAAAGCGGTGGGTACGCGGCCAGCTGGGCGGTTCCCTTTGCGGCGAGGGTCTATGTGGAGAAGATGCGCTGTGGCGGAGGAGAGGAGCTGGTGAGGGTGCTCGTGAATGATCGCGTGATTAAGCTCAGGGGATGCCAGGCGGATGAGCTGGGGAGGTGTACCCTCGAAAGATTCGTAGATAGTATGGCGTTTGCGAGGAGCGGCGGGCACTGGAGTTCGTGCTTTGCTTGATACCCAGGTGAAATACCTATATTCTTCCAAGGACGATGTGTCTGAAAGATGCAACTCTGTTGTCAGGGGTTGCTACCGACCTGGCGGGGTAGTTGTGTTGGGTCACGGGTAGAGGATGCTATACAGCCTCCTGATCGGAATCTGCACTCGCTTGGCTTTGAATTGTAAACTCTAGATCAGTTGCCCACATCTTGTGTTTAGTGGATGACAACGACGAATTTATGAGGACTGAAATACAGATAGTGACTTCCCATTGATTTCCACTCTCGCCCAATCCGGCCTGGCAGCTTTCGGTGACGATGGCACTGCATAAGAAGTGGGGCGGTTCTCTCGCGTAGCCTTTCAGCGCCTTTGGAAGCTGCCAAAGCAACCCGGTTACACCAAGGCTCCAGGCCCGTTGGCCTGGAGCCTTTACAACCTATCCATGCCGATCCTTAAAGATAATTACGCAACCCACAACCTCTATCTACTGTTGCCTCAATCGAGGCTTTCAACAATTTGACCCGATCGCTTTCTTGGACAGCCGCAACGATGAACACGGCAGGGATCGTCGTGCTCGTCATCGCCCTGGCTGCCATTGCCGGGATTATAGGGTGGATTGTCTTTACCCGCATACGAGCACAGCGACTGGGGGTGAGCTTCTGTCCCCCGTGCTTCCCTACCTATCCTGTTTACTCCGAGCTAATTCAATTCTCCAGCTTCCTCCACCTCCTCTAAAGTCCTATATCCCATTCCTGAAGTCGTCCTCATCATACAGCGGCCCGTCGCCAGCCCCAGGCGGACCCGCCGGCTGGTTCAGCGACCGCATGCGCATGTTTCGCCACGGCCGTAACAAGCGCACCGCGGCTGGTGCGTACGAGGGGCAGTCCTACAACGCCGGCTACGCCAGCACCAGCCGCCACCGCGGCTTTGAGCACGACGACGACGATCCGTGGGACTCGCGCGTGGGGCACGGCCCGGATGAGCACAACCCGTACGAAGAGGAGCGCGAGATGGGGCTGGTCTCCCGCGGTGGCCAGCCCGGCGGCGAAGGGTACGAGATGAACTTGCCAGTTGGGCCGGACGAGGAGGAGAGAAGGGGAAGGACGAGGAGTCGGTCGCCTGGACCGGTTCCGGGAGCGGCTACCAAGGCAAACCCGTTTGGCGACGACGCCGAGCCAAGCAACATCAGCTTGAGGGGGGTCAGTCCAAGGCCGATGGACGCTTCGTTCGCCGCACGAAAGGCGGCTAGAGGGGAAGAGGACAGAAGATCTGTCTTTCGGGAGGAGGTGTGATGTCTCGTTTGGAAGGGTGCCTCTATGATTGTGTTTTACGCCTTGATTTAGCCTTCTATTTTGGGATACTCGGGGAGATACGCAACAGTCTGAGGCGTTTGGCTGCTTTCATTCCTTTATCAGCGCTTGTTCTCGAAAGATATTGATGTCTTGACCGCACGATCGCTGCAGACTCCACTCCAGCTGATGAGCCTTTGATTCCAGATGCGGTTCGACAGTCTAGCATGAAGCAGGTTCCACTAACGTTAGTCTAGTGTCTCGAAGAGCTGCTTGCATCAGCCCTTCGATCGCCGCAGAATGCAACCGCAACATCAACTTCCATCGGGTGGGTCCCTCACGTCGGTCTACCCCGCTACCCCTCCATCAGACTTCGAGCATGGCAGCTCCATGCCCCCATGCCTCCATTGTCCAACCAACCCTTCAAGGCAGACATTCTAGGTCATCTAAACCGGCTGTTGAAGCGCAATGGCAGAAGTCAACCTTCAGGAAGTCCATGACACGCTGGTGTCCATCGCCTTCGAGGCGGGGCGCATGATCCTCGCTGCAAACCCGAGCAGCATCTCAACTGACACTAAGCTCAATGGTATGTACATATATGTACCACTCTCCAATGGCTTTCCAGTATCAGCAGACAACCTGACAGGGATGCTCTGCCAGCCGTGGACATTGTAACAGAAACCGACCAGGCCGTTGAACGGATGGTTCTGGAACGGCTGCGCGCCGCGTACCCGGCCTTCCACTTCGTCGGCGAGGAGTCGTACCAGCCGGAAGTGACGGCTATCACCGCCGCGCCTACCTTTATCGTGGACCCGATTGACGGAACGACCAACTTTGTGCACTCGTTCCCTAACGCGTGCATCTCGCTCGGCCTTGCCGTCGACCGCGTCCCGGCCGTGGGCGTCGTGTACAACCCATTCCAGGACCTGCTCTTCACGGGCATCCGCGGCCAGGGTAGCTACATGCAGCGCAACGCCTCGCTCGCTGCGGGCCAGGGACAAGGAGAGAAAGTGCGGTTACCAATTGGGGGCGGCACGAGGCCGCTTGAGAACTTGAGTACCGCCTTGGTGTCCATCGAATACGGCAGCCAGCGCGATGGTGAGAATTTTGAGCTCAAGTTGAGGACTTTCCGCAAGTTGGCCGCGGCGAAGGAGAGCGGCGGCGCGATGGTTGGCGGCTTACGCTCGCTAGGCAGCGCGGCGCTGAATCTTTGCGCGTGCGCCGCTGGGCAGCTGGATATGTACTGGGAGGGCGGATGCTACGCCTGGGATGTTGCAGCTGGGTGGTGTATCCTGATCGAGGCCGGTGGACAGATGGTGAGTGGGAACCCCGGGGATTGGAACCCGGCGCTGGATTCAAGAGTTTACCTGGCCGTTCGGGGCGCCAGCGGCGGGCAGAAAGAGATCATTGAGGAGTTCTGGAAGGTCATCGGGGATGGTAGGATGGACTACAAGCACTGATTGCCGAGTGGTTACTGCATTTAGCGATAGACCCAACACTAGACGATTGGTACGAATTCTCCGTTTGCTCGTTAACGAAACTTTCCACCCTCCCCGCTACCGTTCATACACCCGATTCCATGCCGCAACACCGATTTTCTCAGACTTGGCAAACTCGACGAACCGCGGCCGCAGCGGAGAACAAATCAAACAAAGAGGCGAGAGGGAGCAAAGCGTGGGTTTAAAAACCGAAGAACGGGCAAATGGGGCCAAGAGAAGTCAGGTTCCGGCAACACAGACTACCCACGGGGCTATTACACACAACCCCACATCGCGAAGCCGAACCGCCGCAACCCCCACGCGGGCATATACTTCCTCGCCGCTTGTCGCGTGTGTACATTGGCAAACCCTGGAACCATGTCGCGGGATCGCATGCATTAGCAGCACCGCGCGGTAGTTTCAGCCCTTGTGGGGGATCCGGGTACGCAAACCGATCCCCCAGACAGGGCTGACAGGCGGTTAACTGGCCAACCCGACTACATATCCGAACCCAAGGAGGCGGCCAAGATACGGGGTCCCGGGCCCCATACACGGCGTGCGCCGCGCCCCCCGTGACGGTTGCAGCCGTGTGTGGGGTTTTGCGGGGAGGACAACACGGCTCAACCCCCAAGCCCTTTACAGCGCGGTCCAGAGTGCGCCCCGGCCTTCTCATTTGATGCCGGCACTAAACCCGGCGGTAGCCGAAGCCTGGCTGCACGGCTCCGCCGCCCTCGGAGTTCTCGGGGCCTTCGGCATCAGATGGGTGCGCTCCTGTGTTGTGCCCGTACATGGTCCAGGAACATGGGCGTACATTAGTGTAGACCGTAAAGAATACCTTATATCTCATACAGCGGGTGGTGTTGCCGCAAGATAGCGAGTGGCCCTGATTGCCGGCCCGATTGGAGTCGACTCGCCGGATGAGGGCATATGGATGCTGCCCTGCTAAGCACTAAGCTCGAGGCCGGACTTCGAGGATCATTCGAGAGTTGATTGATAGACATGCTGGGGCATAGATACTTCTAGATATGTCTCGCCGAAGCTTGTGGTGACGTATGTATTTTACCTCTACGGAGGTACAGCGGCTGGATATCTGATACGTGTACTCCGTAGATCTGCTTGTACAGTATCCGTACAGCACTGAACACTATTCTAAGTATCAGACATTCTGAAGTGTACAATACCAAACGTGAGTGGAGGATGACGTCCCGCTACCCCTTTCGTCTGATACTTACTTCCATTGATCATGATGCCCAACTGCTTACCATTGGGCACACGACCTCTTGCGCTGAGCATGTCGGGTGAAGTCCGTCAAGAAGTTCGGCAGGAAAAGGATTGGCAGGGGCATCGGCTGAAGAAGCTGCAGGGCGGCTCATGCATACAATATGCGGCCTCGTGCATACATAAGGAGGTGCGGACTGCGTTGTAGTGCATGCACGATAAGGAATTTATCCAGCCCGTCAAGATTGAAAAATGCAACGCGATAAGCATCGAGAACGCCATTGACTGTGTGAAACCGTTCAGCATCGTTATCTGAAGCCTTATCTTATCATCAAAGGTTTCCGTTGGAGGCCCTGATCAAGCCAGAATCCGTCGCTTGCAAAGCCCAGTTCAAGTTGGGTGCGCGTTGTTGTGGCGCTCAGCAGTGAGTTTCCTGATTCTCAGAGTGGTGAAATATTGGCAAGTTACAGAGAGATCACACCGCTGGTCGGATGCACCAAACCCGGGTAGTCCCGGCTGGGAAGAGAGTCTTGCCCGATGTCAGACCGACGGTGAAGCCTGGTGTTTGGTGCGGGCCAATCCGGGCATTTCCATGATTCACAGAAATGCAGATTTCAAGGCAAGAACATTCTGATATCGTCGGGAAATCTCCACAGTATCGAGCGGCTGGTGATTGGCCAGTAAGCGCAGGATGCAGGCGCGCCTGCATAGGACCAATCGTTGCAGGACTGCGGGTTGCCGAGCCATCTCGGTTGAGTTGGTTTTGACTCCGTGATAAACACTGTCTCCATCGAACTTCATTAAAAGGATCGGTTGAAAACGGAATCAACCTTGGAAACAGGTGAAAGTCAGCTCATGCGACATGTTAAACCTTGCGTGGACTTAGTCTCTTGATATTAGTGTACACGTACTTGGCGTATAGTATTTTAAACACTTATAACGCGACCTTGTCTGAAAAGGAAGATAGACTTATATACTAAGTATCGAGGTATCTTAACTAATGGTATCAGGTGGGGTGCTGCAGCCGACTCAACACAAACTCCGGGAGTCTAGCTTAGGGCGGATTTGTTGTTCTCTTCAATGTACTAGCCGTTGCTTACTTTGACTGCCAGAGCGTCTTAAACTCCCGAGCGCAACTTCAGGAAGGTACTGTTGAGTTTGCTTGCGACGCCGGGCTTGGGACGTGCGCAAGAAGACGGCTCGTCCAGCACTGTGTGGAAGAAGCTGCGGGTTACTGTGCTGTACCAGCGTTGCCACGGTCCGAGCTACCGAGCCCTCCAACACTAAAACCACACTTTGCATGCTTGGAGGGGTAGGTACCGTTAGGGTAGAATGCTTCTCATTCGGCTCCCTTTTTGTCTCTGATGGCATGCGCCGGAATGGCTCCGCGCCCGCCCGTCCTGTGATACATGCCGAGCATTGCAGAGTGACGATGCCGTCAGAGTCGCTGCTACATAGCATGGGGCTTACGGCCCTCCTGGAGAGAAAGCTACGGCAAAGGTCGTCGGTCGCATTTTCGGCAGAGCGGGTACGTGTAATAGTGGCGCGCCGATAGATCGGACCCAGACACACCGGCTGGAAACAGAACAGACTCGATGCATCGAAACCCGGACTCATCGAAACCCGGTCCTGGGCTGTTTGTCTGTGTCAACACAACACGCGCCCTGGTCAAAAAATTTCCCCTTATCTTTCTACTCCTCATATGCAGACGGGCGGCATTCTTATCATATAGCGGCGACAACTCTGAGAAATCCTGAATTCGCCTTTCTCGTCTTCTCCCTCTTCAAGCAAGCATCTCGGTGACTATAGCCGTAGATACACTTGCCACAGCAGCCACGGCGTATCACCTCCGCCGCACCAGAGCTGCTGGACTGTAAGACTGAAGCCTCGCTTCGCCGCAATGAATCTAACCAAGCAGAGAAGTCCCCGCAACCCGGATGAGTTTCCCACCGTTCAGCTCTTCCTACTAGGTAAGCTGGTTCTGATTCAAACCTTCCCCGCAACAACGAGCAAACTGACTCCTGCAGCCATTGTCCGTCTTGCCGAACCCATCGCCCTAACCTCCATTTTCCCGTACGCCTGGGACCTCATCAAGCGGTTCAAGATCGGCAGCGAAGACGATGCCTCCTTCTACGCCGGTCTGCTCATCTCGTCCTTCTCCCTGGCGGAGGCCCTGATGGGCATGTACTGGGGAGGGTTGTCGGACAGGGTCGGGCGCAAGCCCGTGCTGCTGCTGGGATGCGTGGGGACCATGTTCAGCATGGTCATGGTTGGCTTTGCCTCCAATATCTGGATTGCGCTGGTCGGACGCGCCATCGGTGGCCTGCTGAACGGCAACATCGGCGTCATCCAGACCATGGTAGGCGAATTGGTCACGAAACCCGAGCACGAGCGTAAGTTACACCCAGAGAGTTGTGCTTTTGAAAACCTGCTAACCAAGCACAGCACGTGCATATTCAATCAGTGAGTGCGGCTGCTCCTAAGTACACTACAGTCACCAGCTAACCAGCGCAGTGCCCTTCGTCTGGAGCGTCGGGACCATAATCGGGCCCATGATTGGTGGTCTGTTTGCTGACCCCCACAAGTCGTACCCCCACCTAGTCCCCCGCGGGTCGCTGCTCGAACGCTTTCCCTACCTGTTGCCCAACCTGATCTGCGCTGGAATGCTCTTGATGAGCATCCTACTGGGGTACTTTCTGCTAGAAGAGACCCACCCTGACATGCAACCGCGCGTGTTGCTGCCAGATGACACGTTCCTCTCGGAAAACACTCCCTTGATCGAGACGTCGGACGCCATGAAGCGCCCGGCGGTCGACCTCCGAGACGAGAACTACGGAACTGTGCGTAGCCTGGAACAGCCCACGCCGGCATGGCCCAAGGACCCCGAGAAGCCGGCAAACATCTTCTGCAAGCGCATCATGGCCGTGATCCTGTCCCTGTCCATCTTTACCTATCACTCCATGACGTACGACCACCTCCTGCCCATCTTCTTCGAGGACGACAGGATGCCCCTCCGCTCCCTCGCCACGCATCTGAATCCGCTCTACTCGCCCGGCGGCCTCGGCCTCTCCATCCAGGCTGTTGGTGTAGTCATGGCCGTCCAGGGGGTCATTGCTCTCTTCATGCAGGCCGTTGTATTCCCGCTCATGGCCGAGCGCGTAGGCGTATACCGCCTCTTCATTTTCATCACCGTCCTGCACCCGATAGCGTACCTGATCGTACCGTTTTTGATATACGTCCCCGAGGGAATGCTCTATCCGGCCATCTACTTCTGCCTGGCCGTCCGCAACTTCTTCTCCATCTTGCTCTACCCGCTCCTTCTGATTCTCATCAAAGAGGCGACGCCGACACTCACGGTGCTGGGCAAGGTGAACGGCCTTGCGGCGAGCGCCGGCGCTGCCTGTCGCATGGTAGCACCACCTGTGGCGGGCTACCTGTATGCGATAGGCAAGAAGATGGACTGCACCGCGCTGGCGTGGTACGGGAGCGCGCTTGTGGCGATCGTCGGTGCGATACAGTGCTTTTCGGTGAAGAGGGACGGCACGCGGGAGTGGGGCAAGGGAGCGGCCTCTGACGCTGAGCAAGTTGAGCCTTGACCGCTTGAGATACGGATGTGGAGGGTTATGATCTGGTCGGACGAGACAACGAGGATTACGACACAAAGGGAAGGAGCAGCATGGAGCATCAATTGGCATAGAGGGAGTCATGGGTTACATTTGGTTATTCGGTCTGTATACTATCTGGAAGGCGTGGCGTCAGGGTCTCATGAGTGACTGGGTACAACTAGATGCTTATGATCTGGCTTCGAAACAGCGGTTATCATTAAGGGTACATACATATCGAGAGCGAATAGAATCTGTTTGGGTTATCTCTGACGCCTAATAGTCAACGTTGGCGGTTGTTGTCACGCCGTTGGGGTTGGGGCGCCTTGGTGTTGCAAGGCGTCATCTTCCTGCCCGTCGCACATTTGTGGATTCAGTATATACAGAGATTTGCATTTAGCATTAGTACAGGTTCCTGACGAGATCTGTAATTCTACACTTTCACCATCAGCTTGCTGGAAGATCCCACCCTGATTTCTAGAAAGCTCACAATATCGCCACTTGCGTGCCACAGCTGAGCCGCCACAGAGATAGATGTGTGGCTGGTGCATCATCAAATGGAGGCCATGGCCCGTGCACGTCTGCAAGTTTGCATACGCGCACGGACTAACAGCCCTAGGTATATAATGCCTCCCACCTACCCACAAATCTTCCTCCTCTTCTCTTCTTTCTTTCCTCGCCCTTCGGGGCATTTGGTCAATTTGAAACGATACAGAGAAGATTAGCATGGCCCCTGCACTAAGGATGACACGCTACTCAAAGAGACGCTACCAATTTTTTCACTGTGATCATGGCCTTGCGTCGTGACATGGAGAAGAAACTAGTTGCTTGGTGTCAAACGAAATGCTGATTCGCGCTTCGGTCCTTCCACTTCCGGGGGAACAGGTGGTGGATGCGATTGGGTAGATGCCCTGGCTCGCCTGGGTTTCGGACAATCTGTGAGAAGAACACGCCCATGAATGCTTCGGATTTGACGAGCAAGGGCTGGGTAATCCACTCGATAAAGCAACCAATAGTTACTTGGAATCTTGGATGACGCAGGTGTTTACGGGCAAGCAAGCTTGTGTGTGTCTGGTGCCCGCAAAGACAACATACCGTATAAACTCGCCAAATTGACCTTCTTCTACTGCGTGTACTAAGGCCAACCCACCAATCCTGGGCGACCGGCTTGCAACTGGCCTGCAGTGGTTCAAACCTTACAGTTAGGATGCCAAAGAGGACTGAGCCATTAGATACGTCGCCTGCTTTGGTACGCGCAGTAGAAGAAGGTCAATTTGGCGAGTTTATACGGTATTGACCTCAAGAATGCAACTCCAGTGAGCCTCCAAGTTGATGCAACGATAGAGAGCCTAAAATTGCAAGTCGCAATGCCAAGAACGGCCGTCAAGTACCTTCGTATCGATGATATCTTGCGTAGACAGCCCATTCTACCGTCACAATTCTGACAAAAACCTCCAAGCCGCTACCGTAACTTTTATTCGCCGCTCGATATATACGTGACAAACAACAGCCCAGTCTATATATACATACAAGTGAACCACCACTTTCACACAACCACCCCTGGTCACCATACCTCCGGCCCAAACCGTCCTCCCTCGGGCACGCTCCTGTACGCACAAGCCTGCCAGTCGCAGCCGGCCTTGTACACTTCGGTGCCCCACCAGTGGAAACCGCTCATCCAGCCAGGGTAGACAAAGCCAAAGAAGACGACGACGATGCCAAAGGCCAGCCCAGAGTCCAGGGCGGCGCTCATGGTCATAGTGTACTTGGCCCACCAGTCGGGCGCTCGCTTCTTGACCAGGTAGTTGAAGAGGTAGCAGACGACGGCCCAGACAGAGAAGTTGAGCCCCGTGGCCGGCGGGATCCAGCCGAGCGAGCCAAACAACACAGGTAGGTTAACCTTGCGAAGGATGCTATCCCGCCTGTTCCGCGCATACGCCCACAGCGGAATCGGGAGCACGGCGCCGACGGCAAACGCCCATATCAGCGGGCGATAGGTCGCGTTTGGGCCAAAGAACTCGTTGGGGCCAACGACGCCCCATAAAATTGAGCCATTGAAATGCACACGAGAGATAGGACATGTGAATCCGTTGAGGGCCTGCGGAGTGCACAGGCCGGGGATGCTGGCAAACATCCAGTTGAGCACGGTGATTTGCGTGACGGAGGAGACCACGGTGGCAACAATCTGAACCATGAAGAGAATGCGGGGCGGGATTTTCATGTAGTGGCCCAGCTTGAGGTCCGCGGCGAACTTGATGCCCTGCGCCGACGAGATGTAGCCGTATGTGACGAACACCATGTTGGCGACGGGCCTGCCCGGGAAGATGATGCCAGCGAGGAGCTGGCAGATGAGATAGATGGAGCTATGCTGGTTGGTGACGGCCATGATGATGCCGATTGGGATGAAGAGGACGCCGCAGATGGCCAGCGCCAGGAGGAGGCCGTACCAGGGGAGATGGATCGGGTAACTGGAAATGTCAGTGCCATGTAAGAGAAGAAGGGCCAAAGTACTGACTATTCGACGGTAAAAATGCCAATGGCGGTCATGGACACAAATGTCAGCAGGTACCACAGAATGGGTGCATCCTCATATCTCCGCATCAGACGGTTGTGGACGTCTTCTCGGCTCATGAGGTTATCGACGCTCAGCGACCGCCTTACCCCCGGCCGGACCCGGCCATTTGATGACGATGATGGCCTGTCATTGAGCCCAGATACTGGCTGGTAATCGCCCTTTGGCTCCCCAACCGTCTCGTCTAGCGACCGCTTCCACTGCGTCCATATGTCCTTCCCATGCCAGCAGATGGTGTGTGTGATGAGGGCCGCCAGCCCGGCAAACTGCACCCCGTAGCTGAGAACGTATGTGACCGGCAGGAATACCCGGCTGTACTTAAAGTAGGCCTCTCGGTCAAATAAGAAGTCCTTGGTCAGCACTCTAGTGACATTGTACACGTTGCCGGTGTTGTCAAAAACTGCCGCCGAGAGAATGGGCATGTACGACGAGTACAGCCAGTTGCTGTAGTACGCGATAGGGGCGATGATCCACATAACCACGACAAGACCGCCAACCACATTCATGGCAGCCCAGAAGGGCGTGAGCAGCGGCGACCCAATGTAGGCGACCTGCGCCCAATCGAACGTCATGGGAAACAACCCCAGCCCGGAGACGACGCCGAACAGATTAGCAATGACAACATTGTCAGGTGCAAACCAAGTGACAACGTTGAAGTAGCTCAGCGCCGGCATCAGCAGGCCAGGCAGGAAATAGAAGAGGAAGGCACCCAGCCAGACGGCGTAGAAAAAGTTCCACCTGCTAATCCGCCAGCCGTTGGCCTTCTTGTTCTCCTCCTTGTGCAGCGTCGTGAACATGGCCGCCGACATGAGGGTGCCAGGCCAAATCATGCCGCTCGGCCGCACCAAAAAGCGGCGGGTGAGCCCCGCGAAGGTGTAGCCCAGAATCTGGGTCGACAACGTAAGCAGGAGCTGGTATACGATGCTGGCGTCCTGCTTGTAGAACTGCGTTTGCTCGACGATGACATCGGTCGCAAAGGCGAACCCAAACGACACATTGCTGCTGACGTAAACGCAGCTATGCTCCTTCTCGTTCCAGCGGCCCTGGGCAAGCCACAGCCGCACCCGGTGTAACGTGCTCCTGCGATCCCAGGAAATGACGGACGACGTGTGGCCAGGCGAGGGCGTGTCGCTCCGGACCCCGTCGACAAACTCTTCCGACGGATCGTCCGGCCGTTTCAACAAGTAGTCCCACAGAAGACCAAGGGGGTGCACCATCAACAATGCTATGACAGGCGTGATTGCGACGCTCGGGTATCTCAGGGAGAAAAACAGGTTCGTCGAGGAGCCGAGCACCGAAAAGAGTATGGACAAGGTCCACATCCTGGGTGTGTTTATGGACAGGCTGGTATCATCGGTCGGCGAGACCGAGGCTCGGACCTGAGGGTAGGGGGAATTGTCCGGCGGGTCGTCATCGTCAATATCCGAGTCCAAGACGATCGATCTTGCGTCATCATCGTCTCCATCCTCGGCCTGACCTGGGATGTCACCGAAGTCGTCTAGCAGCGCCGTTTCAGTGGCCCCAAACCGACTCTCTAGTCCACTGATGGTGGTGGAGCTGCCCAGCTCCTTGGACCGGCGGGCTGATTGTCTGAAGGACGGCGAGCTCGGCTGAGATCCATCGCGCCGGCGTCTCACAGCGAAGCCCGAGGGTCCGCTTGAGTCGGAAGTTTCCCGAGGCCGGACTAGCGGGGTTGTGCCCTCCTCCTCGTTGTCATCGGACTGCCGCGGGGTGATCGAATCGTAACCGGGGCTGCTAGACGCCGCTCCGCGGTGGAATGAGGCTGAATGCTTGGTCATGGGCTCGGATGCGGAGTCGATGGGACCGTCGCTGGCGCTCTCGTCCGCCGTGGCCACTCTTGGCTCGGATCCGCTGCCATGGGTGCCGGCCTGTCTAGGCTCGTCCGGCAATGTCTTGTTGCCGTGGGTTTGGGGGGGCCTCGCAGAAACCCCTGACACACGCGGTGACGTAGGGCCCTTCCCAGTTGCGGGACTGGGCTTCAGGGATTGTAGTGGGAACGACTGACGGTCAAGCTCAGCCGGATTGTCTAGGGAACCGCTTCTTCCACTGGAAGGCATATACGGTATTCCTTATGACTACCTCCCCCAGTAAGATGCGCATCAGGAGAGTCAGGAACTTGTGCGGGTCTGCAACAGCAACTGCGGGGCTGGAAAGATAATAATCGCACGCAAGATCCGAGGCGAACGGGGTTGGGACTTGCGAGGAGACCGTAGTGGAGTGAGATACGGATACCGATGACCAATCGATTCGCCTACACTACATCCCGTATAATTCAGCTATCATTCCGATTGTAGGACTCGGCATGCGACCTTGGGTTGACCGCTGAGCCAGGCGTTGATTATATGACAATACGTAGATAGCGGCAGGAACAGGAGGTTGAATTTTCACTCGGTGCAGCCGTTCCCGGCAGGCAGCGATGACACTTGGCATTCATGACAACTGCTTCCGTCTATGTATATGGAGATGGCGGCGCTGTACGTATGTATCCGTGCAGTATCGGTACATATGTACATACAGTACTGTACAACACAAATCTTTTGAATTCTAGATTAAAGCAAAGACAGAATCAAGGAATGGGGAACAGCCGTGCAACTTCTGTTCCTAAACGAATCAGATAGATAGGTATGTAAATACCTAACTTGGATGCGCTTAGATAGTGTTACGGCGGCGGTAGATACAGCCGGCGTTGCTAGGTACTGTAGGTACCCAGTGATTCCAAGGGAATGCAGCCTGACGACATATCCTAGCGTTGCATGCCCTGGAACAGCGCATGGCGTGCGTGGCTGCGGCCGCATCTGCTTCACACTCCACGCGGGGACTGCCCGACATCGCAACATATTGTGATTTCTTCGCCCCGACACCCCGACACCCGCCAACGGCGAGGGGTCCTGCTGACAGGCAACGTTCCTGCAATGTCTGATGGCGCAACCAGTGATCAGTCCGCAATGGCGTCACTCAATGCCGCCAAACAGCAGCTCAGAGCCGCAATGAAGCACAAGCTCAAGGCCGTGTCCCACGAGTCAATACTGTCACAGAGTATGATAAATCCGGGACAAGCCCCTCGGACCCAGACTAAGCGATATAGGCGCAGCCGTTTTCACCACGCTCAGACATTTCCAGCCTTACCTGGACGCAAAGCGGATCAGCGTCTTTCTGTCCATGCCATCAGGCGAGATACAAACAGACGCCATCGTCAGGGATGCGCTGGTGGCCGGCAAGGAGGTCTTCATCCCCTACCTACACAAGAACCCGGCTTCGCCCGATCCGCCAGCCCGTGTTATGGACATGGTCCGCCTGAGGGACCTCGCCGACTACGAATCTCTGCAGCCGGATAAGTGGGGCATCCCGAGCATCGATCCGGCGACGGTGCAGGAGAGAGAGCGCGTACTCGGCGGTCCTGACGCGCAGCACTACGCAGGCATCCTCCTGGACTTCATCCTCATGCCAGGCGTAGCCTTCAGCATCAACCCTGGCGACGGCGCCGTTATGCGGCTTGGACACGGCAAAGGATTCTATGACCACTTCCTCAGTCGGCACAGCGCAAAGGCGGCTTCCCTAGGGCAGCAAGAGTCCCCTGTATTGCTTTATGGCTTAGCCCTGTCTGAGCAGTTTCTACCTCCATCCGAGGGGGCTGTACCTGTTGGTCCCCTAGATCACCCTCTGAACGGCATCATTCTCGGGAATGGCGAAATCAAGGGCTCGCACTCCGCCAAATGAAATGCATACTCCATCCGTACAGTTTCTCCCCGCGACTGTTCGCTCCTTGGGATCCCCTTGTGGTAATATGCCAACTTTGCGCCGTGAATCAGTGAATTGAGTTCTGTCTTGCCCTGCTCTTTCAACCCGACAGGCTCTGGATGAGGGAGACGTTGTCGCCTTTCAGGAGGATTTGCTAAAGCCGGGTCAGCTCTGTGCTTGTTACCACTGACAAAAGACCTACCCCCAAGGGCCTTCGTGTCTCGGTGTCGTTAGTCTTGGTGATTTGCTTCACCTCGACGGCGTCGTCAATCTAGAGAGTTTAGCTGAAATCGCCACGGCAACCATAACGCGCAACACTCACAACAAGATTCATGAACTCGTCAAATCCCTGGACAGATGGTCAGCGATATGCGATCCAGAACAAAGAAAATAACGGCTATCGTACGCGGATAGTGCCGACAATGCGGATGGACAATTGCTCATAAAGCCAGATTTGAACTGTTGTGCGCTGCTGCAGCAAACGGAAGAGGAAATTGATCGGTGGGAGCAAGACCCGGCGACCGCCGCCACCACCTCGGCCGGTCATTGCGCGTCGATGTTGTGATGTTGGTGATCGTCGAAGAAAGTAATTAGACAGAACCGCGCCGGACGTGTCGTGAATTTGGCAGAAAACCTGGGGGAGCTGGGGCCATGAAGAAAGTCAACCAAGAAACGTCAACTGGCCCGTGCCCCTCCCCCCTCATTCGTGAATTTCGTGGTGTAGACTTAGAGCGTGCCACAGCGCCCATCCCGCACAGTGGGGCAGTGCGATGGTTAGGCATCCTGACCTTTGATGTTTCTAGCGCAAACGTCCATCTTGCAGGAAACCTTCAACATCATCCCATCTCGCCTCGGTCAACTCCACGATTCTCTCGGCGCGTCTCGTCGATCTGCGTAGACTTGCGCTAACCACGAACTATTTCCCACAAGGTTATCGTCTCGGGTCGTTGCTCTTCATCTCGAACGTTCTGCGAAAGGAAAAGCAGGAGGGAGGGGCACATTGGCTCTGCAGCTCGCAGCTGTTGCCGCGAACGGAAAGGCTTGACCATATCTGCGGCTTGTTGATTTTCTTCTCTCCTGGCGACCGCCGCAGACTCGTCATGGCGTCGACCGGGGCTCAAGAGACCTTCCCGGTTCCCAGCGTACTGGCGGCCATGCTGACCATGCGCACTGGGGACGCCGAGAAGAAGAAGGCTGCCGTCGACTTCCTGGCCAGGTTTCAGAAATCAGTCCGTAGTCTTCCTTGCTCACTGTGGCCGCACCATTGCTGACTCTTCACAGAAAGATGCCTGGACGACGACCATCTCCATCTTGCAGAGCTCGACCGAGGCCGAGGCACAGCTGTTCGCCGCGACCACCTTGAAGGGCAAGGTACAATGAACAACAACTCCCCGCCTCAATTTTCGACTGCCTATGCTGACTTGACCAAAGATTACATACGACCTTGCCACACAGATTTCAGACAGCGATTTACCTGCGCTGCGCAGCCAGATTCTGCTTCTTCTCAAGAAATTCGCCCCAGGCCCCAAGCCTGTCAGGGTTCAGCTATGCGTGTGCTTGGCCATCCTTGCCATCCAGATGCAGTCGTGGAAGGACGTGCTACCTAGTGTCGTCGGGGCTCTCGGGAATGACGTCGCCAGCCACGCTTGCATCCTCGATTTCCTCCGAGTGCTTCCAGAAGAAGTCACCGAAGGCCGGAAGATCACCTTGTCTGTATGTGGACCGATATGCGCGGCTCGCTTCACCACCTCGACCTTCGCTTGGGCGGATCGACCTGGGATCAATGTCTAATTCGATCATGATAGGAAGAAGACCTCGCCCAGAGGACATCAGAGCTGCTAGCCGACAATGCTGAGCAGGTCGTTCAGCTGCTCGTCAATTACGCGCAGTCTTCTCGTAAGTGATCCCCTGACAAGGCCGCGATCGGCGCTAAACAGTCACAGCTGCTGCCACAACCAATCCCCAGCTTTTCGACTGCATCAGCTCATGGCTCCGCGAGGTCCCGGTCAGCGTCATCGTTAACTCGCCCCTTATGGGTGCCGTCATGCACGGGATTGCCGATGACAACTCACTGGCGGCCGCCGCCGAGTGCCTAGGTATCATATGCAGGGAAACCAGGGACGTAGACGATAATCTCGAGACTATACAAGCGCTCCTCCCCAGGGTGCTCGAGCTCAGGCCACGCATCCAGGCATTGGTGGATGATGACGACTCTGAGGGCTTTAAGGCCATTACGAAGGTATTCGCAGATGCGGGCGAGTCCTGGGTTCTGATCATTGCCCGCCAGCCGCAGCACTTTCGCCCCCTGGTTGATTGCTTGCTTGAGTGTTGCGCAAGGGACAAGGAGAGGGATGTCATCGGCTACACATTCACATTCTGGTACGAGCTCAAGCAATATTTGGTGCTGGACCACTACATCGAGGCGCGGCTGCAGCTCGTCGAGGTCTTCTCGAGGCTCGTCGACATCCTCCTCAAGCAGCTCGAGTACCCCCATTCCGACGACCCGAACGAGCTCGACTTGTTTGACGGTGACAGGGAGCAGGAGGAGAAGTTCCGCTCGTTCCGCCACCACATGGGAGACACACTCAAGGACGCCTGTGAGGTCATGGGCGTCGCTGCCTGCCTCACCAAGGTGCACGACGCCATCAAGGTTTGGCAGGAGAAGTACGCCAGCCAGGCCACGCAGACTTCTGTGCCCCACTGGCAGTCGCTTGAGGCCCCCCTCTTCGCAATGCGTGCCATGGGTCGCATGGTTGACTCGGACGACAGCAGCGTCTTGCCCCAGATCTTCCCCCTTCTTGTCCAGATTCCCATCAGCAACGCGAAGCTGCGATTCGCGGCGATTATGGTCTTTGGACGCTATACCGAGTGGACGGCGGCCCACCCCGAGTTCCTCGAGCCCCAGTTCCAGTACATTGTCTCGTCGTTCCAGGCCGACTCGGAGGAGATCCTCCGCGCCGCCGCCCAGTCCTTTAAATACTTTTGCGTCGATTGCAAGCAGCTGCTTGGCGCCCAGGTCATCCAGCTGCAGGCATTCTATGATCAGATCCTCGATAAGCTCCCTGACCCTAGCAAGGAGGAGATCACCGAGGGTGTTTCGACCGTGGTAGGGGTCCAAAAAGCCGAAGACGTGTACAAGCTCCTCAAGCTGTACTGTGATCCCCTGGTACAACGGTTGATGCACAAGGCCAACAATGCCACCGATAACCAGTCGAAGCTCGACCTTGCTGGTGAGCAACCCCGGCCCATACACTTCATGGCATAGGCTAACACATCCAGATCACATTAACCTTCTTGCCTACTTCACCCAGAACGTCGTACCGTACGTCCCCGCCAATGCCGAGAACCCTGCGGTTAAGTACTGGCAAGAAGTTTTTCCCGTCCTGGCGACCATCCTTGACAACTTCATCGACTTTGTCCCCATCTGCGAGCGTGTGTGCCGTTGTTGGCGCTTCATGGTCATCTGGTATCGGACGGCCATCACACCGTTATTAGGCCCCATGGCCAACAAGCTGGCCGAAGGATTCTCAAAGTCGAAGCAGGGCTGCTTCCTTTGGGCGACGAGCGCCATACTACGCGAGTTTTCTGAAGACCGAGAGCACGTGGACGACAGGATTACTGAAGACATATACGTGTTCTTCGAGGCGCAAGCGACCAACGTGCTCCGGACCATGAGCGACCTGCCGCCCATCGACCTGCCGGACGTCATTGAGGACTTTTACCGCCTCCTCATTGACGCGCTCCTTTATTATCCTACCAAACTTATCCCGTCTCCTCTTTTCACCCCGATCTTCCAGGCCGCCATTTCGGCTCTGGCCCTGGAAAAACAAGAGCCCGTCTCGGCGGCGCTCCACTACATACGGGATGTGCTCACCTACGGCGGCCCGAATCCTGCTCGTTCCGGCAGCGAGCTTGGTCCGGCAGGCGCGCAGCTGCGCGAGATCGTCAAGCAGCTGCTACTCGCGCAGGGTGAGGCGCTCGTCAAGCAGACGCTCGCCGGCATGATGATCACGTTCCCGCGCGACTGCTTCGCCGACGGCAGCGGGGTGCTCCTCGGCATGTTCCAGCTCGTACCAGCCGAGACCACCCAGTGGGTCGACCGCACCATCCGCATGCTCCCGGCGGGCACCATCACCGCTACCGAGGCCGACCGCCTGCTTGCCAAGATCAGGGACAAGCTTCAGGGCGGCGACTCGGCTAGTGTGCGACAGATTAGGGCTATCTTGCAGGACTTTACAAATACCTATCGGAGGAGGTACGTGGCACCTAGGGATGGATTGGGTCTACTTGAGGCGGCGCGCTTTCATTTTGAAGGTTAGGATCTTTCGAGTGAGGAAACGAAATGACGGCTAGATGGATACTGGATGGGATAGGGTGGAGGATAATGCAGTAGACTTGGAATGGAATAGGACTCGGATGGACCCTCATCCGTGGAACTCGGGAATATCTTTATGACAAGAACAAGGACGGGATGAAAGAAAAGGATTAGTCGATGTGATTATGTATGTGATGTGCAATTGGTAGGTTCTCTTCCAGATACCTCTGCTAGCCATCCTGTCCAATGCTCTTCTGGGTTTTGGTGATAATGATTCTGGGACGAGGGGTTGCCTGCGAGGGTGGTATAGTACCAAGGTAACGACACTACCTACTATTTGCTCTATCCAAGCTGAAAAAGAGAAGACACGGAACACGGCTGCGCGGGGAGAAATGTTTGAGGTATGTTTTCGCGGCCATCCAAGTTACCGCCCTTTGAAGAGGACGTTGACGGTTGGCTGTAGCCTGGGTTGGGAGCATCTGGAGTCATGTTGCGATATCTACGCTTAGCTGTCATGGGTCCTACCGCCCTAGTATACCTGCGTCCTACCTAGATTCCTTGGACACCGCCTAGTGGAACCCCCCGAGTCTTATACTATCAAACGACGCTGTATTGATAGTGTCAGTGTGTTGAAACTCCACTTGAATTCTTTGGGACGGGTCGAGTTCTTGCCCTTGAGGCGAAGGCTTCCTTCACGGTTCATTAAATCACGCCAGGGTCTCTCTCTCATAGAGGGATGGGGGGTGGTTTGGTCGTTCTGAAAATCCTCTTTGCCGCTGTGGTTCAGATATCACCTCCTGCCTCTGATAATGTATCCCGAGATAGGAGACAGATCCGGCTTCTGAAAATGTCAACTGGTCGATTTTTAGTCGCTGGTTGCCTGGAAAGAGGTCCTATGTAGTTCAAGTGTGCCTGCGGAGTTGGGGTTTCCAATTGCTGATGATAAGCAAGGTGATCAGGTCCTTTCGTCCAACTTGGCTTCATCTTCCGTGTTCACTGTTCAGCTATTCTGCTGCTTGAACACGGGAATGTAGTTTCATATCATTGCTTGGACGGGCAATGACGTACTGCTAAAGGCAACAGCCCAGACTAACCCATGTATACTGGTAGACGTGCCCTCGGATCTCTTAAGCGCACTTAATCTTGATCCTGGATGGTTTGTCCTCCATCTGCCCATAGCCAACTGTAATTCCAAGGGTTGTAAAAAGCCAGTTGCTCACGTTATCCTGGCTGCATTTCATGTACGTCGTAGCTTGGTACTCGTCCTCTAGCAGTTTCAGACCCTCAGTGAACTGGGCTGCGGTAACGACGTACTCGTCCGGTGTGGACCAGAGCTCGGGTCTGATTATGGGACCGGGCTTGGAATTGACAGCTGCGCCTCCGTTGCCGATTTCAATGTTTTCATCGAGAGCAGGGGAGCCGATCTCTCCATCACCATTTTTGGCGCCATGACCATCATTGACCAGTCTCGGTTCAGCGAAGGATTCAGCGCCGTAATCGATGGGTCCATCCGCATCGTCTCTGTCTTGGTGGATATTGGCGGGGAGGTGATTGCTGTGCTCGTTGTCGCGGTGTCTCGCTTGCGCGCGATGCTCCGCTCGCCGAGCCTGTCGCTCCCGGCGCTCCGCAGCGCGGCTCGCGCGGCGGCGTCTCTGTCTGCCGCCGCGAGATCTTGGGTTGCGCCACTGGATAGGTGCTGGCTCACCAGGCTCCTGATGGAAAGGTACTTGATAGGCAGGCGGTGGCTGGGATCCCGGATAACCAGGGATGAAGGGAAGAGGATGGAATTCAAATTGGTGCGTGACGGTAAGACTGGCGGCACTGCCAACAAAGGGCACTACGAATGAAATTGGTTAGCCTTGTCAGATGGCAGGGAAGGGAGTCGCTAGGTTCTTCGGCATGGTGGAGTTACATGAGCCATAAAACGGGCTATCGATGGTCCAGCTAGCCCGATGTATATCGTTATTCATTCATGATTCAGGAGGGTTGCGCTCGGGGATTGACCAAAAACTAAGATGGCCTTGGATCGTGAGGAAGAGAGGCGTTAATAACCGTGACTGGACTAAACAAGAAGAACTTGGATTGTTTGAGGTTGGAAAGTGAGAACTGCGAGACAAACCTGTAAACACTGAGGGACGAAACCGCACAATAGATTACCGACTATATCGGATGAAAAACTCCAGTAATGTCTGGCAGAAACTGTATACTTGCTGAGCAGATACCGGCACCTGCCAGCACTTAGTCAGATAAACAAAGCTGTTGACCCCTCTTGCTGATCTATATCGACAAAGTGGTTCTTCTCCTTTAGCGGTACTTGTGCTGAATCCTGATTCCTTGTTGTCGACCGACGGTTATCTAGGTCTTAGTGTCGTATGATGAGTCGGGTGCCTACGTCCCAATACATCGTCAGAGTCGACAACCATCCCAAAATGGCCGGAGAAAATAGCTTCATCTTGTCACGAGCATTTGAAAGGCCAAACCTACTAGGCATTCAAACGCAGGATAACGGCGCCAACATCAACCATTGTAGATCGGAGGTCCCAGGCCGGAGAGCAGCCTGAGCAGAGATAATGACCAGTGTGGACATTTTTGATTTTGTTTTCTCTAAGTTTAGAATACACAGATCACAGAGTCAATATGTATGTACGTATAGAAGCAAATCAAAGCAGGAATGTCTTCTGACTCGACCGCCATCCGTCTCCCATTGGGCGCAGACTTCACAGTCAGGAGCCATTCTCGACGTCATATCCTTCAGCTTATCTTCAGTTTCCGCGCTGCTGGCCAGGACGCTGGGCAATTCCCTGAGTACCAGGACGCTGTTTACCATCCGGGCGAGTACCAGGGCGACCCGGGCGCAAAGAAGAGCCTGAAGAGGTAGCCACCGACGTGACGGCGGAAGATGCAGAGGAGCTCGCGGCCGAAGAGATGGCAGACTCAGAGGACAGGGAGGTAGGCAAAGAGGAGCCAGATCCTGTAGGGATGCCACTGGGGAAGCCGGTAGGGAAACCAGTGCCCGGTGGGCCGCCGCCCATGCCTCCACCAGCATTCGGGTTCGCGACACCACCCTCCTCGTAGAGGTACACGGCCGGGGTGATGCGGTTTGACACAGTCGTGTTAATGCCAAATGCGATCCATCCAAAGATGCCATCCTCAACGCTGTCCCCGAGCAGCGTGTACTCCATGATAGGGTCGACACCCTCGGTCGCGGCCTCCTGGGCCATGATGCCGTCCTCCTCGTTGGTCGTCAGCGCCTGCTGGTTGGTCGAGTACGGTGCAACACTTTCCACGGCACTAATCAGGTCCTGGTCAAAGAAGACCTGGCCGACGTGACTGGCGTAATTCTCCAGGCCTAGGGTCTTGTTAGCCTGGAGAGTGGCGTTAGTGTGAGCCATGACGTGGATGTGCGTGGTGCGCCCGACGTAGTGGCCGGGGAAGATGGACTGGAACTGGGCGACGCCGTCCTCGTTGGTAGGCTGAATGCCGCGCAGCCACGTGTTGTCGATGTTGCTCGTGTCCGTGCTGTCGCCATTGCCGCTGGCTACAATGCCGCCGTAGACGCCTGTGGCGTTGCAGTGCCACATCTCGAGGTATACATTGGGCACCGGCTCGCACGTCTCGATGTCGATGACTTGGTAGTCGAGAATCAAGCTCACGCCGGGCTGGTCCTCGACCAGATCCTCGCGCACATACTCGCCAGCGACGTCTGGCAGGTTAAAGGTCAGCATTTGTCACCCGCTCGTCTCTCACAGGTGGCATGACACTTACAGTAGGGGCCCTGGGTCACCTCAGGAGTCAAGAGGCACGAGTTGTATCCAGCAAACAGCGTGGCGGGATTGGTGTCAACGGTAAAACCCTGGTCCGTCTTGTTGTGGACGGTGTTGAGGACGTCAGTGAAGTCTCGTTTCTTGAGTCCGCGCTTCTGGCGAGCCTTCGCAATCTCCGCCTGGCGTCTGGCCACATTTCTAGCCTCGATGCCGCGTGCCTTGAGCTTGTCGGCACAGTGACTGAGCGTTGTGCGCTTGACTGAGTTGAGGAAATCGCGGCGCTCGGCAACTTCTTGGGCGATATCGTGACCTGGATGGGCAGCCACGAAGGCGAGCCAGGCGAGGGCAGCGGCCGCTTTGGTGAATTGCATTGCGAGTTCGAGTGCCAGGTGGCGGGTGGCAGGTGGCAGACGATAGACGGCACACAGTAATTGGTGATGAGAGCGATGAGGTTGGTGCCGGTATGGCTTTGTTAGGAATCCTGACAGAGTTATATACCCTTCAAGTTCTTCCAGGTTCCTTCCATTTGCAGGGTCTCCCGTCCTCCTTCCACGTGTTGACTGCTTGCCTTCTCAGCCCCCCAGCTTGCTCCTGCTTCTGGCGAGGATCAAGGCCTTCGGTTGCGGAGAGTCCTCGACTCCTCCTTCTACGCCTCCCGCCAACGAATACTGTAACCTGCAGAAACATCACATCGTCATCCGAGCTGCCGTTGGCCTTTGTGGGACGATGCCTTGAAACAAGCATGTCGGACCAGACTTCCGCTCTGAGCGCCTAGCCGCCTAACTGTTGGCTCGCACTAGGTGATAGTCGCTACGATATTTTGAGCTTCCGCCCACCCAACGGTTGATTGTGCACCGCTTTCAAGAGCAGGGGCTAATGCGTACGCGCAACCCTCATAATTTTATCGGAGACGAGGTGGGCCGGCTGACGAATGCCACCCCACATCCCGACCGTTGATCTTCAACTCCCGGGTCTGCTTGTGGGGGATGAAGCGTTTGAAGCGGAGACTGGCCTTGATTCTGGAGTTAACTTGATTTAACTCTGCGGGTGAATTGCCATTGTGGGCCAATTTCTCCAGGGCAGCCGCTGGCCTGTAGCATCCTCGAAATTACTAATGCCTGCTTCAAGCTCTAGCCTCTGCCTTGGGGTATAACAGTTGTAAAACTATGGGCTGGGCCCCAACCTCCGTATAGCAATGTCTCTTCTCTGCCCGGTTGAATACCGTTGCACCGTGTGCAGGTACAGTACTATAGCGGCTTGAGGCTACTAGTACTCTGTATCTACACCCAGACTCCAGGTAACTGGACCAAAGTCCAAAGGTAATATTCAAATCTGCAACTCTAACCGAGGGCTAGGCGCGTAACGCTACCTAGAAAACGGGACCATCTTCCGGGCTGGCAGTTTCCCAATCAGGTTGACCTCGCATCAGATTCCGCTCCCAGGTTGCTTCTAAACAAACCTCTTTTTCAATTCCAATGTCCTTTTCGGGGCAGGTACTACAGTACCTACATGTGGCCCGGGAAAACGCGCCTCCCTGAGTGAGGTGCTCCCAAGAGAGACGAACCTATGGCATGTTCTTGATTTTAAGCATCATAGTACCGAGGACGCGCAAGCCATCAGTTGCTGAAAGTAATAAGTGACGGTGCTTGGATTGAAGTTGGATATCAGAGAAATATTAGGATACAGGGGGAGGAAACTCGAAGCCTTTCACTCCGCTGGAATGACGGTCAATACCAAGAAATTCAAAACAAGATACCTGTCTCGATCGGTTCAGCACATTGACCGGTTCTGTCATGACGGCCTACCAGCGGCAAGGGATGAGAATTCAAAAGAACGCCGTGCCCCGTAGTGCGCGGTACTAGAACTTTGAATGGGTCATTACCGGTACTCTACGGCGTTCTTCGACGACGTGTACTCGGCCTGTCCTAGCAGTGTGATGATCAAAACCAGACCCGCGTGGCCAGCAGGAAAGGCCTGTAGCTGCCGGGCGGCTTTGTTAGTAGGGAATGACTGGGGCTGCCCTATCATAGGCACACGCGGTCAAAATCTCTGATCATGTCTGATGTCCCCATAAGGTACATACATGTACTATACCTCTTGTTTCGCTACCTTACCTTTCTCCTTTAGCCTGAGTGATATTACGCGTCTCTGGACGGACAAGAGGAAGAGGAAACACAGAAGGCCCCAATGTATGGACAAAGCAAAGCTCTAAACCTGAGTTTGGTACATCCATACTGAGTTATCCTCGTACTCTCACAACAAGCATAACGGTTCTCGGTACATTCCTGGGTACGCTACTCCCGATCTTCCATCTTATCCAACCTCGTTTTTCTCATTGTACACTGCAACATCAGACAAGCGAGTACCACTGAACCGTTCAGGAGAAATACTCATCATACACAGTCCAAGCGTTATGCCATGTTTCTGTTTTTATTACTCTTATTTTTTATTAGTTATTATTTTTTCCTAATTTGTTTTCTCCATCTATTTATTGGACTAGAGAGCTACCAAGCGATGACTCCTTGACCCGGACTCAGGGTCATGGGTTTCACCGACGGGTCGCCGGTATGCCCTTATTTTTGACGGCGTGACACATGGCTTCTACTTCCTATGGGTATCTCCCTGCGTAAGGTACATGTATGGGTGGACGGCCGGGTCCGACCCTGATACATTTATCACTCACTCCTGAGTGCCAGGCCAGGGGTGACGGGGGCGTCCTGTGAGGATTGGGTGAGACACTGAGTACCTAGGTCCCTACCTTAAATCTGATTATCACACTGTATTCACGGACGCGACACCCTCCCATCAACAGCATGACCTGATTTGAAATGTCTCATTCTCTTTGGTTCTGGACTGGTTGCTAGCATGAACTTAAGCTGATTACATAGTACTAGTCTTATACACAGTTTCTAGACGTGCATGGCATGACGGCCCACATCACCTCTCGGCTTCGGATCGGGCAGGATCGTGATGAGATCCTCTCACTCCTAGCATATCAGTCAGCCTTTCAATTGAAGTGCTGACCCAGGGTCTTGAGTGACTGAGTACCTCTAACTCGGCTCCTATTTGCGCAACTCTACCATCAAGATCTGAAAGGATCAGCAGCAGGGAGAGTTGTGGGCGTGTTCTTGCGGGCCTTGGAGTTAATAAGGTGCCCGAAGGAGGGAGACCACTCCACACGGGGATTGTAGGGTTCAAAATCAAAGAGGTAGCCCAGAGTGCGAAGAATTGAGGTGGCCGAGTACGAGACGACGTCGCCGGCTGCATTCTTTCCCTGCTGCTCGACATGGCCTTTGCTGACCCATGGGGAGATGAGAAGAGTAGGAATGCGGCCGCCGAGACGGTTGAAAGGGAAGGTGTAGGCCTCGCCGGCAGGGGTGGAGGCCGTGTATGTCAGGTTGTCGGGCCTGGGGGCGAGCGGGGGAGGGACATGGTCGTGAAAGCCGCCGGTCTCATCAAAAGTCAGAATTAGGAGGGTCTCTTCCCACTGAGGACTCGCGCGCAGGGCTTCATAGACATTCTTGATGAGGGCCTCGCCGGCCGAGATCAAGCCAGAGGGATGCATCGAGGTGGTGCCGACGCCGCAGCACGAGGGGTTGAGGAAGCTAAGCGAGCTCAGGTTGCCGGCAGCAGCGTCGACATAAAACTGAGAAAGGTCCACGATATTGCTGCTAAGGCCGGCAGCATAGGTCCACTCAAACCACGAGGCCTCGGGTCCCGTGCCACCAGCGGGGTCGTGGTAGTTCCTCCAGGTGTGACCGCGCTCCGTCAATGACTGGAAGATGGAGGTCTGGTTGAACCCTCTCACTTTGAAGGAGGCGTCATTTGTACCGTGACCATAGGAGCTCCCAGAAACAAGAGCAAGACGGTTGGGGTTGGTGGGCTACAGGTCATGGTTTCCTTGTCAGTATCGGACTTGGGTTATTGTTGGTATGGCAAAGACGAATCATGACTTACGCCAGGAACGGCCGAGTGCCAGTGGTTAAAGGTCACAAAGTTCTTCACCAGGGCGGTAAGAACGGGCACCTGCTCTTCGGTGTAATAGTTCATGACCTGCTGTGCGAGCGTGGACCGGTTGACCTTGGACCCGTAAAGTCGTAGCTGCTCATGAACGAAGCCTTGCTGGGTAGGCACCAAGCGACCCGAAGCAATGGCTTCATTGTCGGGTGTGAAGTCGCCGTAAAACTGAATGTTGTTGCCGTAGACGGCGTGGTCGGGATCGTTTGTGATGGAGTCAAAGTCGTTGGCTCTGGAGCACACAGAGCCATCAGCACGATTTGTCAGATTATAAGGATTGCAGAATGGGCCATTGCGGATGGGGTTGTCGAGACCCTTCTGCTTCTGCCCACCCAGGAGGTTGTCCAGAGAGCGGTTCTCCATTTCTAGGATGACGACGCGCTTGATATGAGCCTTCAGGTTCTCCATGCCACTGCTAATGGAATGGGCCGGCAAGGCCTGAGCGGCAGTTGCAAGGGCCAACAGGCCATGGAGTGTGACGGACCACATCTTGGGCGAGGGATAGCGAGGGAGAAAGGTGAGAACCTGAGGTGCCTGCGATTTCTAAGATGTGCGGGCTGGTAGTCGGGATGTTTACTAGAGGATCCATCGCCGGCTTTATACGTGATCTTGACGAACGTATAGTACCTTATGGCTACGAAATGCCTCCTGGTTGTCTTGCCAATGCCATCGATCTTCTAGGCATTCGTGGTGCCCGGCCAAAACCCACGTGCTTCACGGTCCTAGATGAACTAAGGTAAGGTAGGTGGGTTTCTCGACCTACATCGCGACTGGCCATCCCGGTGCAGGACGTACTCGTGTATGTATGCCGGTGAGGGGAATCGATCATGATGCAATGGGACTCGGATGCATCATACCTGTACTACCGTTAGTATCGCCAGTGAGGTTGTAAGTGGTTGGACTCGATGGACTCCGTTGCCGCATCTCGTGGCTAATAGATGATCGCTCATTGGGCAATTGGCTTTCGACGGCAGACGTGTGAAGGGGCAAGAGGCCTGGTTGGATCAAGCTTTTGCCAAGATGGAGAGGAGAGCCGCTGCCGTTATTCCCGAGAGCTTGGTCTAAGCCGCCCCACAACTTACACCCCCAGTGGGCCCAGGCTGCAGTCAACTTTTCATCCCGCAAACACAATGGATACTGGGAGGACCGGATAATGAAATGCGTTGAGCGAGACCATAAGTTCACAACCGACCAAGATAATCTTCAATCCATTCCTCCATGACTTCATTTCCTACCTACCTAACCAGACCTTCGGGGCACATGTGAGGCAACTCGACGCTCAAGTTTGCCATTCGATGCAGTTTTGCATTTCTTCTTTGTAACTTCCGGATTTAAACATGATGGACACCGGGATTCCTTCCTTGATGCTTGAGTGGAGCCCGCGGGATCTCAAGCGGGGGATTCGAACGGTCCTGCTTGTTTCCATCACCGAGAAGCGGAACCAGTACCGGGGCAGCCTCGGTGTAACGCAGCCTACGAGCCTACCTATCGCCCGAGTTCTGGAGGATGGGTCCCCTGATCAGAGCGCACCTTCCTAAGCAGGTCCCATCGGTCGAGAGAGCCAATAAAAGCCCATGCCGCGAGCATGCAGGTAGGGAGTACTCCTTACTGGGGACAGTGGGGAGCCCACGAGGATCAGACGCGATAAGAGCTACTAGTATTGTTAAAGGCGCCACTGTACCCAGTTGCAGCAAGCCTTACAAGGTACTAGACATTTCACGCGAGTTATCCATCGTTTTCTATGAGCAGTTGAGAACGCTGCATCTCCATCACACAACGCGGACTCTACCACCAACATGTCACGAGTATGGCGACCTGTCTTAGAAAAGCTGGGCCTTCAGCCGTTAGGTTCCCGCGACAAACATGAAAATTCGCTAAACAGCTTCGAAGCCCTACCTCTGTACTCTACCGTCAATGCTGGAGAAGCCTCCTCCCCAACAACGACAGACCCCTTCAGTGAGATCGGTAATGACATTCTGCAGAGCTGCACGAGCTCAGGCTATGACGGTAGTCGGGTTCAACCACCGCCATCTTCGTCCTCGCGGGGCCTTTTGCGACTTCCAACTCTAGCTCGATTTCTGGCTGATTTTACTCTCGGATTCGCCGATGGGTTGACGGTGCCATTTGCCTTGACAGCGGGACTATCGTCGCTCGGCCATGCAGACACGGTCATATACGCCGGCATGGCCGAGATCTGCGCGGGGAGCATCAGTATGGGCATCGGGGGCTACCTGTCCGCGCGCGGCGAGGTGGCGACGGCGGCGGCTGCAAAGGCCACCGAGGACAACAACATTGACGATGTCGCTGTCATCCAGGAAGAGAAGTCCTTGTCGACGGACCGTGACATTGTTGCAAGCTATTTGGAACCGCTCGACTTGCCTCCACAACTGCATAACATGGTAATACGACATGTCCGTGGCTGCCCTGCCATACTCGAAGCTTTTCGGGAGTCACAACTAGGAAACGGACAGTTCAAGCAGGAGGAAGCGAGTGATGACGAGAGGTTGCCTTCACCCTTCATGGCTGGTTTATCTGTCGCACTTGGGTACCTTTTAGGTGGCCTGCTTCCCTTGTTCCCTTATTTCTTAGTGGACCAAGTCAAGGATGGCTTGTTGTGGAGCTTTGGGGTGTGTGCTGTAGCGCTATTTGCGTTTGGCTTCTGCAAAGACTTTGTCTTGACTAGGGGCAACTCACGCCACGCGGTAGCGGCGGGCGAGCCGGAAAAGAAGATGCGATGGCGTGACATAAGACGGAGCGCTTGGGAAGGCGCGCAAATGGTGCTTCTGGGGAGTGTGGCGGCGCTAGCCGCGGTATTATGCGTAAGAGCCTTTGAGAGTCTCTCTGTATCAGAGTAATGGTAGGGCCAGAGTGGACAGCAAGACTAAGAATAGACCGGAACATGAAGTCAAACTTGATTGTCTTGTGTATCTACGGGAATGCTCCGTTTCGGTTCCGGCCAATGGAGTGGTTGCAACTCGAAGAGGACTCTCATGTCCTTTCTTCTGGCTCGGTTCATGCTTTACATTTATGTCAGCTCATTGGTGATTTTGGGTGATATACTCGGATACCCGGTTTTTGGGTCGCCGTTACATGCACATTGTTTTCTTTGGGTGCATTTATCCACACAAAATCTGGCAGCCCACCGACATTGCTGCCGTTTTGTGTTCAATTGTCAGTAGAGCTACCCCATCCAGCCAACTGACTTCAATCTCTTCAATCTACCAAATTAGGACGACTGATCTTTCTGCATACAAAAGGGGATACTAAACTTACCTGCTGACGGCGGTTGATCCTTCTAAAGTCTAAACACTGCTGGGTTGTCTATTTGGTGCATACACTGAAATCAATTCTTACCTCTGTTACAAGATAATTTGCCATTGGTCTTCACGCTGTCTTCTACCGGTATGTTGTGCGCCAATAATCAACTTGGATTGACGATGATGATGCACTGAACTTTTTGGCCTGGTTAGGTTCATGTTGTAGGCCGTGAAGCTGCAAGCACTGGATGGGTTCATGCCGTCTTGAGACCTTGGCGTAAGTACTTTGTACCAAACATATCCATTCTCACTGAAGTAGAATCATTATTCAGCTATGTCCCAATGCGAGAACGAGTACAGAAATTAATGATGACAATGATGCCCATCATTCTTCCATGAGACCGGGGAGGGAGAGTGGAGGGGCGGTTCAACTGCCGACTACCTAGTACGGGATTGGTGTCGACTCTGTCTGAGAATGCCCCCTTCCGAATGATGCATGAAACTCGAGTTACTTTTATCCCATTTCACCCTCAGCAGACAGATAATTTGATCTTATCTCACAATGCGAAGATGTGAACCATGTCCATTTGTACTTCGTAGTATCAGCTTGGCCCACTTTCCCAATCCGGATGCCCTCAAGACTCTCATTGGACACGGACTGAGGTTGCCAAGATTCGACAAGACGCTGTACCTGGCCGCCTGGACATGCCTGGTAGCAACAGTACGCACCTTACCTACCCGAGGGGCTAAGTTCAAGATCTAGATGATGGTAGACCTGTGATGTTGAGCCAGTACTATGGCGTGCCATACATCTTAGCTTAGGTGAATTCGATTACGGGCTAGAAGCCTAGAATGCGCCATCTCAGTCTCATGCCTGGAGTACTTGAGCTCGTAGACTTGTCATCATTGTACTATTATTCTATCCTCGCCATCAGTAGCAGATGAAATGATTAGAGACGTCTTTTGTTGGTCTCTGGACAAAACGGGAAAGTTGACTCAGATTTCAAGGACGCTTCTACAAGACGTCACTCAGCCGGATTTTGGCAACCATTAGTGTAAGTGTACAATCTCACAAAACACTATTAGTAGGTAGACGGCAACTTGAAGATCGGCCATCTTGACTGACCCCTCACTACCAGAGTTGCGATACCATGAGTGGCAGAAGCCCAGGACTGGTCATCTTCAACGACCCATCGACCATTTCAAGAGACAACATTGAAACACCAAGAATGCTGCTACCAGTGGGCTGATTGGGCGCTTTGAGTGCTACCTGTGATTTCCATGAAACAGGTCTATGAGCTGGAACAGTATTGGAATCATAGACACTGTGAGGAAGAACCATCAAGATATGGGCATTATCAAGAGATATGTACAGTACAGTACCTAGACAAGTGTTCGTTGTATTTGCATTTAAACCTCTCATTTCAGTCAGTCACCATTGAGGCCTAAGGTAGGTAGCACCCGGTGTCTTGCGGTAACCACGGAACCTTCCAACGTGTATACATACACGCCATATCCGACTGCCATTCTTTCCATCGCCTTTGTCTCTCATGTGCTCATTCGGGCCACAAGCACAATTGCAACAACGGCAACAAGTACTGTAAACAGCACCCAAAACAAGCCGCCAGGCACAGACTCGGCGTGTGTTGCTCAGCGCATTGAAAAACATCGATGATTTGGAATAGTTTGAAGGCAGGGCACATACCGGACTAGCTCAGGTTTCTAGGAAGATCCGAGTTACACATTCCAGCTCGTGCAGCTACGGAGAAAAGCTGAGCGGCACCACTTCCGCACCCTGGCACAAATGAACGCTCACGCTTGGAATCCATCCCAGTAACGCTGTCTTGCCGCAACACTTATAGACAGCGTGGCAAGAGGCGGTTGTTTGATATCATGATCCGGAAAAATGGACCTTGACAGCTAGGAAGAAGTGTAAGTTTCTCGAACGCGGAGGATTCTGACAGTGAGGAGCGCGTTGTAATCTGGAACTTGCAGGGAGGGGAGGGGAGTTTATACTGGCGCGAAGCAGTAAGGCAGGGTTGGACTTTCCTCCATTTAGGAGCATTCAACTCGGAGGACAGCAAGAGCGGGACGGCCCAATCCATCTCTAGAGCTAAATGGGCAGTAGCGAACGTCTCGCTGCCCGGTACGCTACCTAGCCTTCCAGTTGGGTTCAATGGACTCGGAGGTACGATAACCATCATGGGAGTGTCTGATATGCCTCACCTACGAGCTGGACGAACTTCTTTATGACAGAGACTTTGCCATGCCATGCGAGTTCCGCCAGAGTGTGGTTGCGAAGTTGGACGCGAGAGGACTCATGGTCGTGGCCTCAGCCGAGACTCGGATGATTGAGCACGATTACCTACGGGGTACCTACGTTGAGATTAGGGAAAGGAGAGATACAATGAGTGTTGTTTATACTGATATAGAGGCACGTAGATGGAAGATGACAGGGATATACTTCGTCGGCTCTCGTATAGCAGGCACACCTTGCACCGCTGGGGTGAACCGCGGCGACGGGGCTGGTACGGACATGGTATATCTTGTTATAGCGAGGCAAAGAGGCTATTGGCGAGGCCAACGGTCGTGGGAGGTCAGTTGACCCCGGTGATGTCTTGGTTTGGGAGTCGAACTTGAAGGTGGTTGGCGACGATATTCTCGAACTGTGAGATCGCGCTATAGCACAATCGTGCCATTTCCTAGATCGATGAGGAAAGGCGCTGATAAGGTTCAATAGAAGGCACATATAGAAGAAATTACTCGTCCATACCCAACTGCCTTAGGTACGCAAGTGGATGACGCCTTCGTACCGGTATGCACATACGGAGTACTTAACCTCTTAGGGGTTGCACCTCCTTTCTGCAGGCCGTCGGGACACGGCTTAGCGTTTTCCCAACCGCAAACTTTTAGTTGTCCCGCTCAGTGGCTGCTTAGCTTCAGGAGCAGGAGGACCGCTTGCGTTTGCGACAGGCTCAATCCGACTTGAACTTTCGTTGGCAGCTGCCTCTACCAAACGAATAGGAATTCTCAAGCCGCTGCCCTTTTCCAACCGCTTACTTGAGAAAGCCGTCGAGAAACTCACGATAGCCGCCTGCCCCGTCAACCGCAAACATCAGGTTTAGTTGTAGGAAATAGGGTGGTGCCGCTAAGCTGTTTCTCTATCCAGGCAATCACGCCAGAAGCCAGCCAATCAGCGCAAGCCTCCCCGCGATTTGTGCCCCGCAACGCCAAAATTCGCGGTGCCCATTGCCCTAGGTTAGCCGCGTTTCTCTGTCAAAAGCTGTTCGAACTTCGAGGCTTGGATCATTCTCTCCCACTATTCCAGCCATCATCTGCCACCCTGATTCAATCCATCTCCACATCACTGGGTTGCAGGCGATTGAGCACGGAACCTTTCAAAATGAACGATAATTGGCAAGCGCCGCTGCCGGCGGGCTATAACGATCTGAACCGCGCATTCCTGCAGGCCTTCATGGCCCGGGGCACCTTGACCTTCCCGGAAGGCCAAAAGCTACTCGCGGAAATCCAATCAGCTTCAGAGGGGGGCGAAGCCGATCCAGAATCGATAACGCTGGAAGAATTTGAGAATGCCATCCGCACCGCCCGTGAGGCTGTCATGCCTTTAGATTTTGACATCCGCAACACTCACGACGAAGTCCGTCGCGGCGAGCGAGTGTGGGCCTTCATTAACGCCCACAGCGATCCAATGACACAGATGGGCACAGTCAGGACGCCCGAGGAGGTCGCCTACATCAAGCGCCTCCTGGACGCCATGTTTGAGCTCCACAATACCCCTCGGATGGAGGTGATGGCCGTTGACGAGGGGCATGCGCTGCAGGCGTCGCGCCCTACCCGACCGCGCGAGAGCGCCGCTCACGGCACCAACGATGACAACGGGGAAGTCTCGGCCACCGCTACTGACCGCGGGCTTAAACACTCCGAGGTCTTATCGCTATTGTCAAGTCTTGTGGCCGAGGGCTGGCTGCGGAAGAGCCGGGCCGGGTTTTACAGCCTGACGCCCAGGACGCTGATGGAGCTGTTTGGGTGGCTGGTGGCAACATACAACGACCCAGACTCGGATTCAGACTGGCAGCACATCAAGTTTTGCGAGGTTTGTAAGGAGATCGTCACGTACGGTCAGCGTTGCAATAATCCGGATTGCACAATAAGGTTTCATGACATCTGCGCGGACGGATTCTGGCGAACTCGGAAGGACAAAAAATGCCCCAAGTGCGAAACAGAATGGGAAGGGAATCACTTCGTGGGCGAGCGAGCTGTCACGTCAAGGTCAGGATTTCAACGAGGTCAAGGTCGGCGGAGCAGACGGAGCACGGCGGATGCGGATGATATGGAAGACGAGGAGTAACTTGATACCCAGAGGATGCGGACCATTAGCCACAAAGACTATATCTGCTACAGTATGTGACATCATTGTGGCGGTGCAGCGTGCTTGGCGATAACGCGGCTCACAACACACGACATGACGCAGCGAATGAGATTGGTGGCGGCGATGGTGCGGAATGTCGCATTTGCGCATTCCAGGCCTGCACGATCTTGCTATATTTCGCTGTCCTCCAGCTCCAACCGCCCGCCAGCCTTATCAGCCAACAAGTCATCCCTACCATGGCCCTGCATTTCTTCAAGAAACGCAAGGACACAGGCAAGGCCGAGGAAGGAGGCAAGGGCAAGGCAACGGAACGCACAGGAAACTTGAATGCGGAAGAACAACAGCAACCACACTCCTTGGCCGACAGCGAGGCTCAGACGTCAGCGCTCGCCACCCCTCTCCTCGACGACGAAGACGAAAAGTTTCTCGAGCGTCTCGTATCCAGCCCAGCCGACGAGGACGAGGGCCCACGCCCGCCTCTCCCACCTCGCCCTAGGACCCCTGACTTGAGCTGGGAGAGCGACAGCGATTCCTTGCGTCTACCAAGCGATTCGAAGGCGCCATCCGCCACCACAACCGCTTCCGCGCCTAAGAAATCAAACCGCCTCTCGCGTCTCTTCCAGCGCGGCAAGGTAGAGGACAGCAACCAGTCTCTGACCGTCCCCGATGCGGTTCCCAAAGCGGAAGCCGAGCGCGAGTGGGCCGACCTGAGCCGGGTATTGTCCCGCCTTGGGGTGACCCCGACGGCTGGCGAATCCGAATCCAAAGTCAAGACCAAGAGCAAGGCGCTCGCCCTATCGGCCTCGGATGAGGTGAAGTCCCTCGTAGCGCAATTCCTGCTCATCCTCAAGGACATCGCTGCGGGCGCCCCCACCGCCGTCGACGACCTCACCGCTCTCCTCGACGGACGGAACGACGTTCTCAAGCGAGGCTTTGAGAAGCTTCCCTCCTCGATGCAGAAATTGGTGACGCAGCTGCCAAAGAAGCTGACGACGACGCTCGCGCCCGAGATACTGGCTGCAGCGGCCGAGGCGCAGGGGCTGGGCAAGAACCAAGACAAGGATGGCAAGGGGCTTTCCAGCATTTTATCCCGGAATCTAGGCGAGCTGGCCTTGACCCCGGCCCTCATACAGAGCATGTTCAAGGCCATCGTCAATGCGCTCAAGGTCCGGTGGCCCGCGTTTGCGGGCACCAATGTGCTCTGGAGCGCGGCGGCGTTTCTGTTGTTGTTTGTGCTGTGGTACTGCCACAAGCGCGGGAAGGAGGAGAGAGAGAAGCGGGAGAAGGGTGCGGAGAGTGCGGAGGGGGGGGAGGGGAAGGAGGTGATGTCGTCGGCCGTGATCGTGGCTGAGCCCTCCGCCGAGGAAGCATCGCGGGCGTGAGAAAAGATACCCTTTTGTAATTTCATTTGTCGATGCATCTATCATGCATGTCTTTTTGGAATTCGGTAGTGATGCCATAACGCTATTCGTCAACTTGCGGACTTTCCCGTCTAATCGTCCTGGACGAGCTCCTTGATTTCCTCTCGCCCTGGCGCCATGCCTGCTGCGTCGCCGGCCTTGTCGTCCCGCGCGGACCGGTCGATTACCCGGCCGCCGTCCTGCATCCAGAAGCCGACTTCGTCCACAATGTCGTAAACAATATCCTCGACAATTTGCTCGTCGTAGCGCTCGCTCACCGGGCGCAGCCTGCCGAGCTTTGAACTTTGCGCATCATCCTCCGCAGGTGGCGGGTACCAGAAATTTGGGCCGAAGTTCACCTCGGCTGCACCGCCTCTGAAAACGCTTACAGCCGGGTAGTAACCCAGCGACCCGTCGTCGAGTGCCTCGCGGCCGCCGCTCTGCTGTGCTTGTTTCGAAGCCGGCGGGAGGAAGGCGAGCAGGTCGGTCCAAGGTATACCCATGAGGACGCCATTCTTGTACACCTTGATGCACGAGTTAGGCAGCGTGCGCAGCGCCGGGACCGGATGGTTCGGGTGTGGACGCTCAAGCGAGGCGCCTGTCCCCATGGGAGACGGGTTCATCAGCTCTTCCAGCTCCTTGGTCGTGTGGTAGTCTATCTTTTCAAAGTAGATGTGCTGCTTAAACCGGATCGGGATGCGGTCACGGATGATATTGGGGGCCTCAGCCTGGTCCGGCTCGTCGTCACGGTCGACGGCGGGATTGTACTGCCCCTGGACGATCCTACGCTGGAAGCGCTCCGACGGCAGCTGAATCTCGAGTCCGATGACGTCGCCCTCCCTGATCTCCTCGCCGGGCGAGAAGAAATCTTTGGGCCGAGACATGTGCACCTTTTGTCCCGCCGCGTCCCGGAGGCCGTAGCTGTAGGCGTCGAAACCAACCGGAGCGTCCAGCGACGCCTCCCTCCTCGCAAAACCCATGCGGACGTGACCGTGGGATTCTGGTTCGCCCTCGCCGCGGTTCTTGACTATGCCTCGGGTGATCTTACACTCCCAGTACCACCGCCCCTCCCGAACGGCCACGTTGGCGCGCGACATCCGGAAGCCCTTGTTGGAGGTGACGTGGGTGCCGGATTTGTCGAAGAACATGTGGGACGCGGCATCCTCGAAGCTCATGTGGGCACTGTGCGGCGGGGGCTCGGTATTGCGGTAGTAGAACATGGAGGGGAAGGCAGGGTCGGCAATGCAATGCGTATAATGGAAGTTTTTCTTATTGTAGACGCTGCGGCGGTCAGACAAGCGCCCTGGTGCTCGGTGGGGGAGCCACTTACTGCTCAGATGTCTCGAAGAATTCGATCGTCCTCCCTTCGGCATCCTGCACCTCGTGATGACTCGTGAAAACGGGGCCCCGTGACAGCTCGAAGTCGGAGGGCTTCGGGCGGGCTAGCTTGTACCGCATGGGAGCCAACTCGCCAGGCGGCTCTTTCTGCTTAGGGTCCGGAGTCGCCCGCGAGCTGTCGGGGCCGGCACCCTTCGATTCGCGTTTTTTGAGAGAATCCTTCTTAGTCCTCTTCTCTCGCGCCATGTGGCTGTCGTCGGCTGGAAATTGCACATGAACTTTCTGGGCCCTGAATTCGGGGTTGAGCGGCGACGAGACGGCAGGGCTGTGGTCATCATCGAGGGCACGTTTCTGAGGGATGGAGGTCGCAGAGGGAGTGAGTTCGCTCAGCGGGGAGGAAGCGTCTGCCATTGTAACTGCTTTCTATGGATAAATACCTCTTTGAACTCGCCGCTGCAGAGAGCAGTAGGATTGTTGTAGAAGTGCATTAATGGCAGCTCAATGGGCTTTCAGAGACAGCATGGCATTAAAGTGGAACTTGATGAACGCGGTGAGACGCGACGGCCACTTTGACCATTAGGTAGTACGAAGTATCGTGTACGTACATAAGTGGGGCATTACATTGCCTAGCGTTGCATTGCGTTGCCCAAATGGACCAATCACCCATTTGGTTCACCCTGCCTGCCTCCAAACCAGCTCCAAACAGCCTTCTTAACCCTTCAAGCCGGAATCATCGCCGGTCTTGTGATTTTCAACCTCCACCATCCATCACTCGCCGTCACCCATCGACACAATGCCCGTTGTCAAAGGAGGTGTGTGGACCAATATCGAGGACGAAATCCTCAAGGCGTCGGTCAGCAAGTATGGCTTGAACCAGTGGGCGCGTGTGTCGTCGCTGCTCGCGCGCAAGACGCCCAAGCAGTGCAAGGCGAGGTGGAACGAATGGCTCGATCCCAGCATCAAGAAGATTGAGTGGAGCAAAGATGAGGATGAGAAACTTCTGCACCTGGCCAAGCTGATGCCCACACAATGGCGCACCATCGCCCCGATCGTCGGCCGCACCGCCAACCAGTGCCTCGAGCGCTACCAAAAACTCCTTGACGAGGCCGAACAACGCGAGGCGTCGTCCTTGGGGCTGACCGGCCCTGAGGGCGGTGAGACCCGAGCACCCACCGCCGACGATGTCCGTCGTCTTCGCCCGGGCGAGGTCGACCCCGATCCCGAGACCAAACCCGCTCGGCCCGACACCATCGACCTGGACGAAGACGAGAAGGAAATGCTGAGCGAGGCCCGCGCCCGTCTGGCCAACACACAGGGAAAGAAGGCAAAGCGGAAGGCTCGTGAGCGCCAGCAAGAAGAATCGCGTCGGCTTGCCGCGCTCCAGAAGCGTCGCGAGCTCAAGACGGCCGGCATCAACATCAAGGTCACAACACGCAAGAAGGGGCAGATGGACTACAACGCCGACATTCCGTTTGAGAAGAAACCTGTACCCGGCTTCTACGACACGGTTGAGGAGATACAGCGCAACGAGTACCAGCGTACGCACTTTGACCCAAAAAAGCAGCAGGTCGGTAACAAACGGAAGGGCGAGCAGGACGAGGATGCGGATCGGAAGAGGAGGAAGAACGACAAGGATGCGCCGTCAGCGTCGATACAGGCTGCCATCAAGGCTGGACAGATGCAAAAGATCCGCGAGGCGGAGCAAAGCAGCAAGCGCAGGGCCCTGGTGCTGCCGGCGCCGCAGGTCAGCGAGGGTGAGCTAGAGGAGATTGTCAAGTTGGGCATGATAGGCGAGCGGGCGAGCGCCATGGCCCGCGAGAGCGACAACGACGCCACACGCGGGCTTGTGGGCAACTATTCGACCCTTAACACCAATGCACCCATCCGGACGCCACGGGCCCCGGAACAGGAGGACCACATCGCCAACGAGATCCGTAATATCAGGGCATTGACAGAGACGCAGTCGTCGCTGCTCGGCGGAGAGAACACGCCTCTTCACGAAGGAGCAGGATCCACAGGATTCGACTCGGTCGCGCCGCGGAAGCAGGTCGTTGCGACACCCAACCCCCTTGCAACGCCCCTGCGGTCTGCGGCAAATGGCGTCGGCGCCACACCCCTACGGGTCGGGCAAACCCCTCTACGCACGCCCCGCGACAGCCTCTCGCTAAATACGGTCGACAGTGAGATGTCCATGGTGGGCGGAACTCCGGCAGACGCCAGGCTGCGGGAGCTCTCAATCCGCCACCAGCTTAAGCAGAGTCTCGCCGCTCTGCCCAAGCCAAAAGAGACTGAGTGGGAGCTGGAATTGCCTGAAGACCAGCAGGAACCTAGGACCGTCGAGGAGCAGGAGGAAGATGCCGCGGAACGCGACCGCAGGGAGCGGGAGATCCGCGAGGCCCGGGAGCTGTTGGAGCGTAAGCGGCGGACCCAAGTGATGCAGCGGGCGCTACCTCGAATGGTTGCGGTTGATTACAAGGCGTTACTGCAGGAGACGGCGAAGATCCAGGACCCCGCCCAGGCCCTCGTCGCCCGCGAAGCGGCTCTCCTAATGGCGCACGATGCCACCAAATACCCGCTTCTTGGGGCTCCGCCAGGGGCAAAGCCAGTGGAACTTCCGCGAATCGACGACGCAGCACTGGCTGAAGCGCGGCTCCAAGTTCTGATGGAGATGAAGGACAAGCCAAAGCCCGAAGAGGTGCAGGCAGCATGGGACAAGGAAAATACCAATGCCCTGCTTCTCGGCCTGGGGTGTTACGAGTCTGATGAGGAGGAGGATCAGGTGGCCACTATGCGGGCTGCGCTTGACGTAAGGTCTCTCAGATTCTCATTTCCCTGACCGAGCTGACCTCAACAGGATACCCTCGAAACTCTGATCGATTCGGCTGAGAAGGGCAACAAGCTCGAGAAGAAACTTAACCTGCACCTAGGAGGATACAAGAACCGGGCCGAGATGCTGCGTAAAAAGATTGGCGAGGCGCATGGCGCACTGGAAAAGGCGCGCCATGCGTTAAGCGGATTCCAGGTTCTTAGGGTGTCCGAGGAGGCGGCCATCCAGCGGCGTCTGGCGGCGCTACGGGCCGAGGTGGCCTTTGTGAGCACTCGGGAACGCGAGGCACAGGAGCTGTACCGGCGGATGAGAGATGAACTGGATGAGCTGAAGATTGGGGTTAACGGACAATGATGTATAAGTATCAGTAGGGTAATGCATGGCTCGGAGTGATGCAGTGGCGTTGCAGATTTCCATGACAACGGAGAGGACATAGAATGGCAATGCAACCTGAAAACTGTTGCAAAATCACCCCCTTCCTTGCAATGCACGACTGAGTCTAACTATCACAGGACTACGTCTAACACAACATCACGACTTCTTGCCCAACCTGGGCAGCCTCACCGGGAGGATCAACAGCAAACTCACCACGGCCAACACAAAACAGCACAAGAAGGTCAGCCTCAACGCAGCCTCATAGCTCTGCATCACCTGCTCCCTGTAGGGGGACGGCAGCTCCCGGATGGCCTCGACCGACCGCCTGGCGCGCTCCACGATGGCATCCTTGTCCGGCCCGGAGACGAGCAGGCCCAGGTAGTAGCGCAGGGCGTTCTGGACCACCAGCGAGCTCCAGGCGACACCCAGAACCATGCCCAGGCTGCGCCACAGGATCAGGGTGCTGGTCACGACGGCCTGCTCGCGCTGCTCGGCCACGGCCAGCACCGCCATGAAGGTGCCGGGGAACTGGAAGCCCATGCCGGTCGCGGCGGGGACCAGGGAGACGAGGTAGGCCGCGACGGGCCAGCCGGGCTGCATAGCGGACAGGCAGAGAGTCCCGAAGGCGATGAGCGAGGCACCGAGGACGAGCGGCCACTTCAACCGCCGCGTGCGCGTGATCAGAAACCCGGTTGCAGTAGCTGCCGTCGAAGCCGCCGCCGAGAAGGCGATGAGGTGCAGGCCGGAGGATGTTGCGGAGATGAGAAGGACGCCCTGGAAGAAGATGGGCCTTGGGAGGTGGCGCGAAGGGGGTTGGTTAGCTGCGAAGATGGGAAGTCAGTGCGAAAGACTTACACGTTGAAAAGGATTGCATCGAAAAGAAAGGCAGCGATATGGTTGGCAAAGATGAGGTTGATGTGGGGCGACTTGAGGACGAGGTGGATGGGCATGATGGGCTTGGCGGCATGCCTCTCGACGAGGAGGAACAGCGGGAAGGAGACGGCAAAGATGGCGAGTGAGGCGATGACGAAGGGATGCGACCAGGGGATGATGTTTCCGCCGAGATTCTGGCCGGTCAGCAAACTAAGGTACAGAAGCAGAACCAGGTATGGAGACGGGACTTAGTTACCAGGCCAAGGATGAGGAAGGTCACGGAGCTGGTCAACAGAGCGGACCCCTTAAGGTCAAACGTCCGCATGGCTTCTCTCAATGTCTGCTTCTCCTTACCGTACAGGCCAATATCGCTCGGCACTACGAAGCTGGCAACGACCAGGCACGCTACAAGGAGCGGCACCTGCACACCAAACTCCCACCGCCATCCCAGGTAATCAGCCATGACGCCGCCCAGCGCAGCGCCAAGCATCGACCCTACACCCCAGGTGATGTTGATGTACGACTGAAAGCTCCCGCGGATCCTGCAACGTGTCAGCCCGTCCGCCAAGTTCGAGATTGAGAAAGGGAAAATAAGGGAAAGGGGAAGGGGGAAGGGAGAAGGAAAAAAAAAAAAAAAAAAAAAAAAAAAAAAAAAAAAAAAAAGAAAAAAAAAAAAAGAAATGCAAACACCGTGGGCGACTCACTCAATCGGCACGATATCACTCACAATGATACTGCCCATGGTCATCATGCCGCCCGCTCCGAGGCCGCACACGGCCCTGGCGAGGATGAAGCTGGTCACGGTGCGGGCGAGGGCGCACCAGGCGGTTGCGACGGCGAAGACGGCGATGGTGACGAGGTAAGGCCCCCGCCTGCCGACGGCGTCGGACACGCGGCCCAGCAGCGGCTGGAAGGCGGTCGAGGCGAGCAAATACGCCGTCGACAGCCACGAGGCGCTGTGGCTGCTGCCAAAGTAGGACGTGATGACAGGGTGGCTCGACGCCAGGATGGTGCCGTCCAGGCACGAGATGAAGTGCGTCGCCATGATCTGCACGAACAGCACCCAGAAGCGGGCCTGCGACAGGCCGCTGAGGTACGTGTAGGGGTTAGTAATAGCTTCGCCATTTTCACCATCATGGTAGCCGGCGACGGCCCCGGCCAAAAGGGGCGCCTCCTCGCCTGGCACCGAGGGCGCCCCGGCCCCGGGTGTGCCGCCGCCGGTTTCCGTGTGGTCCTGGCCGCCAGACTCCGGGACTTGGCTGGAAGCGCCGGGATTACTGCTCCAGGCTGAATTCGGCTCGGCGGCGGTACTGGTACCGAGTACTGATGCTTGGGTCGTCATTGGCTTGCCCCGCGAGGTCTGTCCAGCTATAGTAGAGTAGTACTGGAAAGCTGTATGTATGTACGGCCTGTAGCCGTGGTGAGACGGTGAGACGGTGAGATGGCTCGGCTTATATGCAGCATCCTATTACGACCTGATTACCTGATGTGACGCCTTTCCTGGTTTCCCCTCGCAACTTTGTAATCCGGCGGTCGGTCTAGTGTAAGATTCTAGGGCCTTTTGCTCCTATAGATCGGCGACATCTAACCACATTCGATGCCCGCCCCACCGGCTAGCTGCACTGCACCACATCACCATGGCTGACTTGCCGCTGATAAGGACATACAATCGGCCCAAAGGGGGTGAGTCTTGCTCTAAGGCCTACTCCCTATGGTACGTACACCTACATACATATCCATTGCCCCCCGTGGTTAGCCTAGGCTGACTCGTTGTAGTAGTCGTGAATCACTGAATGAAAAGCTGGGGAGAAGAGGATATCTACCTTAGGTACAGGCATTGGAGATGACCCATTCTCGCTATCAGCTTTCGATCCTTGACTCCCCAAACCGGTTAAAGTCTCTAGCTTCCCCTTGGAATTCGAGATGAGTCGGTCAGCAGAGACCCGGTTTAACAGGTGCTGGCAGACCCCACTGCGTAGTGCGTCCTATTGACAAAAGTACAAAACCTTGACGACAAGGGCGGCAAGGCTCTGGGTGAGTGTCGAGACTCAAAGACTCAAAAGACCGTCCCGGGAGTACCGGTGCATTTATAGCACTCGAGAAAGAGACCTTCTATCTCATCCCCATCTCTGTGTGCCTCTTCTTCTTTTCTCTAAGCTCGAGCAAAGTACCTTACTATTCGCCTTCTCTGTACCAACCAGTTCCTTCTCCCATAAGTTCTCAATTGGCAAGCATGGCAAGAGTGCCCCAGCTGGATGGTAATGGACTGGTGTTTTCAGATGGGGAGCAGGTGAATCTAGTACCTCACCTGCAGAAGACTGTCTCATCACCAACGGCAACAAACATAAATTCAATCACCCCGGTAGCCAATAGCGTATCTGCCAATGAGGGCCTCGTTGTTCGACGTCGAGACGGTAGGATACATCTCGACCTTGAGCCCTCTTTGTCACATTACCCCTCACTGTCTCGGACTTTCGGTGAACTGTTAGTCTGTTGGTGGCACTTTTGCTGGCCCCTCAATCAGCTTCAACTGATGGTGATAGACGCTTCAAGTTCTGTCTACCGCAGAGTTCCCTCTTTCGAATCATCAATAGAGATTCCTTGCCGGAATGGTTAGGCCATACGAAGCAGTTGCTGGCCGCTACTGACATTGACAAGAAGCCCTTTACTAAGGTCGGCAATCCTCTGCGCACAGCTTCGGTACGGCTTCGGAACTGGTGGCGTACCTCTCGTTTGCAACCTGGGAGTGCACGTGTGTGATTATCAGTCGGTGACGAGAAAGGCTACCCGCGCTGTCTCTCCGTCTCAGGTACTCTTATGTGGCGTGTCGTTTTTTGAGTACACATTGGCATGAGATGTGGCTGCAGACCGGAGTTTTTTATCCGGCATGTCGACTGCTTGTAGGCCTTCGTACTTGCTACTTAGTAGTAGCCTAGTAGGTGATCCTCCGGCAACCTGGGGTGACAAGTCTGCGCTGAAAACCAGTTATGAGTGCTGCTAGAGACCTTGAAGTAAACATACATATGGAGACAATCTACGCAGGGTTGACTAAAGTTGCGTCAACAGAAAGCGGGCCTCAATGCCATCCGCTGGGTTGGGACTTGAGGGTTGGCGCCTCAGTCGACCTTGACAGCCGACGTCTATGACCCGCAGTCCAAGCGGCGATTCTAACAACTAAGTCACTGTGCGGCCTGTGCCTTTGAGCACCGTCTGTCAAGCCCGGGCGTTGGCAGGAACGAGGCAGTGAAATGGTCTCGATTGTCACTCTGCGGAGCTGGGTCAGGAAGCTGCCCCTGGGAATAAGGTAGTGCTCAGCCGGATGCCCCAAGCTCAAAATAAATTTTCAGGGGCAGTTGCCGGAGCAGTAATATGCCTAGCAGTGAAGCACTTTCAGATCGACATTCTCATTAGCGAGCAACAATCACTTCAAGCCAATCCCGTCTCCAGGTACACTTCATAGATGATAGTCGAGAGTTTGGTTTAAGGTCCATGTGCTGTAACTAATACGCTAATCAGAGAGGGACCTCTGTCAAGCTTCGCTGACGATGGTTCAAACTGCCTTCCTTGAGAGCGTCAGTACTTCGTACCTATTTAGACTAGTACGCTGCCTCATGAATATGGTACAAGTACCTATACCTAATAAGTCCAATGGCTTTCACGGCTGCCTTTAATACGGGGTTCTAGGTACAAAAGCACAAACCGACTCTTTCCCGCCGTACCGCGTCATCTATACTCGACTAGAGTATTAGTAAAGAGAATCAAAGCAGGGATCTAGAGGGCTACCAAGCAACTGGCAATAAGACTACCTTATCCAATCTGAGCGGTTTCCAGTTGGTACCCAGTATGCTGCCGAGATTTGAAAACCGCCTGTCCTAACATAGAACCTGACATTAAGATCCCGGCAGCCTTTAGGAAGAAGGATTGGACTACAAGCACACACGGCAGAAGCGACGAGTTCGAGTTCAAGACTGGAAACGATAGAGAACCAGCGACCAAGTTTCTTGGGATGTTTACCTGGGATTCAAATGAGGCATAATCGACGGACGAGTGGGTTCAATTCGTGTTGGTACATTTCAAGTTACCGTCCAGATGATATGACGAGACCGTCTTGAGAGTCCGAGAAAACTTGCTGTGACGGGCTTTCCAAGTTCTCATGGTCGTTCGGATGTTTGAGGGTTACCAAGAATCGAGTTCAACGAAGCCGTATCTTGTCCGACTTGGAACGAGCTATTGGCAAACTTACTGTACCTCGCTTTTTCCAGCACGGTCTGAGTACTTGGGGAGGGTAGGCGCCCTGTTAGTACAGCCAAAGTTTTACACGTAAAATCATCCTCTCGACTACCCCTTCTAACAGACCAGAGGGTGGTAGAGGTACCGAACATGTTCCTTTGCACGTCTTGTCCCATCCATGATCCACCGTTGCATGAGCGTCTGTTGTCTGTTGTCTGGTACCAGATCTCCACAGAGCAGCAGCCTCAAACTATAGCAACGCTCTATGCGCCTCCAATCAGTACTGCAGCTCTGCAGTGCAGCATCAGCTGCACAGTCCAGCTGCCAGTGCTACTTTTTGATAATAATACATGGCAATACACATGTTAACGCATCACTGTATCCTCCAGGTAACTATCTCCTCGCCCTAGTGTGCGATCAAATGCACAGCTTCAGGAAGGAGCATCCTTTCCCTCTCGCACAGAGGCAAGCGTTCCCCACCACATGTTCCTATAAACCCCCTCCCCCCACCTCCCCCCTCTCTCTCCACAATTCTGTTGTCTGGCAACAGACTCTTTCCGCTGGGAATCACAATGCTGATTCTGAACGGTTCATGCATTCGTGAAGGTGATCACGAACATGGAGAATCAGCTATGGCCAAGATGTTCACCGCATGCCCGATCACCTCAAGGGAGTTGCCCCGGCTGATGGGCGAGTGGCATGCCCCCACGAGCGTGACGAGTCCTGACTCCTGACGAATCACTTGTAGTATTAAGAGACAACATAAGAGGGCAGATTGGATCATTGGAGAATGTGGGACGTACTCACATGGCGATGAACCAAATTACCGTCATTGGTATAGCAAACTTCGCGACAACGCACTTGTCAGAATTCGGATTCTAAGTCTGACAATGTCAAGTTGCTGATCTTGATGAGATCAGTTTTTGTATGATTCAAATGTTCTGTGTGGTAGGCGGGCAGCCTGTGACCTGGCGGTTTGCCGGAAGCCAGGCTTTTGGGAATTTGGGAAAGCACCTCCCGCTGCCGCAGTACGCAGCTGAGTTATGTTGGTACGGAGAATCAAACGAGTTGAACAAGTTGAAGTCAGCTGCTCCTACCTGTATGACGAAGTACCTCAGGAGCTTGAAGCATCCAAGGATCCCAAGCCTGATGAACACTGACGAGCAACTGCACGGTGATTCCTGGGAAGACGGGAAAATCTCAAAGCGCTCTCTGTGCCTTCCGGCCGGTCCAGACATGTATAGAAGACGACGGGATTCATTACCATGCACGAAGTAGCTACCTCGGAAACTTCAGATCGCACTGGGAGCACCGGCAATAGGGGCTTGAATCGCTTGATGTTAGCGGCCCGGCTTTGGGAATGGTGATGGAGTCGGCCTTGGAAGCATCAAGCTCATTGGACGCTTGGCCCGAGTGGGTCCGGAAACACCCCAGTGATTCCACAAGCCTCGTGGTCAGCCAAGGATGTGACGTGGGGCCACGGATCTCAGAAGCGGTGCCAGCGGACAGCCACGCCGTAGTCATCGAGACTGTCCAAGTTCCATCTACAACATCGCCATATCAACGCCTTGGATAGAACTGCGATGGATGAGAAACACGCAGTGCCGATGCCGCCGCCGATCCGCCGGGGCTTCAGCCCACTTCGGTTGGCCGTCGCTATCGGGTACCTAGCCCTTGTCGCCGTCACCTACGTCTGCTTCCGTCCGCAGTCCTCGGTTACCTACTGGCCGCCATCTCCACCGGTGGAAGCGAGCATAACCCACGCCCACTCTCTCGTCCCCCTCGAGGCGCACATCATGAGCAAATGCCCAGACGCAAGAGTCGGTCACGGCCTTGCGACGTGTCCGCCGGGCGTGGCTCTGCTAACTCCGCTACAGGACTGCCTCCGCGACATGGTGCTGCCGGCCATGCAGAAAGTGCACGACAAAGTCAACTTTACGCTGTCGTTTATCGGGACGTACGCATGCCATCCTATATGACTACCAACGCTGCTCTTTACCGGTCATCCTGCTGACGGTATCGCTTCAGTCCCACAGACCGGGATGACGGAGTGGCGTGCAAGCACGGACCGGAGGAGTGTATGTCCCTCCCAAATGATGCAACCAAACTTGCCAGTTTACCGATACAAGATGAATACTTACGCAGTTTTCGAGGAGGTGCAGGTCTTGGCAACATCATCGAGCTCTGCGCGCAACGGCTGTACCCGGACCCCAAGACGTTTCTGGGCTTCACCATGTGCCTGACGCGCGACTACAAGCACATACCGCAGCGGAGCCTGATCGAGGACTGCGCGCTGGAGCATGCCATCGACTTTGATGCGCTGAACGAGTGCGCGACGCGCGACGACGGTGCGCTGGGCGTTGGCATGCTGCGGGCCAGCGTGAAGCGGACTGCCGAGGTAATTAAAGGACACCAACCACAAATAGCGCTTGCTCTCTCTATCTTGTCGTCGTCTAATCTAACTAAACCGTGTGTGGGCAGGCCGGTGTGACCAAGAGCTGCACGGTCCGGCTCAACAACCAAATCTATTGCGTGCGCGACGGCGCTGAGTGGAAGGAGTGTCCGGCGGGCCCAGGCGTCAACGACCTGGTTGTGGCTATTGAGAAGCTGTACCGTTCTTCTTCTTGAGGGGTTCAAACACGCCCACCCACAGGTCACTGGCCTCACCCAGCGTGTAGCATAGCGTAACGGCGTCCATGCCCGCCTCGTCGTCCCCTTGCATCGTCCCGAGTTGGGAAATGATGCTGTCGAGGCCGACGGCCTTGCCGGTCGCCTGGGTGGCGCCGGCCTCGAGTGCCACATGCACGATGTGGATGTGCAGGTGGTAGTAGGTCGGCTGGTAGTGCAAGTACAGCTTGAGCTGGTCCGCCTCAACTGTCGGGTACACCTTTGTGGTTGCGTCGAGGATCTTGGCCTTCATGTGCTGCAGCCAGGGGATGTGCTTTCTGCGAAGGTCGCGCAGGCTCCACAGGTCGCGGCGCTCGACCAGCCCCAGCAGGTGCAGCGCCTCGACAGTCCTGCGATCCCAGTTGAGATCCGGCAGCAGCAGGAAGCCCTCATCCGGGTCCTGCCCGTACGGTGTCCGGTAAATGACGTCCTCGGCCTCGCTGCGGCCCTCGATGATGTTGTAGGCCCAGTTGAGCCGTCCCGCCTCGCGCTGCGCTTGCATGAAGGGCCGAACATGGTCGCGGTAGATTTGGGGTGTTTCCGTGACAAACCGCACTCCCTGCTTGCTATACTTTTGCACGTGCTTGTCAGTGCACGGCCAGATGAGGTTGATCTTGAGGTCGGCGAACTCGTGGCTGTCGCTGTCGGCTCCGTTGCTGTTGGCCAGGTACCAGTGGTAGATGTCATTGGCGCCTAGGTTCTTGATGGCACGCAGGCTGCCGGGAATCGCTGCCAGGTAGTCGGTCGAGCTCGGAAACGGGGCGCGTTCGAGGATTAACACGGCTGGCTGCCCGTCGATGGTGCCATAGAGGCAGCTACGACGGCCAGCCTGGTCTGCCTAGGGTTCAGCAGGGGGGCCCGAGTTTGGCCAATGGGCAATGTGCGGCATACCTTGGTTGAGCAGACGCTCAAGCTTGAATCTAGGGATTAGGGCTTCTGCCTGTGTTTTGGCGTCAGGCATGGTGTTCGTAATTGAGGTGGTGAGTTGAGGGTTCCGAGTGGAAGTTCAGAGCCCCGCAAACAACCCCGCTGTCTACCGGTCCGCCCCGGTCCGGGACAGCGTTCTCCGTATTGTAACATGAACCCCGGTAGGAAGTAAAGGAATGTGCGCCAGTCTCCGATATTCCATCACCTACGAAGGTAACCAGCTACATAGCGTTGAAGGCTTAATTAACGCCTGATTTGTCATTTACATGACATACCGGACAGTGTGAGCCCTTAGCTACTGGGGCTACCTACCGAGCCTACCTATGCTACAAGGCAGTAGCTATCCTGACCGATGTCGCATGGATCTGGGTCATCCTGCGTTCCTGCTCCGCCTCTGCCGTCAAATTGAAAAATCCATGCGTGCTGCCGGGCCGCGCTTCAACATTGACTGAGATGCAGCCCGAAGTGCATGGGTATTGCCAGGCAGGTCATCTGGACACTGGATGCAGACCATCCAGTTCTGACCAGACGATCTGCGGCCTTTTATCCCTCTGCACACCGAGCAGGATCTCGTGGTCGAGGATAGCGTAGGTGTCCCACAGTCAAGTTGGCTTGGTAGAGGTTCAGTTGATCCGGAACCGAAGGATACAGTAATGTATTGTATGTACATACCTATGTACAGTACACAGTACATACAGTACTGTCCATGATTGCGGCGGAAGTTCGGTGTCCTACACCTCTACCAGGGTTTGTATTGTCACAAGCAAGGGTTTTAGCCAGGGGCTCGACTCAGGTCACTCTTCTAGTAATTTCTATGGCTGGCAACCTTGACACTAACAGTCCAGTGCTTGGCCAAGGATGCTAAAATAAAGTACCAATTTTGCTGCCTCTGGCACCCTGAATTATTGTGCGATTTGGCTGCCTTGGCTTGCGGAGTGCCCTTGCTGTCCCCCTGGCCTGTGACAAATACAAACTCTGGCAGAGGTGTACGCAAATATGGCCCCAGCCCTTTCTCATCCGATAGGTATTGCATGCAGCTTGCTCTCGATCGACCAACTTGCGTCCTAACCGATCGTTAGTTAGTCAGACGTCTGCATCGCCAACGACAGAATCAGTTTCCGGTCCGATAGCTACCGTCGAAACCACAGCTCCACCTCGGATTTTATTCCGCAGTGGTAGTTGACCGCTTGACCACTGACGCATTCGGGCCGGATAGGCTTGACCAGGTACTCCGCAGTGTACTTTTATTTAGGACTGCTAGGTGGTTACACTAGATGGGAAAAGCGAGGACAGGGCGAAACGATTGCATCACCCTTCGGTAGCAAATCTGCCGGCCGTCCAACCGTTAGTGTAACATGGGGGCTCACAGATGGTGCCACCGATGTTTTCTAGAAAAGCTATTAGATACGACGTCTGGCAGTCGGTGTGGTTGCATACGCATACGCCAAGGTTATCGTCAACAAACATGGCCAGAATCCAGATATCCAAAAGTGTGTATTATGCCCGGATAGTCTAGTAGCGTCCCATCCAGCATGAGGCGTCAGATTCGTCATGCCCAGTATATCACGATGTCCCCTTAAGATTTGATGCCGTGTCCAAAATCCCCGTCTCTTTTTTACTTCCCTGTAAACAAGCCTTCCCAGTATAAACAGAACATCAAGTCAGGCTAGCCGCTGCAGCTGGCGCCTACCCGCTTCTGAACGTGCTTCCAGTATGAAAAGTCCGCGCCGATATGCCAGGTCCGTAGAGACCAGGTCTGGTCTTGCGTGATGTAGATCCATCGAAACTTGCAACTCCGTAGTCGCCGGATTTTCGCCGTCGTTTGGGCTCAACACGCAGCCCCTCTTTCCAAGACAACTCCTCGAGGTCACCCAAAGGTTGATCACCGCAGGCCTTGTGTAGCCCCTACCGGCCAACCGCCTAGTAGCCCGCGCGCCTAAAACCTCATGACCCCATGCGAGTCCCATTGTACACGGACTTGAGCGGTGCCTACGCCCGTTTCCGTCCTCTACTCGGGCTTCACATCCTTGATCAGGTCCTTGCGCATCGATGGCGGGCGGTAGCTGCGCCCGCGGATCTCTTCAAAACCGTTGAGCGTCTCTGGTTGTTCCGTCTTGACGCGCTCCATCTCCTTATCGGCGAGCTCCTTGGTTTCGGCCAGCCGCTGCTTGATGTTGGCCACCTCCTCTGCGCAGTCACCGTCGCGCAGGAACTGGTGCGCGGCGTGCTCGCACATGCTCTGCACGTATTCGAGCCCCTTGTCCAGCTCGTCGTAGACGTCGCCCTGCTGCGGCTTTCCGTCCGGGCCCAGCCCGGAAGGCCCGCGGTACCCGCGTCCGCCCGCCCGCGCGTACATGACCCTGCTGGACCGCACCATGGCTGCCGGCACGCGCCCCATCTGCCTCGAACTTACGTACTGTAACGGCGGTGGCTCTTCTCCCTCTTCTTTGGGCGCTGGCCTCGCCTCGATCGGGGCCATGGTTGCTGTCAGCGGCGGTGTGGTTGTGGCGCCGGATGCGACCGTCGACTTGATATCTTTCTCCCCCTCGGCCTCCTCGTCGTCCTCGGGCGTCTCCATCTCGGCGAGCCGCTTGATCTGCGCCACCTTGGCCGCCATCTTGGCCTTGCGCATCATGTTGCGGCTGGCGCTGACAAACTTGACAAGCTCCTCGAAGAAATTCTGCACATAGCTGTCGTAATAGACGATAATCATACTGCGGGTGCGGTACTTTGGAGTGGCGCCCTCCCCGCTGAGGACCGAGTCTGTGCGCTGTCGCTTGCGCAAGGTTGCGCGCGCTTGAGCTTGCCCCTCGGCCCGCGCCCGGTGCGTCCTTATCTGTACGGCTCCGCATGGCTTTGCATCGGCCGGGCTCGGTGGTGTCAGCTGCTCCGTGCTCCCTTTGGCAGCCGCCGCCCCCGCAGCGGCGGCGGCTGCGAGTGCGGCAGGGTCGTCCTCCTCGGGCTGTGGAGTCGCGTCACGGGGATGGGCCTGGGGCTCGTCACGCGGCTTGAGCGACTCGGTTGAACCCTTGTTCCGGATGGACTTGGGGGTGGGCGAACCTTCCTCGGTTGCTGAGGTCGGCTTGGCCGCCTCGGTCGCCTGGGCCAGCTTGGCCAACTCGATCTGCCGTTGCTCAATCTGCCCGTTCAGCTCGTCGAGCTTCGTTAACCAGTCCGGCACATTGCAGACCAAGTTCTTGAGCGCCTCCATAGCGAGATCCTCCTCCTCTCCGCCGCTCGCTCTGCTGCGATGTGCTAGCGCCGTCTTGACAGAGGGTGCGCGCTTCGCTAGGCGGGCGCGCGCCTAACGCGTGCACGCTGGGAGAGCGGAAAACCGGCGAGCAAACGTTTTGTTTGAATTGTTGAATTGAGCTCCGCGGGCAACACAGGAAGAGGGCGAAGTCGGCGCGCGTGACGACGGAGAGCGGCAATCGAAGGAATCAGTTTCAGATGGTAAACATCGCGCGGAGCGAGCTACACCGAGCAGGCAGTCATCGATAGTTGTCGATGGGCTGGTTCCTTGGTTGAAATGGTCGGAGCCACGGTGGGCCTATGGTTGTCTTGTCGACACGCTTACCCAGCAGGTGTCGAATGAGTATGAGGGAAGGTAAGGTGGTGAGGTGGTGTGAGATGTCGCACTGGTCGGGAGATAGGTAGGTGCTTCCCTACAGTACAGAGGAACAATGCTAATAAGCTGGCTTGTCGCAGTTGCAGCCGCTGCAGACTACGTTAGTGTAGTTAGTGGGGTCCAGGTTTGATCTGCAAACCAAGGTCCGGGCCAGTTGCCGTCTGATTTTCCCTTCTCCAGGTGGCAGGGGTAACTAATTAGTGCAATGATGTATGTACGGATACACTAGTCGTCGTCTGAGAGGCCCGAGGGGATCGTCAAAACAAATCTCAAGGCTGCACCAGTCCTTGAGACGGGAGGAAGGAAGAGGTAAGGCCGAAGGAACAATGAGAGTCTTGCTACGTAGCTATTAAGAAGCAAAAGTACTCGCCCTCCCCGCAGACGACGGGAGTGGGCGGCTAGCGGGCAGCCCCGAGGAACACACTTCCCGCCGTGGCCCGCGCGGGCTTAGGTGGTCCTGCACCTTTTCTGCATGTCGATCACGGGCGGCTTCGCATCGAAACGGTAGACTAGGTACATACATATCCGTCTTGCTCGCGCTATGGAGGCACGTATGTATGTACGTATGTACATAGATTACACACGTAGCCTGTTCTCTTCTCCTCGTTGATGCGGGGGATCGGGGTCTGCAGGCAGTGTTGCTCGCAGGCCCTGCCGGTTGCAGATGGACGGGAACCGAGCACGGTTCGAGGTAGCCCCTAATACCGTAGAAAGCCTGCCCTTGGCTGTCTGTGAATCCATTCCAATCATTCCATTAATAAACGGCCATCACTGTAGGCCTCTCCCTTAGCAGCATTTCTTTTCAATGGAAGAAATTGATTTTCTCGGTTTCCTCGCAGAAGCCAAACTGTGCGACAAGGGGCGGCCCGCGTGGAGGCGGTCAGAAAGCGTTTAATGCAAGTTGCACTACCTCCGCCTCTCTCGGCTGCAGGTCGCAGGGCAACAAGGGAGGGGAGGTGCGGGAATTGTCCGCTCCTGTCTCAACAGCATAAAATTACACTACAGATGAAATCGGTGGCTAACGTAGTGTAGCTGTCAAGAATTGCTTCATCACAAGCACCTGCAGCTGGAACAGCATTTGTTGGCAGACGACATCCATCTTTCCGCTGCATTGCAACGTTCGACGTAAGCTCGTGACGGCGAGTCCGGGCTTCCCTGTCTGCAGCGCAGTGAGAATATTTACCTAGGTAGTGAAATTACTTGCCTTCCGAAAGGATTCGGGCAGGAATACGCTACAAGAATCAGCGCTGCTGCACCTATATGTATGTATGTATGCTGCTACTCCGTAGTGCCAGTGCTACCTGTCGTCCAAGGTGCAATACATTTGGCAGTATGTAATGGATCGTACATACATACACTACCTACCTTAGGCCATCAACAGAATGCCGAACTCTTGAGGGCGGGCGCCCTAGCCTGACCGTTGAGAGGCCAAGGGAAAGCTTGGTCCCCAACCGATGACTGCGTACACGACATAGAGGGCAGACAGAGGCCACCCTACCCGCCTATATCTGGCGTTGCCCGTCGACGCAACGCATCTTCTGCACCGTCCGGCAACGCATAACGCTGTGTAACCATAAGGCGCTCGAAGCCGTCTTTCTTCCAGCGTTAATTTGGCAGGATACGATAAAGCGGGACCGCTCCGCTACGACGTCGTGCTCGTTCGAATGTCGAGCGAAAGCGCGACAGGGCCGTTGGCTGGCATTGCATGACCGCGGCAGTCCCTGCGCCTGCAACTCGACATGGTCGAGAATTTGCCAGTTCCGGTCACAAGACAGTTCCAGCATGCGCGACGGAACGACTCCAGACTCTCTTGTCGTCTGTGATGAATCTGGCTCTCGGCGACCGCGTCCGTCTAGATGTCTTAAAGGATCCCTTTTTTTTTCTCTTGAAAACATCGTCTTTGAGCGACTGATGGGGAACAAGAGCCGATGGGCTTTTACACAGTAATCAATCTAGACAAAATTGTCTCAATCGCGTCAGGTTGCCAAGCCCTGTTGGCGGAGGTAAGACGTTTGCTGTTACCTTCCCTGGGCCAACTACAAGCTCCTCAACGTTGCCATCATGATACCCAAGTTCTGAAAGTGGTAGCTATGCCCGAGTCGCTATATACCTAATTACTCCTGCCAGCAGATAGATGACTCGTCTTGTAGATACCAATTACTTCACATTCTTTTCGCAAGTTATCCGTACCTACGGAGTAACGTCGAGTTCAATACCGGGCCGCAGGTTCATGATGAATTATGGTATCTCCTGCGCCTCCGCACACTATGTAAAACCGTTAATTAGTTTACAGGGTCTACCCTGCGCGAAATGGCCCCCAAGTGAAAGAATGCAAACTGCTTGATGGTGGCTGGCTGTATGTACTTCGTATGCCGAACACGCTGACCGCTCACTCTCATCACAGATCTTACAGAGGGAAAAATGCTTTGGCCAATCGATCACCCCAATCTTCTTCAGCGAGATATCGCAGATGTTCGGAAAACACCGGATTGGCCGTCCGTTCACTCTCGCCGAACCGTCCTGTCATTGGCCGCCATGTGTCAGCCATCATGGAGATTTGCAGAGGGCTTTCGGCCAACCACGTTAACATTTCCCCGATCCGGATAGCGGCGCGGGATGTGCTTGAACGTGAGCGCAGGACCAACAAAACAACAAGCTGCAGTCCGCAGAGAGCCGAGCCAAGGAGGGCAAGTCTTTCGTGGGGTCTGCTTGGAACTTGCATCCAACCCCTCCGTGCTGTCCTCCATGCCCCGCGAATCTCTCCACGGCCGGCCCTCACTGCTCGGTGTAGGCAATTTTTAGAATATCGGAAGCAACACCAGGTGACCAGAGGCATAACGGCCCGCTGGCGGGCGTTTTCAATGAATTGCTCTTCTAGCGTCATCAAGATCGCACCAACCATGGTGTATAGAGGTAATCAGGTAGTATTTCTCCGTCTGACAGCCAGAGATACCATGTGCCGACGATACTGTATGAGCTGCATGCCAATCTGCTGCCTCAACGCCCGATGCCAGAACTGATCGTTCGGTGGGGGCCGCGCATAGCCTGTGCCGAGTATGGCAGTTTGCGAACTTTGACTTCGATCTTCCCTAACGTTGGTGTATTCCCTTGTTTTGTTACTCTGAGCTCATGAGCCATAAAAAAACGGGCTTGGGGAGTCTGGGCCTGGCCAGAAAATCGAATCAGAAGCTTGCAATGACAGGCTTCGCACGTGGAAAGTCAGGCTGAATGAACTCTGGCCTCAAACCCCACACAAGAATCGCGATATTAATTGATCGCCGACCTGATCTAGAGTTGTACACCGCAACGGCTCGTCATGCTCGGCACGGCATGCTTGGCACGTCTGAACGCTGTACTTCATGGATCCTTCGAGGTTTGCTCATCCGACGTGTAACGTATACCTCCTCCACCTGTGGGATTATGCGAAACGGCCACAGAAGAACACTCAGAACACCCTCCGCGTTCTTGAGCAAAGTTCTTTGCATGTATCCGTATCCCTAGCTCAAGTCGATGCAAGGGTTCCGAAAGGCGCTAACTTATCTTGGCAGTCCGCGGCACAGGCAGATAGATCCCCGGTGGGCTCTCTTCTCCACCATCGCAGGGCTGCCATGTGCGTCATTGACGGGGCCTTTCTTGGTGATTCCTGGAGGCTCATCTGCCATGGTCAAAGAGGAGCTTCGGCAGCCGAGTGCATCGTGGAGACGCCGTCCTGACAATGTCAAAGAGGCAGAGTTGTAAAGAAACACGGGACGCGCACAAATCTGGGTGGCAGGAGGTTTGCTCCAGCCGATTGGACCGGACCTGCTCCCGTAGCAGTGCATTCTCCACTCATCAATGCGATGCAGCAGCGGTGCGAGTGTGTCCAGTGTTGCAAAAGGCGGTCAGGTTGATTAACCAGCCAACCCAAGAGATTCCACGACGGATTTGATCTTCTCCTTTGGCGCGCTTCCCCAGTCGACGCCTTTGAGTGCATTAGCAGCCGAATCCTCGTAATGCAAAACCCACAGTTCGTCGACGACCATGCTCTTGACTCGCGGCCAGGGGTGGAACATGAGGGCAGCAAGCCTGGTGCGCGCCTCCCGGGCGCTAGCCTGCGTTGCCAGAAGATCACTGCTGTTCCTGGGGCTTCCAGTTGCGGCCACGGCGTCCCTGCCCAGTTCTGCGATCGCCCCATACACCCTGATGCATGCCTCGATTTTGCGGGCGTTGCCGCTCTTATAGCACGACTTCTGGACTAGGAGACAGAGGCTCTTGTAGTTGACAGTACGGCACCGCCGGAAGATGGAAGCGTGGAATAAAAATGCCACAACTTCTAGCGTCGGAACAAGTACCCGGTCGACTCCCTGCCAGCTCTTGAGATTCCTGACAAGTGCACCGCAGACAGCGTCTGTGTTTGCGTCTGATCGCTCACAAAACTCGCACAGCGCTGCCCGCGTTGCGATAACCAGATCTTCGTTTCCCGTGTCAGCAGACGAGACTAAGCCGGCCAAGAGGCTCTCCATCCACTTTTCCGTGTCGGCTTTTACTGCTTCGGACACGACAGGCTGTAGCCAGTCCTGCTGGAGCAGGTCGAGCAGAATGAGAAAGTACGATTTGGATGAGAATGTCGACCTGCGGAGCTCGCTCGAGTGACTGAGCCTATCAGTAGCTGTGCATCACCGTCAGAAAGCTTACTTCACATACCTTGGCTTCAGGACCAGAGCCAGCGCTGCCTGCGCCTCCACCCGCACTCGGTCGAGTTTCTCGGCCGCCAGCCGAAGAATGGGCAAAAACAGCTGCGAAATTAGCATTTTTGTGCCCGGACCGTCCAGCTTGTCCCACAGTGACTTTGTTACCCGGATAGCTTGCAGCCGGACGTGAGATCCAACGTCGCCTCGAGCGTTTGTGTAGTAGTCGTTGAGACCCTCGACTACTAAACTCAGGAAGACCTCAGTGTTTTGCTTGAGAAGGTCGCTCCCCGCTAGGCTCTGGAGGATCGAGGTATGGGTTTCGATGTCTTTGTCGTTTGTCCAGCGGTCCGTAATCGAGTTGCAGATCAACGTCTTGTGTGCCTCTGATGCGGAGATGACCGGATACGAGGTAGCAAGCGCCGAGAAGTGGCCCGTCGCTGTCCCAGTCTTGGATGCTGGACGGTGCCGGACAGCGTCTGCCCATGCCTGGACGATTTCTTCACGCTCCTCTCGGTTGCAGAGTACCAGAAGGATCACTGCTGCCTCGGACGCTGCAGATATTAGGTCCTGCTCCTGCCGAACAAGCGACTTTTGCAAGTTGGACTTGGCGAGGTCGACAAATTTGCACAGCTTGTCGGGTCTCACCGCTACCGACTCTAGAACGTGAGCCATGTAGGTGCTTTGAGCCGTTACCGAGGACCCAGGCAGCAGAGCAGTAGGAGGGGCCGATGCTACTGCCTGAAGCACAGGGAATGACGATACAATAAGGCGGCTCGCAGCCTCAGCGATGAGCTCCGGCTTGCGGTAGGTCTTCGTATCGCAATCTCGAAGGAGTTCTAGTAGTGCGTCCATCGCAATGTAGATAAACTCGTCTAGCGCAGCGCTTGCATGCTCTTTGCAAACTGCCGGAAGGGCATCAAGAACGGCGGCGAAGCAGAGGAGAAGACCATGTCTCTCCTCAACCTGCCGAGCTTCCAGTGTTTTGATTTGGCCCAGCACCAGGGACACAGATTGTGTCAGACGTTGGAGGGGTTCCTGGGCTGTCGAGGCTAATTCCGCTGTGATGGTGCCGTATGAGGTTCCGGCAGCCCTTCTCGAGGCTACGTCGACATCGCCAATTCCTCTCCATCCGAGGAGGGCATCCAAAATGGCTTCTCCATATCGGCTCGACAACTTAGTCACGCTCAGTGCGACGTGCTGGAGCGCTCGAGATCTCAAAGCCACGGCGTGGTAGTCGACCGTCTGGACGACCCAGATCCCTTTCTCGACAGTATCTGGGTGGCGGCCAATCAGCTCCTGCAGAGCTGCCGAAGACCCGCGCCTGATATTCCCCGCCGGGTCAAGGCAAGCGGCTGCGACAAGCTCTGTGCCGAGGATCTGTAGGATCGATGCCCCTGAGGTGGGACTAGGAATCGATGCGGTTGGCACGGCAAGCAACTCGGACGTTGTATAGCGTCGTGCAAGGGCCCAGATACCGAAGCAAGCCGCGTCCCTGACGTTTGTTCCGATGGAGCCTCCAGAAGTGTTGCGCCTCTCGAAGGAAAGCCCCATGAGCAACGCGTGCACGATATTGGCCAGATTATCCGCGGGCGGTGACCGGCGGTATAGCAGATGCGAAAGCGTGAGCATCAAGCCATGCCACTCCAAGGGGTCGACCCCGCTCAAGTCCTTCTTTGACGGCGCCGTGGGGTCTAGGGCGTCTTTGGTATGCAAGACATTCCGGTTCAGAGCTTCGAGCACGGCTTCCACAACCTGAGAGGCCATGTCTGGGTCCAACTTGAGAGTGATGATGCTGAGGGCTTTGCTGGCCGCGAATCGGACCGGAGTATCGTTATCTGCCAGGCTCTCGAGCAGGAAGCCAATTGTGGCCTCAATCATCTCCATACTAGCCATGTCCTGCTCCGGACTTCTTAGGACTAGCACGGCGATGGCTCGGATGACTTTGATCATTGTCTTCCGGGCCAAAGCCGATGACAGCGCAGCCTGGCCCCCTTCCGAGGTTATGCCGTGCACGGCGTGAAAAATGGTCATCAAGTGGCGGTCCATGTCCGAGGTGTCAGCTGATGAAGCCAGGGCGCCTGACAGAAACGCGAGCACGCCGATGTAGTGATATGGCGTCCGTTCCGTTTCGTCCTCGCAGGGCTGGAGAGCAGAAAGCGCCCACTTTACCAGCGCGTCCAGCACCCCCAGCTGTTGCATGTCGCGGCGCATCGATATCCTTACCAGCAGCGCTTTGGAGGCATCTCGCTCTTTCCCCGGCAACGCCAGGTACTTGATGGCCAGTGGCAGGATCCGCGTGGTGATGCTGGGAAGCCCCACAGGCCAGTGAAAGCCGGGGATACGGGCGAGCTCGTCGTCCTCAACTTCCTGCGACGAAATTGTCGAGAGATCAAACGGCGCGAGCATGAGATGCGACAGCCATAGCAGCACGACATATCTCTCCTCCCAGGTCCATTGGGTAGGCTGGTCGGCGCCCTCGGAGTCCTCCAGCGCCGACAGCAAAAGTTCGAGATACTTGGCCTCGTTGCTGAGGAAGCGTACGACGACCTTTTCGCCGCGGATTTTGCAGAAGGTGTAGATGAGCTTGCATATGGCCCTGGGCAGCAGCATCAGCAGCTCAGAGCGGGTCGACGGCACCTTGGCGTGGCGGCGTGCCAGGTGATACTCCAAGAAGGCGTCGCCCAATGTGGGCAGCCATTTTGGCAGATGCGGATCAAGAAGCTGCGGTAATTCTTGGAAGGGGTCCAGCTGCGAGAAACGTCAGACAATTGCAACCGCAACTAGAAGGCCCCGCAGGCACTGGGAGCACTTGTTTCTCACCGTCGAGACCAGCCGATCGGTTTCACGAGTACGGACCCGTGACCGGACCGGCGTGCCGCCCGCAACATCTCGCTTCCTGAGGAACGGCTGCAGCGACCTGTCAAAATCGGCAATCAGATCGCCCGATATTTTCTGTAGTTTGATGTCGACGTCTTCTTCAGGGGCGTCCATGATAATGATGTTAGGTGTTGCAGTTGTGTGTTTCTTGTGGTAGTGGGTCCGTTGTAGGTGGTTTTTTTGGGGAGCCACCGCTACTTAACGTTCCATACATACACTCATACCCGACAGACCACACGAGCATGGCACCAACTGCATCTGAAGATCAGGCGACCATTGGCCATAGATTCCGCCGGGCACCTATGAAAGCATCTGCTACCTAGGCAGCACCGAGCAGTAGCATAGACCTAGGATGGTGAGTGGTGTACTAACGTACATACCTGACACAGCGTTCAAAACTACCTTACCTACCTTAGGTACTGTACCTTGCCTATAGAATCTACGCAATAAATCACATCATGCGAGCACGTTGAAGAGCAGTGCTTCAAGTCCTGACTGGCCAAAAGCACGATACCAGTCCGTACTATATAGGTATCTACAAATTACGAAATCCGGACTGGTTATTATGCGACCGCCAGCGCCGCCACTATCACGTCCATCGCGGAGCTGTGCGTCGATGCATTCGGCCCGCTTCCCAAGTCCGGCGGCCCCGCCCAAGATATCCCCAGCTGGTTTTTGCTGTTGCGGTTCTTTGCCCAGATGGAATCGGCATTCTTTTCGATGGCGGCCCTGAAAGCCGCTTGCGGCGCGGCGAGGTGCAAGTAGCCGAGGTTTCGTACGAAGATGCCCTTGAACTGCGAGCCGTCGTTGCCGCAATTGGGCTCACACTCGTCAACCTCATGAATGATACCGTTGCTATCGCTGAGCAGCTTGATAGCGGCGTTGGCGATCGCGACCGCTTCTCCCAGGTACGACGAGTCACCCGTAGCCTTGGACAGCTCAACCAGCCCGCCCAGTACAACGCCCTGGTTGTACGACCAGGTGTTCAGGCCGTTGTTGACACAGCTCCCGTCGTCGTTGATCCGCAAGCCATCGTTGATGAGGTGGTCCCCGTTGATCATGCCGCTTCCCTTGAACCAGTTCCATTGATCCTTGGCAATCTGTGTATACCGGTCCTTGCTGCCCGGGACGCGGTTGGCCAGACTGGCCGCTACGCTGAGGTACAATTCGTTGGCAATGGCGTTCTTGTACGCGCGCTCCTTGCTCCACCAGATGCCCCCGCCACACTTGGTGTCGGTGCCGGCCTGCATGTCTCGGAAGATGGTCTCGGCCATGTTGAGATACGCCGTCTCCTTGGTCACGTCCCATGCCCTGATAAGGGCCAGTGCCCACCAGCCCTCGTCGTCATAATATTCGTTAATGAAGTCGTCAAAGCCCCGCTTCTTGGTGCGCCGGAGTGAGTAAGTCGAGGTGATTAGGCCGGTTGCAGAAAACGTCTTTTGCACTGCCATATTGGTATGCTGGGCGTTGTTGAAGGTGTTTGCCACGATGGCAGGGACATCGATCCCAGTACTCGAGCCGGCACGAGAGGCCCAGTCGACCAAAACCGTGAGACAGTTTGCGCTGTTCCACCAGCCTGTGGTATCCCAGAGGCCGGCAGCCTGATTGTACCAGCCTTGGAGCGCCGCAGCCGCACTCTGCGCGTTACCGGCGTAATCAGCGCCCTCGGCTCGTGCTCCTGGCCGTACGGACATGAAGTATGATGCTCGGACTACAAGCCCGCCCCATCTTACAGACACCATATTAGAATGCGTGTGGCTAAAGTTATGGGGACCAGTCTCTCGAACCCGAAAATAGGGGAACAACTGATCGTGGTCTGCCGACTGCTGGAGGAGACAGGTGTCTGATATGAACGAGCGAAACACTCTGATGTCTAGGAGCATGTCAGCATTGGAAATTAGAGGCGTTTTAAGGACCATACATAACGATGCTATAACAGCTCATATATACTGCAGGGTTTAGCTTTGCGATAAATCTAGAAAAAACAAAGACGAATACGACAGAACGGACCCAGAAGAGAGGTGTGTGACCCTCAAATGGGCGACCTGTTCCTTCTGCATTGACATACGTCCAATCGGCTCGATATACCTTGGATCTAGATGGTGCCGGCAACGGCCCAATTAGGAAGCTCTGTTCGTTGTGATATGATCCTTCCATCATTGCCAGCGGTAGCTGCATCCTCTTGAGGCGGATGACCTTGAAGAGCAGGTTAGAAGGAGCGATCGGCGCCCACGAGGGCTGTTCATACGGCCTTGTCACACTCCTCCTAGTGCGAACGCCCGGGGAGCATGACAAGGCGCGCAGGATAGCCTTATGCCCGGCCCTGACCATGATCCAGATGACCGGTACATAGCCCCAAAAGCAAAAATTGGGTGGAAAAGGTTGGACTGCAGACCAGCCAGCGGATTCATGCCGGCGTTGCGTACATGCCTTGTTGCCACCGACGTGTCGTGCATTGGGCATATGCTCGGCAGCCATTAGGTATCTAGTCGTCTGGGATGTGCGTCTGCGGCACTAAGGTTGGAGACGACTCTGAGGGTCGACCGTCTGTCGTCAGTCGCTCGCGGTCGCTCCCCCACACGGCATTCGGCACTGCAAGTGCGGCTAGGCCGCATGAGCCGCAGATCTAATTCGCCTTGGACGTTTTTCGGCATTCCAGAGCAGGCCGTCCACGTGGCTGCGAATGGCATCAATGAGGGAATTTGAAACGCCGTTCCAGAGCATGAGCAAGCGGGTTATTGCTCGATGCTGTAAGATGTAAGATAGAAGCCATTGGCCATCGAGGTCGACCACGCAGGCACCGACAAAACCAGTATTGCAATTGGTCGTCTTTCGCCCTCCAAGCCACAAAATGGAACGGACCGCAGGATTCAAGTATCACCTGGAGTGACAACTGGCCGCTCGATTTGACGGTAGCATCTGGGGCGGTAGGACAAATTTGTTCTCAGTTATCAATGCATAAGACAGCGCGACGCGTCAGATGGATGCGCGACATTGTGAAGATGGTCATCTCACTGCAGAACCGAAAGGGGATCACGCGCTGGCTACTGGGGAAACGCTTGGCGGGAGAGTTGTGGTTTTGAACAGTTGAGGGCTTTGGTGGGTCTGGGTAAGGGTTGGCTGTGCACGAACAACCCGGTTATGTAATCAAAAGTCGCAGTGGAGGAGTCGAGTACATACCCACTGATACCGTAATTATCGTTACTTTGTAGTCCCCCACATCAACCCCTACAATTCTCCAACTCCAGGGCCAGATGTCACCGTGGACGTTTACCTCAGTTGTCGCAGGCAATGCAGGACTTCAACTTGAAGTTATCAACCTCCTTCATCAATGCACTTAGTAAAGGCCTGCCGTCTCCGCCGGATGAATCTCCTAGTGAGCCTCGCGCCATCTATCCAGCCATGTCTCCAGTGCCTCCGCAGGCCGCTGAAATGGTCCTCCGGTCAATCATGTCAAGCATCTTGGTTTCACTCTCTGTCTCGCATCCGGGGCTAGTTTGCGAATGCTCTGGATCTCATTTACCTCAGTTCTCGCTGAACTCCAGCCAAGTGAGCTCGAGGTGAGGTATATCTTCGCTTGTGTGTTGCTCAGTGCGACAATACCCCATTACACTTTACACTGACAGTTTTCTGGCGGCTGGCTCCGTCTTGGCACCCTGGAGGGATCGATATTGCAGAAGGCCCATGCTGACCGGAGCAGAATTTGAAAGTGCATGAGCGTCTCCCCGTTCATTTAGGTATGTATATCCATCTCATGAGACACAATCACAACGGCCCGAGATGGTTTAAAACTATCAACCAATCCCCCCAAGCGAGACGGACCAGAACACCGTGCCAAGCCCGCGGCGCCGCCGGACCCGCGTTGCCAAGCTGCAGGGCCGATCAGAGCCGGGCAGGGCTAGCGCATGCACCCAATCCGAAGGGGCAGTGGGACAAGCCCCTTGATCTCGATCTAGCGCCACACACGTAGATTCATCACGTTCGCCAGTTTCAGGCAAGCACCACAACCGGAATGGTGGATGTTACGCGCGCAGCAAGTAGCTCGGAATGACAGCCGAAACCCCTAGATAAGGCCGTAAATTAGCGTCAAGTCGAGCGCTGTGCCTGTGCTGACTCCCGTCTTCCCTATGACCGAGCGGTAGCCGGATGAACGCGTTCCGAATTTCGATGGGGTTGAGCGGCCCCGGCATACATCGGACGCGTCGCACAGAGGATTTGGCCGTTCTCTACGCTAGGTACTCTGCAGCTACGGCGGCGGTTTAACGAACCGAGACTGTCTTTCGGCCTTGCAGACCGCAGGTTCAGTGACAGCGGGGATGGTAACGGTAGGCAGCCCTAGCAGTTCCGCACAGATATGCAGTAGAGAGGCATGTTTTGGATTATGAGAACGTTTCTGGATCGCGTTGTGGGAGAGCTCCTAAAGGAGACGAGACAGGTCTCGCAACCCTAGCTCTATGTATGTATGTATGTACGTAGATACAATACCGTGCGCCGGCCATAAACTTTAGGGGCAGATGTACAAAGAACCCCGGAGATTGCCAGCGGAGCCTTGAATCTGGGCGGTTAATGACTGTGTTCGTTGAATTGACTGGTTGTTTGCAGGCCCGAGGACTCTGTTCTGTCGAGCATTGGGACCAACCCTTATGGCTCTTACACAGTACTGCTTCCAAGTATCGAAGCCGCCCGCGTTTTGGCGACCTCATCCGACTGTTTGTATGGGTCAGCTACACCATGCACCACACTAGGAACCACAGCATGCCATCGCAAGCCAACAAATCAGCAGCAAAATCACCCAGATGATTGTAAAGGTATTGGAGGGAAAAGTATGTAAAGAAGCAGGATAAACAACAGAATAACAACCCATCGTCGGCAGATTGTCGTTCTCCTCAACCCCTTTCCACCCGTTTCTCTTAACGCCAGTAAAACCAAACCCCTTTTGTCAGTTGACCGGTGCCAGCTGTGGTCACTGATGGGCGAGAACCCGCTCCCGTCTAAACCCGCACGCCGAAAGAAGAAAGGAAAACCTATGCCCCGTTCCCAGCCTTCTAGATGGATCCGTCAAACAAGCTAAGGAAATACAAAGCAATTGCTGCGTACGCGAGCGTTGACCTGACGCCGCGCTTGACTGAGCAGGGAAGTATGAGGCAATGCAAAGAGAAAGTAACGAACAGCTGGGCCGTCAGCCGGGTTTGTGACCGGACTCAAGCATGAACCGCAGGGAGGACCGCAGGATCGGCTTCACAACCGATAATACACTGGACTGTTTGCCATTGCATGGATCGCATTGCGCTCAGACGGTTACCTGCCGAAAGACGCAGCAAAAGCGCACAGCGCCGGGGTTCCGGGCGATGACAGAGGGAGGGGCGTCGTAGAATCCGGATTCGCAAACCGTTCCGTCCGGTAGATGTGGTCCGTGTTGGACAAGACGAAAGCCTCTGTAGTCGGAAGTTGTTAGCACTCAAACGCTTCCCCAGGTTTGGCGGATGCAAACGATCGGGTGTCGGGCTGAGACAGTTGAGTGTTTGTCGCTGGACGAAGCGATCGAGCTGTGCCCCTGAATTTCTAAGCCGGTTCGGATGCAGTATGAGAATGCCGCGCCACAAGACGGGCCGATGCAGCTTGGCTGCGGCCATCGCCAACGGCCAGGGCATCGTGAGGATGGGTGGGCTGGGTGGGCTGGAGTGAGCGCATCTCGGCGAGACTTACCTGCACCTTTGACGACGTTGCGCCAACCTCGGCAGCCACCTCCGAGAGGAAAGTCAATTCCTCCTTCCTCGGCTCCTTGAGTCACAATGCCGACCTCCACCGCGCCCCAGCCCGATTTGGCCTAGCAGACCGACCCAGCTGCCGAGACGTCACTGAATTTAAGGAACGCTCTGCATGCATCCACGACACGTCTTGATACGACAGAAGCGACACTCATAGATCATCCAGTGCGGGCCTGAGTGGCACACTGCGCAGGTCCACTGGAGTAGTGTGGTGTCGGATTTTAGGAGGACAAACTGGTGAGCGCACATGGCGTTGACGGCCATTTTCCAAATAAGAAATCCTGTCCGGTCTGATACCGTAGAGGATTGTCGGGCCGTAGGCGGTATACGGGTCCACGGGTATGGTGTAAGAGCTCTACACTAGCAACTCGAAAGGCAAAGCGTCTGGTTTCTAGCGCCGCGTTAGTGCCAGCCGTTCGGGACAACTGTCATCTCTTCCCTTAACAGTACGAGGGTTCCGAGCGGAGATTTACCTGGGACTTGGGTTGGTGAGCTGCAAGGTAGTGAGTTGTAGCAGATGTGGGTAGGTCGTAAAGAGGGCTGCCTGAGCCAATAACGACGGCGGGGAAGTGATGCTTAAGTAGAAGTTCCGGTGCAGGCCGCAATGCAAAGTCGGTATGGCGGATGGAAGGCGACTGTCGAACAGATCAAGAGTGTTTGTCAAGCGCAGCAAGTGCAAGCGGGCGTCTGATTTAACCAGATGTAGTCTACCTTCCCAAGGTGAACGGAGGCGGCAGAGCGATCCCTTTTGTGTGCGTTCTGCGCACGACCAAAAGGAAGAGGCTCTGTGGCGCGATCCAAGCCTCTAAACGGCGAGACCAGAAATACAGGCAGAGCGGATCAGGATACGGATATGCGTTCGAACTTCCGGTTGCCGAAGAAGCCACATGCCGGGCTCGGCATGGGTTGACCAGAATGGCGAACACTTCGGCACGATTGTCCCTGGTCGTAGCGTAGAAGGCTTCCTTCTTCTTTCCCACGCCCCTCCCCTGGTGCTCTCGGATCCAGTCTCCGGGTGACGGGGTTTGGCGTCCAAGTGTAAGTGGACCGAGAACACGCCAGCCAGCGAGGCGAAGGTTTCGAGAAGCAGGCGCCAAACAGGGAACAGGCCGCAAGAAAAATGCAACGTCCATCCACCGGTCAGTCAGGGAGACGGCCGAAGGAAAGGTGTACGGTACCCAGCTCCTAACCTCTAACGTGGAAGCATCTCCTCGGATGGCACGCCTGGGATCGTACAAAAACACTGCTGAGCCCATTCGCAAAGATGCTTTCCCGGGTCGCAGACACACGCAGCAGCAAACGGTAGAGTCCAGCATTGGAGCGCTTCTCCGGGAGTAACTTGAGACCCTTCCACAAGTCAAGCGCCACTGGCCCACTGGTTCCCAAAAGAGATGGGACGAGCAGCCGCTTGTCCAGGGGTTCCTTGCATGTGGGGCGCTCTTGGCTTCCCGAAAGGGCACCTTGCGAAGCACGTTGCCGTCTCTTCTGGGCAGATTTTGGCTGTTTGGGGGTTATAAGAGAGCATATATGAAGGGTCGAATCCTCAAACCTTGGTTCTGTTCGTTTCCTCGTTAGGCCCTTTCAATCAATGACCAACCTGAAAAGGCCTGGAGATCCAAACAGAGGCCAACTCTGGACGGGAACCTAAGGGATGCTGGTCCATGCTGCAAGGGTTAGTCGCCTGTCGTCCAGCACCTTGCGCTGCCCTGAGAGCCCTGAGACACAAAGACAGACGGAGCAGCGCATCCCCATTGGCCACCACTCATTGCAAAGTCACCGAGACGTTCACGGCACACCGATGCACTATCAACCGGCAAGTTGTCTGACTCCGAGTCCTACAAAGTTGTATGTACAGTACAAGTATGAGCACTTCGTACACTGCATGGTATCCTGATCTTTGACGACAGTCAGCCCTAGCCTTGAACAAAACAGCTGCCTAGGTCGAGCAATAAGGTTGAGGGCTTGCATAGGTGGTTTCAACACATAACTAATGTAATGTTGTACTGTATCATGTAAGGTCGCTCTTCTGTGTGCATTTCTAAGACATGCAGCTGGGTACCTTGCGTCCTGGAAGTGTAAGGTACGGTACTCATGATGGCGTAGGACGTCGTCCGTATCCCCGTGCCGTCTGGAGGGTACTGTATTGTATGTACAGTACTCCGTACAAGTATACATTACGAAGGACCCCAGATGGCATCCTTCCTTAGGACCAGATCGCACTTTCCTCAGTCTCCTGCAGTTGTCGGGATGCCCGTTAGCTCAGTGTTCACTTCTCTGCCTGATCGCAAAAGTGTCTCGAGAGTGTTCGACCGAACAAATTCTGTAACTAAGTTCAGCGATGTGGATTTCTGTGCTCCAGTTGTGGCCCGACGGTATTCCATCCGACGGCCTTCGGTCACGCTTTCATCAAACCGCCAGCGCCACGTTTTCATCAGAGCGCGAGCGCCGCCTTGTGATGTCAGGGTTGCCAGCCTCTCAACCGGAAGGTTTGGTGTGGTCCACTGATTGAAGGAATTACACTTGGAACTTATCGACGGTTGCCTGAAGGGGCAAACAGAACTTTGCAGTGGACCTTGAAAGACTCTTCTAGACAGCTGAGGCTCATGTAAGCTCCATTAATGGTGAGGGATTCTATAGCCCTACTACGAATAGGTATAGTACACTACACCAGATTCGACCGAGTCTTCTAAAGCTTCTAGCGTCTGTCTGAGCGCGAACGCTAGCTAACGGCAATGCCGGGTAGGCGGGGCCAAGCGCGAATGGGTATTCTCGCCAACTCTCGCTGGGGTCTGAATGCTGGTATGCTGATTATGGCAGGACGAGCCGCCGAGATAGGTATGTAGCTGGGCAGATCGTATGACAAATTTCTGCCGATGCCTTCCTACCTATGTAGGTATGTACGGAGGTACTGTACTGTCCATAATAAGTCCTGTTCTGGTGCAAACTCGCACCCATGCGAGTCTGCAGCCGATGGCTCAACGTTGGCTCGAAGTTTCGACATGTACGCGCAGCAGATCATCCTGCCAGTCGGCTGCAGCCCGAAAAAAGCAACCGCGTTCCGCCGCATGGAGGTACTGTACAGTACATTACAGCCGACCAATTGGGGCCCATTCCCGCGTCTCTGCTGACTTCAAACACCTGCGACCAATCTGGGGACCCTAATGCAGCAGGTACGACGAATGGTCTATGCGCCGCTGCAGTCAAAGTCAACACTTCCTAACTTTACTGGTTGTGTATCCGTTGGACTTCCATAGGAAGTCATCGTTAATCTCCGCCATATCCGCCATGTTCCTCCTCTCGCAAGTCGGGTTGTCGGTGCGTGCCCGACTGAGGCTTGCACCGTGTGCGTGGTGTGACCGGTAACGACTGGCAACGGATTGCCATTTGCCTGGGTTATTAACTGCCCACCCTTCAAACGAGCAGTCCTCTTCGCGCTTGGTTTTAGCCAGTTTCGTATGAGGTGCCAGTTCCACACGCTTTGCTCCCTAACACGCTTTGCTCCCTAACACGCTTTGCTCCCTAAGGTACAGTACAGTCCTAACGTTCATAGACTCGGCAGTGAGCAAGCGTTGCCAACGCAATCGCGGCTTCGGGCTCTTGGGCACTCGCATCTGCAAACCATCACCAAAATCTATCCCATTGGGTTTTGCATGGAAGATGCAATCGCAACCGCCTTGGAAAACAGCTATGCCCATCTGGCATATACCCGTCCGATCGGCGCAGGCAGCCGGCTGCCTGTGCCCCGTCACATCATGCCGTATGCCGTACTCACACATGATACGGATGTGTGTGGGAGCCCCAATCGCCAAGATAGCCGAACAGCCTCACCTGCCGGCATCAGAGCTCCAACTGCAGGTTTCAACCTTCACCGTACTGGGCACTGCTGGCTGCTCCGCAGGATTCTGAATGGCGCCCGGTCATCAACAAATCCCCCTTCTAGGCTGCCACGAGTCCACGGCTCCAATGGTTGCCCATGGGCCATGAGTGCCACCCCTCAGCCCGACTCGCCGGCAACAGTTCCGCTCAAAGGGTCGACCAGAATGGCCCCTCCCCACGCGTCCCACCACATCATACTACACCAGAGTGCGGAACGTACAGAATCACCGAACTATTGTGCACAAGACGTACTTCATAGCGGCCGAGGCACCCCGAGCTTACTTACACTAATAACGTCAATATACAACGAGTTACTTACCATATCGGTGCTTTTCGCTTTGGCGCAACGACAAATTTACCATTCCGGACCCGCGGTACCACCATTATGTGGACGTTATCAGTCCAAATCTGTTGGTCCTTGTTTCCTCGACGCCCAGATCAGGACGCGAGATGAACAAGTGCATTAGCTGTCACAGCTTCAAGATTGTAGATCCAGGTTTCCTTATGCAGTAACTAAGGGAAATCCTTGCAGGTGTTCGTGGTCCAGCTACCCCTCCGTCGCACCTAAGCTTCCTTCTCCACTTGTCCGGAGCCAGTTCGCGATCCGTACTAATGTGGATGTATTGTACCGTTGCTACGCTACAACGCCCTTACCCATGTCTTGCCTTCTCTTGACAGGCTGACAGGTGAAGACACGAAGAACCCTGCGGCAGCTCAACGTAACGCTGCCCCCACCTATGTGAGTGTGTAGGTACGTACTGTGGTATGTACTTGTACATTCATATGTATACTATACGGATACACCATCCGTCCTCGGTGCGGTAGTATCTGCAATCTACGTGGTGTACAGTCCCCCCCTTGTTTGTTCGTTAGCGCCTGACTTTAAGACTAGGGTCAACCCTAAGATTTCAATTTCAACATCAAAACGGCCAGTTTTTCCGCGAAAAAAGGGCTCTGAAGAAAATAGTCTCCTTGAGTAATGCTAGATACTCTTTCTTCTTACATTGAATCAATCGTTCTGGCTGCTGAGAAGCATTTCTCTGATTTCTGGACATGGATCCCTGTCGAGAGTCCTGCTCTAACAAACAAACAAGGGGTGAACTGTAGTACTGCAGCTTTCTACATTCACTACACCCACTAGATATGTACTTGTACATACGTACAACAGGGCTTCATGTCACTCACTCACATCCTCTCAACAGACGCCGAATCCCTCTACTCCCCTTCACCGAGTAGTCCCAAAACTCCAAACAACGCTCGACCGGTGAGCGGGCTGGGAGCGGCATTCCGGCTACGAGGCTACAAACTCTTATGGACTCACAGCAAAGTTATAACGGAGTTAAAGAGTTATAAACCCGGGCCAGCAACTCATCGTCATGCCCCCACGGGAAAGGAGCCTGCGGTTGCTTGCTGCTTGGCTTCGCGAAATGCATCGAACGGCAGCATGTTGGCAAGCATGGATGATGGACTAGTGTAGACAAAAGCATGGACAAAGCGTCACATCGCTCTGGTTTGGATGCGCCTGACGTTGGGCCAATCCTGGCTCTCCGGGGGCTGCTGGGCCGTCCCGCATCAAACGGCGGTTCCCACGAAACCGGAACCAGAGATTATCATGGCTTGTGGCTCTTGCTCGCATCTCGTCAACTCGTCCCGTCCTAGCCATCGTACCGAGCAAGGCTCCCCGCGCGCTGTTCTTGTTTTGATCCCGTCCACATCCTTCTATAGCAGAGCAGTGTATGAACTAACTACACTAGGCGAGCTGCGCTTTGGTTCGGCCGGCTACGGGACGATTTCCCGGATACACGCCTGCCCGACCAAACAAAACTCCTTTAAGCCCACCCGCTCGCCACGGAACCATGGGCGACCAGCTCCAACGCCCTGACTCGGGCTCACTCGGCTTCACGGAATGCCACCCTATACATACAACGGCCCTTTGTCGCGACACGCAACCACAACGAGCGGTGAGAGGCGCCACGGCCAACGTTTGCTCGGCTCGTCCATCCTGTACACCACGCTGCCACGCCAAGCCGTGAGACAGGAGACCATGTTCGTCCCAAATCGGATCCCGCCCTTGGCCTTTTTGGGGCGAAAAGCTCGTGACGTATGTAAATATAACCTTCCCGTATTTGGGACGGAAAACGGTACCTGTCCTTGCTCACAGGTTGAAATCGGTCCGGTTGCCAGAACGGGTTTCTTGGAGTCCAACTCCTCTCATCACTCGCCACCCTCGCCTGCTTTAGGTGGATCTGACAGGGACGTGCTCGTCGAGTCCGTACTAGGCACATCCGCGGCTTCCTCGTCCTCATGCCCGGCAGGCTTCATCTCCAGGAGCGCCTCGCTCTCACCCTGATGCTGCTTCTCTTGGAAAGTGAAGGCATCCGAAAGGTTGACGGCTAGGAACGTCTTGGGCAGTTTCACCCTGCAAGCTGGTTAGTGGACTGCAGACTTCAGAGCCTGATGAGGAAATCATACTGGTGGAACTTTGCCCGCAGAGTCTCAATCACCACCATCCAGTCGGCGTGGGCTGTCAGGCTTCGGCGCGGCGCGCATCCGATGCAGTGCCTGCTGTCGAGCTGCACGTCGAGCGGGTCAAAGACGTGGCAACCCGGGCTTATGGTGATCTTAATGCTGTAGTTGAATACGGGGCTCCCGTCGCTGTTAATGGGAGGGTTGGCCGGCATTTCGTACAGCTCGAACGAGATCTGCGACAGGTAGTCGAGCTCGGGGATTGTCGCCCGCTTGATCTTGGTCTCGAGCCCACCCTCCAAGATGCAGTTGAGCAGCGTGTAGATGTGCGACTCCTTGGTGAAGTAGATGAAGCACTTGGCCTCGTCCGACGCCTGCATGTCTTCCAGATCCTGCACGATTTCCTTGAGGAGCGGGAGGGAGGTGAGGAGGCCGATTTCAAGCTACGGTAGGTCAGTTAACCAGTCATGTCGCCGCCCGGCAACGCACGCTCACCTTTTCACTGTCCGAGATCCCGTACTCCTGCGGGCAGATGAAGTCAAACAGCACCTTGGCGAGCTGGTACAGCTCTCGGAGCGGCTCGAAGCGGGCGTCCGTCTTGGCCTTGGTCTGGCTGTTGCCTCGGTACAGATGGAAATACTTCTCGGGCAGCTCGGCCTCGACGCCGCCCCGCGGGTTGTAGAGAAACGACCGCCTGTGGAAGATACGCTTGACGGCCTTGTGACCATGGCTCTCGATCTTCTCGGAGAGCGTACCAGACCCACCACTTCTCTCTGAACCGGTATCTTCAGCGTCTTTTGGTGGCGTCGTCTTGCCACTGAACGAGGCCCCATACTCCTCCTCGAGCATCGCCTTGGGCGGCGTGAAGACCCATTCGAGGAACTGGCGGTTGTGCAGCGCGTCAAACTTCATCGTATCGTACAACTCAGAAATCTTACTAGGATCAACCTTCTCGCCGTCGCAGAATTCGGCAAACAGCTTCTCCCACCGCTCCTTGAAGAGTTCCGCATCCTCGCCGCAGCACCACCGCGCCTGGATGTTGTTAACAGGGCTAGCTTGTGATGGTGATCCGCCCGAGTTGAGCGAGGACAGCGACGCGCCAGAGGTGCTCTGCTCGATGGCTTTGTCCATAACCAGGTCGGTGCCGCTCGACGAGTTTGAGAACCCGCTGGACAGCTTGGCGTAGTTGTGCTGCATCACCTTGCGGTGAAAGTTCATCAGCTGTACGACCCTTGTCTGCACTTCGGACGGCTCCGGCATGTTTGCAGGCCAGGCGAACTGCGGCGGACGTTCGTTGCCCTTGCGAAGCAGCCCCTTAAGCTTCTTCTTGACTTTGTCCATTTCGTCCTTGGCCGCGTTGGAGTCGTCCAGCAGGTCCTTGCGGATCGTGATGAAGTCCTCAGGCAAGTCCTTCTTGTTGAGGAAGCTGGCGGCCCAGATCTGGGCGCTCGTCACGACGCGCCGCTCGCTGCTGCTAAAGACATGCACCTCATCCAGCACCTCGCGGTTCATGAGCCCCAAGTCGGATCGCATGTTCTCTCCAAGTTCCTGGGACTGGTATCGCGCCGAATGCGTCGGCTCCCCACCCCATTTAACTATCAGTTGTAGCTTGTCAAGTACAAGGCTCTCCTCGGCAGCCGTAAACTTGGACATGGTCACGCCAGAGAGCGAGTCGTGCCTCTTAGGCGGCTTGCGTGGCACTTTACCGTCATCCTTGTTGGCTCCATCTGGTTCCTCGACCAGCCGGTCATCCTTGGCGGTGCCCTGGTGCTCCTCGGCCGGTTTCGACTCGGTCTTCTTCCGGAACATGGGCTTGATCTGCACCTTGGTCCCGGCCCAGCTACCCTTCTTGATCAAGACGTTGCGCAGAGCCTTGAGCTTTCCGCGGTCTTCAATGCCCGCTCTCATGGCTACGTCGACAGCTTCGAGTACGCTCGCCAGGGCGGGCTCGCCAATGAGGAGGACCTCCTCCTGGTGGCCTTTGAGTAGCTCGATGAAGGGTGCCGTATGGAAGGTGAACTTGTACTTTTGTTTGGGCGTGCGGTCCGCGTGGCGGATGACCGATACGACACCCTTGAGCTTCCAACTGGGCTTGGGGGGCGGCGGCGGTGGCGGTTCTTGCTCTTCTTGCACCGCGTTTTCTGGCAGCATCGACGGCGTGGCCGACATGATGGACGGCGCAGCAGTGGACGGCGCGCTGTCGACCACGGACGACGGGAACTGAGCGACCAGCGGACTCGCGGGTATGCTGCCGAATTTGGTCTCGGCCTTGGTGGACGGGAGCGATTCAACCGGCGAGTCTCGAGCTGCCTTCTCGATGCTTGGTCTTCCCTGCGACGAGGCAAGCGGGTGCTCCCTCTCTTTGTTCGCCGAGGCAGCCCGGGCTGCCAGTGGATCCACATCCGAAATTGCCGGAGACAGCATGGGAGGCGTCCTTCCATCTCTGCGCAGTTTCTCCTTCATAAACATATCCCTGAGGATGCTGGCACAGTGGTCATAGTAGTCCTCGTTATCCTTGACGAAGCTCCAGCCGTTAACGTCGATAACATAGCTCTTTCCGCCAGCCCGCAGGAAGTCGAAACCGCAGACGCGCTGGCCAAAGGTTGTGCTGATTTTGCTCGCAATTTCCTTCTCTTCGCTGCTTAGCGCTGTGACGTACCGCACCTCCTTTCCATGCGTGTTGCGTCGCACCACGCCGTCCACGACCGGAGATTTTCTGGTTTCGGCATGACAGTACGATGGGCCGACCGTGTATGCCTTGACATCTTCGGCGTTATCTACTTGCATAAAGCGCTCATATATGAAACTATCGTTAGGCTGGGTTATGGCGCGCGGCACCGTCAAGCCCTCGACGTACTCGCTGCTCTTGTTGCCGATCTTGCGAAACAGCTTGCGGGCGCCGCCACCAGCCGACGAGGGAAAGTATATGATTATGTTATGGTCCTCGCCGCTTGTCGGCTTCTCAACAAAAGGCTTTTTGATCAAGGTGCCGTCGACCGAAAGTATGTCGCCGCCGTCGAGCAGTTCAACCTTCCGGGGCGCTATCGTGCTAGCCTTGGCAGGGTCAGGGTCGGTGGGCTCGAAGACGATTCCGGTGAGGTCCCGGATGTGCTTGCAGATGTCGGGAGTGAGCAGCTTCGGGCCGCCATCGCGGTTTACCTCTATGCGTCGGGGAGTGGGCACGCCGATGCGATCGAGTAGCCGCAGGCAGAGACGGCGGTCCCAGAGAATTTTTTGCATGGGCACATCGTTGACGCAGAAGGGCTTGCGAGCCTTGACGTAGGCTATGGCTTTCTCTAGGGGGAAGCCATCCGAGTAAAACGAGATAAGGTAATCACTGAAATCGTTAGCAACGAATCTGAGGCAAGGACAAATGCCGAAAGGTACTTGCCATATGGGCCAATTTTCCACCTCTACCTTAGATTAGCCGTGTTCGAGATAGAGCAGGGAAGAAGACTCACCCTCGTCGAGAATAACCTTGTCCCCGAAGACACAGACGTCAAACTCGCGGTTCTGTATTAACCTATTCAATATGTTCCTACTTGGCTTGCTCCGCGCCTTGACATCAAGGGCACACACGCCAATGACACCCCATGGGGCCGGCTTGTGCTCTTCCTTCTCCGGGCGGTGTGACAAGGCGCGGTCGCCGCTTGGGCTGTGGCTGCTGGCGGCAGTGCTCCCGCTGAACCTACGCTTTGCCCGGCTGCGAGAGCGAGTCGGCTGCGGGCGCGGTGTGGGATTTGCGGTCTGCTGCTGCTGCTGCTGCGACTTCTTTGCCATATCACCGAGGTGCGGCGCGTGTGCTTCGCGATGAATGGGCTGCTGTACGCCCTGGGAGGAGGAGGAGGAGGCCGCAACAGTCACGCTCGACACGCCGGGTTCGGCCTGTGCGGTGGCGAGAGCCTTGGCGCCGCCAGACGGCGCCAGGAACCCGGGCACGGACCGTTGGACCGGCGCTCCGGTGGTACCGCCAACATCGCTCCCGTAGGCTGAGGCTGCCGGGCTCGGGTTACCGCGGACTGAGGCGAAACTGTACATGGAGCCCGCGCTCAGACGGTTGGTGATGACAGCGTCCGAGATGGACGAGCGGGCGCTGTGCATGGAGGGCTCAGGAAAGTTACGGTAGTGGTTTGTATCACTGTTCGTGCCCACCAGGGGACGAGGTATATCGGGTGTGCCGTGGGCGTCCTCGAGGGTCGCAGCGTCCTGGACCGAGTGCGCTGGAGCTACAGCCTCTTCGGAGGTGTCTTCGCAGGTGTCTGGGAAGCTGGTGGAAGGCGGGGCCATCGATACATCTGCTGTGTCGGCATGGGCATCGGCGATGACTGGCTCGTCCTGCTGGCCCGGCCCAATGGGCAAGGGCGAGTCCATCGGGTGTTGGGCCATGGGTCCAAGATTGTCGGGCCCTCCTGCCGGAGCCGGGTCGAAAGCAGCAGGCATTGGCATTCGGGCATTCTCCATTGAACTTGTGTCCTCGTCTCGAATTTCCGCAGAAAGAGTTGGCACCGATGGCTCTCGACGCCTCGCGTCCGCATCCGCATCGCCCACTATGCGATTCATTGTGCCACCAGGATCCGACTCCATACTGGCTCAACACTATGCGCTTGGGAAGGTCGCGGTCTGCTATCTGCGGTCGGCGAGACACTAGAGACACTAGCAGTTCATAGAAATGCGATTCGTCGACATTTAAGAGGCCCCGGAGCCAGGTCAAGGGCTCAGGTGCGCATCGGTGGCAACATGGATGGTGCAGATATTTACAAAGACGGAGGACATTCTTGCAAGAGTTGCAGGCCCTTCCCTGCCCCGTCCTCCCTCGTTTCCACGTGAATAAAACCTTAACGTTACCTGATAGTTGGCCGGCGCAATCGACCAGCTCCGGTGGAGCATGCCCTAGCAATCCATCCACCCAAGGTAGGGAGATAAAGAGTTTCCTGTTCAGGTACGGAGGCGGACAGTGACACGAAGAAGTGATCGGGGACTAGGCTAAGGGGTTGATTGTATGTATGTACGCAGCATGATTCACCAGACTAAGGTAGCGGTTTTATAGCAGGGATTTGATTTTTCGGGGCGGGGCTTTGGAGGGCCAGAGGAAGCATGATGACGCCCCAGAACAGCCCTTTTCAGGGACACATTCGGCTGGCATGGTCATTCCACGGGCCAGCCACAAGCCACCCGTAGCCATGGTTCACAGATCTCGGCCGGCTGGAAGTACGGAGGTATTTCCAGGTTAACTTGCAAATAGCCTACAAATGGAAGTATCCGTAAATCGAGGCTCAACATCATCAATTCGTAACCAACTCAAAAACCTACCCAGTTAGACGGGTTTACCTGCGCCAGATTGTCCACAATGAGTCTGTTTGCTGCTCAGCTGAAGCCGCAGTATCATGTTACCGCTCTGAGCGGCAGGAAAGTGGTCGCGTGACCTGCAAAGCCCCAAGTCAAGACCTGCAACATAGGCCCAAAGGCTGATAGGTATCTATCGGATCTGTGCAGGCGGTCAAGAATGCGGATCGAGATTGTGCACATCGGATGTGGGTGCCGTGATCGGGAGCGTTGTCTTGGCGAGCTGTGCGCCTATGCCCGGTGAATCCTTTGGTGGGCTTCTGTGGAGTACTAGAAAGGTACCTTGATTACTGTAAGGTTGATTCTATACAGTAGATCCTCACATGAGCTTTCTTCCAATTCTTTCGTCAGTTATTTCTCGTATAACTTTCTCTCAACTTGCTGTACTTAATATTAGATTTCATGCATTTTTCAGTCTTGAGCTATCATGAAGGAACGGGGTATTAATACACAGGCTCGAGACAGGGTTCCCAGTGCTAAGTGCTAAGTGAGCCCGGGCCGCTTGCCGAATAGCGACCCCACGCTAGCCAAAAACGGCAGTGGTGATCGTGAAATTTTCTTGGGATGCCTTTCCTTTCATTCGGCCTGTGAACGGTGACCGCCCAGCCTTTTTCTAGACACCAGCATCTGGAGACGACAGAGAGCTACTAGCAGATTGCGAGTGGTCTCGAACCGCTGTCTGACACAATGCCTCATTCAGAGCCCGATCGGCCGTCAACCAAGCGGCAAAAGCTGGAAGCCGCCGTCAAGTCGTCCGCAGCATCATCAAACAGAGGGTCGGCCATTTTTGCCCCATTTCGAGTATGTTCATGACGGTGCAAAACTCAACTTTACTCCAATTTTGTTCTAACACTAAGTAACAGACCATTGGACTGGTATCCCCAACTAGTGTGCCGTTTACCTCGATTCCTCTCGGCAAAACCACCTTCCAGATCACCACCTCGGTCGGCCGGGCCCTGCAGACGTACGATCTCAAACGCGGCCTCAATCTCGTCTTCGTTACGCGCCCCCAGACGCCCGCCGACATCACTGCAACTTATGCTTGGAAGGACCAGGTGTTTGCTGCCTGGGGAGACCCCCGCAATGGCGAGCCTCAGGGTCTGTGGGCGTTCCAGCGCGGCAGGAAGGCTGTTGAGCTGCGGCTGCCAGCCGATCTCGACCAGCCCATCAAGCAGATTCTCATCTTTGGCTCGTGGATAGTCGCTTGCGCCCTGACGAGGATAGAAGTGTGGAAGTCGGCTACCCTGGAGCACTACACGACCATCTTCACATCTTCGGCCAAGAAGGGCGACAACGAGTTAACTGGAGGCATCTGCAACATGCCGACCTTCCTCAACAAAATATTCGTGGGACGGAGAGACGGTTGGGTTGAGATCTGGAATGTCAGCACGGGAAAGCTGATCTATACCATCTTGCCGCCATCGCCTGACTGCGGTGCCGTCACTTGTCTCGAGCCCAGCCCAGCCATATCCCTGTTGGCAATTTCTTACTCTGCGGGCCCTCTAGTCATCCAAAATGTGCTTACGGACAAGCCTGTCTTGCGGCTGAATGCTGGTACCGAGGAAGCCCCAGTTACCTCAATCTCGTTCCGGAGCGATGGCCAGGGCGCCGGGCATGACGGCCGTAAAGATGGTGTCATGGCCACCGCGACAAGCTCTAGTGGTGATGTCACGTTCTGGGACCTCAACAAGGGTGGAAGGATAATGGGTGTGCTCAGAAGCGCGCACAATCCTCCTTCTGAGCGCGGAGACGTCCGCGGCGGTATCAGCAAGGTCGAATTCCTACCGGGCCAGCCTGTCATCGTCACAAGCGGGCTTGATAATGCTCTCAAGTCATGGATCTTCGACGAGTCGCCATTCTCGCCCGTTCCTCGTATTCTGCACATGCGGAGCGGACACGCTGCGCCAGTCAGCTGCCTGCAGTTTCTGCCTTCAGACTTCGATGGCGCCGAGGCCGGCAACAAATGGCTGCTCAGCGGTGGCCGAGACAGGAGCCTATGGGGTTGGAGTCTGCGCCGCGACGGACAGAGCTCTGAGCTCAGCCAAGGCAGCATCCGCAAGAAGGCGCGGAAAATCGGCCTCCTCGCGGGCGGCTCGCTGTCCCACGGCCCGACTACTACGCTGGACGACCTCAAAGCGCCGGAAATTACTTGTATCGCATCATCTCTGAACCGAGACGGTGGTATTGGAGCGATGCCGGGCAAGCAGATGATTTGGGACAAGGGCAGCGACAAGAACAAGCTCACTAGCGCTGAACTCAGCGGCATGACCGGGTGGGAAAGCGTCGTCACGGCGCACAGGGACGACCCATGGGCTCGTACCTGGTTTTGGGGCAGGAAGAGAGCCGGCCGGTGGGCCTTCAAGACGGGCGACGGGGAAAGCGTCTCGACCGTTGCCATCAGCCCGTGCGGCACCTTTGCTCTTGTCGGCTCGGTGGCGGGCAGTATTGACATGTTTAACCTGCAATCCGGGCGGCATCGGCAGCGGTTCCCATCCAGACTAACACCGGCGCAGTTGAGGCAATTAAAGATGCAGCAGCTCAAGACGCTGGACAAGGTCGATCAGTTGCAGACCCCCGCCAAGACGTTTGCACCGGGCACCGGGAGACACACAAATGCCGTCACTGGCATTGTCGTCGACTCGCTCAACAAGACGGTAATATCATGCTCACTCGACGGCAAGGTTAAATTCTGGGACTTTGTGACGGGCAACCTTGTCAATGAAATCGACTGGGCGCCCATGACAAGAATCACAGCGTGCCGCTACCATCCCGGCAACGACCTCATGGCATTTGCGTGCGATGACCACTCGATCCGGATAGTCGACATCGAGACGAAGCAGACAATTAGAGAGTTCTGGGGTTGCCGCGGTGAAATCAACGACTTTTGCTTCTCCAATGACGGCAGATGGATCGTTGCCGCCTCTCAGGATTCGATCATCCGTGTGTGGGACTTGCCAACGAGCCACCTTATCGACGCCTTCCGCCTTGAGAAACCCTGCACGGCCCTCGCTTTCTCCGGCACAGGCGAGTACCTCGCAGGAGCAGTTCAAGACAGTCTCGGCGTGCAGATCTGGACAAACCGGACCCTCTTCAAGCACGTGCCAACTCGGCAGATCTCGGACAAGGACATTGGTCAGATCTCCGAGCCGACAACCTCGGGCGAGGGCGGTCAGGGTCTCATCGAAGCTGCCTTTGAGGCGGACGGCGCGGCCGAGGATGAGGAACAGGAAGACGGCGTGGCTGCACCTGTGCTAGACCAGCTCAGCAAGGACATGATGACGCTCAGCTTGGTGCCCAGGAGTCGCTGGCAGACGCTGCTCCACATTGACCTGATCAAAGCGCGCAACAAGCCCAAAGAGCCACCCAAGGCGCCCGAAAAGGCTCCCTTCTTCTTGCCGTCGGTAGGCGCAGCAAATCCGCTTGTGCCTGCGCCCGAGTCGGCACGTGAAAAGGCTGCCGGCACGGTAAGCGGTGCGTCACGAATAACTCAGCTTGACCGGGCAAGGCAAGAGCAGGCGTTCTCATCCAAACTTCTGGCTGCTGCTGCCTCGGGAAATTGTAAGTATCTAGGTGCCTTTTGTCGTGAGATCTACTGGCTAACGCGCCCAGACGATATATTCATCGAACACCTCAAAACCCTGGCGCCGTCGGCAGCAGACCTAGAAATCCGCTCGCTGTCGATAGGCGATGGCGACGACGCATCGAACGAGCTACTCCACTTTATCCGGGCAATGATCAGCCGGCTCGAGGCGAGACGCGATTATGAGCTGACGCAGGCGTGGATGACAGTATTTCTGCGACTACACTTTGATCTGGTCATGGAGAACGAGGCATTGCTAAAGACGCTCGCCGAGTGGAAGGAGCATCAGGCAAGAGAACGGGACCGCCTGCAGGATCTGGTTGGATATTGCCGGGGTGTTGTGGGTTTCTTGAGGAGTCCGAGGACATGAGCATGATGGCGCGTCAATTCTACGAGAGCGGCGAACAATCCAATCGTCTATCTTTAATTCTTGGGTATCTGTCTACTGCCGGTTGATGGCATCCGGGCGCAACGCCGTCCGGATCACGACATTATCCAAAGACATAGTCCAACAGTCTGTCGAACGCGTTGCTGCATCATGCGGGTAAGCATATATATATGTCTTGAACTCGGGAAACACGACTCACCTTGGCGGCGTTGGCACATAGGTGCGCTCGTACTCGTCAATCTCGTCGAGATTCTTGACCAAGTCGACCTCGGTGGCCCGGTACATCTTGGTCCTTTTGCCGATTTTCCATCCGACGTAGAGGACAGGGCAAATGCCGATCATGCAATACCTGCGGTCCACCGTCAGCGTCACGGGCAACCAAGCAGCTCCGGGCAGAGATAGGTACTCACGAGGAGAGGAAACTCGGCACGTCCCAGTGTCCCGGCAGGAAGACGGTATAACCGCCCACAAAGGCCATGACGGAGCACGCAATCAGGCCATACCAGGCCGCGTACGGCTGCAGCCGAGCCCTGTAGGGCAGCGTCTCACGTGCGATCCCCTGCGTCTTGAGAGCGGCGTGAAAGCGGATGTAGGTCAGGCACATGACGCTAAAGTTGATCAGCTGGCTGGCCGTTACCAGGTTGACAAACCACTGCAGCACCACGGCAGCACTGTTGGAGACCTGCAGAAAGGCCAGCAGGGCAATGGCGAGTACCGTGAGCACGCAGTAGATTGGCACACCCTTGCCATTGCAGCGGGTAAACAAGGCCGGGGCCTTGCCCTCGAGCGCCAGCCCGTACAGGGACCGCGAAGCGCAGTAGACATAGCTGTTGCCGGCCGAGAACGCGGCCGTCAGCACCATGGCGTTGACAATGTCCGGCAGCACGCGGATCTGTAGGCGGTTCATGGCCACCACGTAGGGGCTGGCGGCGGCGCCCGGGGCGCCCGTGCTGAAGGCCGTCTTCATCTCCTCGTCGTTGTGCGGCACCAGGATGCCGACGGCCAGTGACCCGAGCACAAAAAACGTCGTCAGGCGGTAGAAGACGGCGTTGAAGGCGCGTGGCATGACGACACGCGGGTTCTCGGCCTCGCCGGCGGCCATGGAGACGTAGTCGGGCCCGGCGATGGTGAAGGAGGCCTGGATGAGGCACTGCAGGAAGCCGAGGAAGCGGCCGAGGTCGCCAGAGTGGTACAGCTCGGCGAAGGCGCCCGGTTCATACCAGAAACGGAAGCCGAATCGGTCGTGAAGCGGGTTGCCGCCCAGCATGACGATGAAGGTGAAGACGAGTAGGCCGACAATGAGGAGCACCTTGCCCAGGGCGGCCCAGAACTCGACCTCGCCGTACCACTGCACGGCCAGGATGTTGATGATGCCGTACAGGACCATGGTGATGGCGATGATGCCGCCGGCGGGCACGACGTCGCTCCAGTAGTGGATGATGACGTTGCAGGCCGTGATCTCAAAGGGCACCATGGCGGCCTCGAAGATGAAGAAGTTCCAGCCGGCGGCGAACCCAAAGGCCTCGTCGACGTAGCGGCCGGCGAAGCGGATGAAGGGCGACGAGATGGGCAGGTAGGTCACCATCTCGGCCATGCACAGCGTCACGGCCAGGATGACGGAGCACCTTTTGCAGCAGCACCCGCATGTCGCATGTCAGTCCGCCATGTTACGTCAAATCAATCACATTTGGGGAACGTATTCTGCAGAGCTACTACCCACCATAATGTGAATGCAAGGAACAGGCTCGCCGGCCCGCCGTTGAGGAGCCCCTTGCCGATCTGGACGTACAGAGCCGTTCCGATGGTTCCTCCGATGCCTGTGTGTGTGCACAGTGTTTAATTATTTGTGCGGGGAGCATGGGAGCTAGGAGCTAGGAGAGTTCAGAGTCAAGAGTCGGAGCCAGGAACGTACCGATCAGCTGAATGTGGCGCGACTTGAGCTTCCGGTGGGTGTGATCGCGGGAGATGCTCTGGATCGACGCATTGTCCGACGACGGCCTCTCGGCGGTGGCCTTTTCGGCGTCCTTGACGGGAACAGCACTGCCTGAATAGTCCAAGCCGGTTGATGCCATATTTGTTGCTCACTTGCTGTTGTGGGTTTCTTTTCTTGTGAGTCTCGATGCGCCCAGGCGTTGGTGACGACCCGAGCGAGGTAGACTCAGTGTATCTGCTTGAGGAGAAGGGAGAAAAACTGGACGACAAACGTCATGGGGGCCTATTTGAGTGACCGTCTGGATACTGCAGTGAGCAAAGCAATTCTTTTCCTTGGATAGGGATAGGATCCCGAGGGTCTGGGACTCTATTGGAGAGAAGCGAGCTATATCGCAACACCACTGTCCTATGCAGTATACAAGAACACGCTCAGAAGCTCAAGATGGAGCCATTTTAAACGGAACTGTGAGTAGTGGTACAGTAGTATTATTTACTGTGCGTCGTGAAAATTCCAGAGCTTGTCCTTGTCATATGCTTCTGAGCCCTGACGATCACCACTTAAGGTTACCGCGCATTACGTCGAGCCAGCACTTCAAGACTTTTAGTGTAGCTCGGGTGCACGAATTGACGAATAGGCCGTTTTCTTGGTAGTGGCGCCATCTGACGCAATACTTGTCCACCATGGGCAAGTGAGAGCCAAGATGATCCCGCGAGACCCGCATCCCACCGACGAGTTGGCAGGAGCAAGATGTTCTGCGGCTCCTGCCTGGTTAGGCCGTGGTGGGGGGGAAGGGGGTCAGGGGCAAGGCGGGGGACCTGGAAGTCGGTGAAAGGTACGGAGGTACGGGGCTCTACCTGGTTTGGTTCGGACGGAGCGCATGCCAAGCTTGCCGTCACTGCCTTCGGCCGGGGTCACGATCGCGTATCGTGGCCCTGTACGAAGTACAAGTTAGCCTGAAGGTGGCTCGGGGGTGGCTTGCATTGATGAACCCGTTTGGCCCAAAGTCCCGAGCACTGCGACCCCTCGCTGTGAGTCGCTGACCACATGCAAATGTGCCCCATGCAAATGAACATCGAGCGTAGAATGCGCGGACATGGTCTTCAACACCGATCCCTTTTAGAATCTTGAATTCATGATGGCCACGCCGTATCCTCTCCGTGGTGGCACACCTAAAATTTCATTGTTTGCAGTTCATATCCTACCCGACCTACCGGCAATCCGGCACTGGCACATGAAAGTGAAACACAGGGGCGGGGTATGTCTTGTTATAAAGCCACTAGCCCTCACTTTGGATCCGAATTTCCGAACAACCGTCCTATCCACCTCCGGCCCGTCGGTGTGGATACCCAAGCCATTAAGCTTAAAGCTATCAGAATATTTCCAGAAGAACGAAACGATGTTCGATGCTAGCTCATCCCAACGACCAGCCAAGCCTGGCCGCCATCTCCTCACTTCGTCGAGACCAAGAGGAGCCGCGCATGGTGTTCAGTGAGTAGCATCGCCCAAGCCGTCACAGATAAGTAAAATCGAAAGACGAGCCAAAAAATCCAACTGCCCCTGCTGGAAATGATAGCAGCCCATCACTATGCTTCCCGGTCCAACGCGAAATCCGTGCTGGTAGCAGTTGCCCGAGGCCAGCCGCGACTTCTCTCAAGCATGCCCGCAACGAGGTCGGCCACCCTGGACGGGGCGAGGCCGTGGCGGGCTGCGACCAGTTGGTACGGAAACGTTGCCTGGATGGTTTTGGATATGTCCGCCAGCAGTTCAAGATGCTGCCCCCGTTGGCCTTGTCCTGGCGCCGGTGCCGGTCGCGGTTCTTGGAGCGCTGCCGCTTGGTTTCCGTAGGGAGGCATTGAGACAGGGATTAGGCGCGGAGCTAGGTGGGATTGTTGGTTGCATGAATCTTGCTCAGCGGGCGCATGAGGAGTCGGAACTCTCTGAGTCTGGGATGGCTGGGAGCTCCGTTGTGTCTGGCGGAGGAGTTTTGTGCATTGGAGGCACGGCACTACCCCGGCTCCGGCCGCTGCTGGTGAGGGCAAGCAAGCGAGCATGTGCGTGCCATGCAACTCCGAACGCCCTCGGACTTGGTACTGCCGGAAGGCGTGGGGACTAGGCTCCCGCAGCTGGGCTTGTTTCATTGAAAGTTGCCTCGAGAGACTCGGACGAGGCGTGCTACTGTTTGGGCTGAACTGAGCTCGCATGGGGGTGCTGGTGAAAGGCGCTTTAGGCCGGCCCCAGTTCTGTTGCGGCAGTGGCACCATGATGCCCATTGAGTGCATGGCAAGCGGTATGGCAGGGTGGCTGTTCAAGGGCGGTAGAGGAGGCGGCATCAGGGCCGAGGTGCCCAGATTAGACATGATACCTCCATCAGGAGAGAAGATACGGCTCGCATCGAACCCGGGTGGCCTGGTTGGGGTGCCGTTGAAGTCAAGGCACGCTATTTGGCTGATGTCGACAGAATCAGGCGCTACGCCGGCACTTGGCGGGACGCCCTGCCCGACTTCCGCATCGAGCGTAGGGGCCGATGGGAGTGACTGAGGCTGCTGTTTGGGGGAGATGGTCTCGGAGATACGGCGAGGTCGGGTTGGAAAGTTCTGGAATGGATTCGAAAATAGAAAGCTCTCCAGAGCCGGTAATGATGTTACTCGATTCTCTGAACCTGATGGACTGGCAAAGGGCTGGCTGGCCGAAGGGGTCTGTGGCATCGCCTGAGCAGGGCCCTGTTCCGAATTTCGCCTTCTCTTGACTGGGTTCGAAGAGATGAACTGGACCTCGTCATCCGGCAGTGATCGCTTGGCTGGGATCGTCTTGCTGGTTGCTTCGATGCTCAAGGCAGTGGGCAGATGGCTTTCTGGGGGCTGCTGATCCTGGGCTGCTGAGAGCATGATCCGCTATGGTGTTGGAGTTCGTTACCACGCAGCGTGACTGGTATGGTGAAGAGGCAGAGTGGCAGGGTATATATGCCTCACAATCAGCAGTCCGAGAAGGTTCCTGTTATTCTCTTGTGACATTCACTGCGGTCAAAAGGAGGAGAATGAACCTGGCTCAAGGCGCGCCTGTCTTGTATTGACGACGTTGCATTTCGTCCACAGGCTGCAGACTAAGTACTCGGCGACAAATAAAGAGAGGAATTCGATAGAGAGGATTAAGATGTGGGCATCCCGAGCAATAACGAACCATTCGATTTACACCATCGGAACCAATGGACACCTATAGTATCAAGCCGTGTCCGCCGTGATTTTGCTAACGACTCTGTGCCGCACCCTGAAGTCTGAAATCTGAATTTTGAAATCTTGTCAACAACTGGCCGCAGTTTCACCCAAAGGGTTAGTACGAAGTTAAGCGCTGGTGAGTACAGGAACCAGTAGGTGGTACGATATCGCTCACGTCATACCTAATTCTTCAGTCTAAGTGCAAGCACCGAGACGGGGAGACCTCGTCACTACCTAAGTACTAGGTAACTTATAAGTCACATAGGTAGGTAATTGGCGGAGCGAGAATTTTGGTTTTCGAATTCTACTATGTTCAACTAAGTTTGTTCAAGAACTTCAAGTGGATTCCTTCTCAACACCTTTGGTTTTTCTTGGTTCACAGAAACAACCTTTCTCCCTATGAAACACATCTTTCAAGCTCCCCTGTCCATCATTTTGAGGCATTGCATCCTGTACATCATACATATACCGTCCTTTGTCCAATGCCCCGCGGGTTGCTCCTGCTCTGGCCACAGGTTAAGGGTTTGTTTTCGATTGCTTCCTCAATGCATCTCTTGAAGCAACTTAGACAAGCATGTGGTAGAACCGATCGGACGGAAAACTCCCACGATTCTAGTCCGGGATCTAGATTGAGGTCGAGTTTCCGGCGGCGACGGCCGCGTTGAAGAAGTCCCATGTCTCGGTAGGCGCGAATTTCACACCATTGTTGCCGGTAGGATCCGGGACGTGGCCGCCTCCGTGGGCGATCCAGGTTACGGGTGCCCGGGAGCAAGTATACGTCGTCTTAATGTGGCTTTGCTGCCCGGATGAGGGCTCTGGCGCATTCTTGGAAGCGCAACCGTTGGTTTGCAGCCACTTGTCACGCAGCTGACGACCCATACCGATGGGCAAGACGTTGTCGGCGGCGCCGTGGATCCCAAGGTATGGAACTGGCTTGCTGCTGCCAGAGCACCCAGAGAGCTGCGCCCCAGCAATGACCGAGACGGCTTTGAAGACATCTGTGTGGAGTACAATGTTTGTCAGAAGGACATTTCTCAATGAAGGAACGGGGGAGAAGAAGAGGAGGGAAAACAAGAGGAAAATGGACAATGGAAACAAAAGCAAATAGAAAGGATGAACGAACCTGGCCGAGAGCAGGCTACACTGTGGCTCATGGCACCGCCGTAGCTCCATCCCGTGGCAAAGAATTGACCCTCGTCAACGCAAAGATCGTTCTTGAGCATAGCCACGATTTGATCGGTGAAGGTAATGTCTTCGCCGCCGTTGTTGGCCCAGCCGTTGTTCAGTCCGTTAGGGGCCACGAAGATGGTGCTGTCGCGGGCCAGGGGCCGCAGGGCGTAGAAGTCACCGCTCGCCACGTTGTTCATGGATCCGTCGCGCCAGTGATAACCAATGACAACCCTATACGCCCTGTTGCGATCATAGTTGTTGGGCAGTTGGAGGATATACTGGCGCTGCCTGCCGTTGACCGTCATGGACTTGGTGCCCGAAGATGGGGGCGCTTTGCCGCAGCCGGCCGAGGCTGACTCGACAGCCTGGACAGCGGCCAGGAGGGCTATGGCAAGGCTCGAAACGAGAACCATTTTTGTTTCCTTTTTCAGGTATTGACACTCGTAGCGGGCTCTAATGGAACCGACGAACCGTTCTGATTTTGGACTACGATACGATCACCAGGAGAAGGACGGCATTAGATGTGCCTGGTTCAAGTTCGCCCCTTTATATATGTTTGTGAGTAGGAGGCAGAGGCGTGTATAGGTCGGTAGACCATAGAATGGACACCTTGACCTGAACTACATCACTTCGGTCACAAGCATTCATTAGGTAATTTGAGCCAGCACTCAAAATCCCTTCAAATGGACCTATTCAGCAACGACACACTCAACTCAACTGCCGTGTTTCCTATCCGAGCGAGCCTTGGAACTCATCCCTACAGAGGCTATTCACTTGGTAGGTAGCTACTAGTAGTCACAGACAATCCGAGTCAGTCACTTGCCGTACTAGTATCTTCTATCCGGGCAACTCGGAGCTGTCAAGACACTTCCCAATCGAGCTACGCAAGCTCAATCGCTGAAGCCGCCTTGATGGAGATGTCAAGGCCAAGGCTAGACAGAACAGAATCAACTGGAATATCGAGAAAGTTGACCGACTTGGAAGTTCTGTCCGACGGTCGACGGTCGCTGTGTCGCATACCACTCATGGCACTCAGCCTCTTGTTGAAGCGCCCCAATCGGGTCTTTTGCAGTGATGTCTCGTCCGGCACCGCACATCCGCATCCGTAAGGAACCTTAACGCCGGGTTTTGATATTTAGCCAATATGCAGTACCCGGGATTCCGGGCAAGTTGCTCGGTGCGTAGTTCCGCACCTCTTGGCCTGCATGTAGTTAAGATAGCTAATGTAGTGGGAAACACACTGAAAAAGTTTGATCGGTTGGAATTGCGGGAAGGACGAAGAGCCAAGCAAGACTGTCGTAGTGACCTCACTGGCCTAATAAATACACGCTCGACCCTATAGGCTACGATTGCTCCTTCCCACTCAACTGAGGTAAGTACGATTATTGCTAGGTACTACCTTACTCACTACGGTACCTATCAGAACTCAACATGGAAACCTCGACCGGCTCTCTTTCTGACTAACGAGGTGACAGGATCTGCATCACGGTTATATTCCAGTCTGGATATAGGATAATAGGAGTGTGCCCTTGTCCTCCTGGTACAATGTGGCTCTCCTCCGCGCTCTGTTCAGCGTTGGCAGTCCTAGGTAGCGCCGCAAATCCGCTGACGAGGAGGACGGCTCTTGACGACTGCCTGATCGCCGCCCAGGTCCCGGTCGACGCTCCGGGCACAGCTGACTGGGAGGCCGATGCCAGGGCGTTCAACCAACGACTTCAATATACACCAGCCGCAATCGCCGTCCCAACAACCGTTGAGCACATACGCGCTGCCGTTTCTTGTGCCGCGAAGATAGGGGTCAAGGTGAACCCAAAATCCGGCGGGCACAGCTATGCATCCTTTGGTCTGGGTGGCGAGAATGGTCATCTTGTTGTGCAGCTCGACCGCATGAACAACGTCACGCTCAACAATGCCACTCATATTGCGACAGTCCAGCCAGGAGCACGGCTGGGCCATGTGGCGACGCTTCTCTACCAACAGGGGAAGAGGGCTTTCAGCCACGGGACATGTCCTGGGTAAGTAAAGGGGTATTGTATTGTACACGTTGTGGAAGTCTTTGCCCTAGGTGCTAGTAAAAAAACATCGCTTCTAGTATCAAGTTAATAACCTTGCTTTCACAGCGTTGGTGTTGCCGGGCATGCACTACACGGCGGCTTTGGCTTCAGTTCGCATACATACGGCTTGGCTCTCGATTGGATAGCCGGCGCAACTGTGGTGCTCGCCAACGGGAGTGTGGTTGAGGCTTCCGAGTCCGAGAATCAGGAGCTCTTCTGGGCTCTCCGAGGTGCCGGATCCAACTTTGGCATCGTGGCATCCTTCCGGTTCAAGACGTTTCCAGCACCCCCCGAGCTAACGACCTACGAAGTGAACTTGCCGTGGAGAAACGCTTCTGCCATGGTCGCGGGTTGGGCGAGCCTCCAGGACTGGCTCAGCACTGGCGGAATGCCCAAGGAAATGAATATGCGCCTTCTCGGCAACGGGTACCAGACTGTGCTGCAGGGCATGTACCACGGCAACTCAACTGCTCTGCGGACAGCGATCCAGCCCCTGCTTACCAGGTTGAACTCGACACTCTCGAACGTTGAGCAGAGCGATTGGATGGGGGCCTTCTCACACTACTCCTACAGTAGGACGATTGACATTACCGGTCCATATAACCAGGTCAGTACTGCAGCATTGCCAGCATGACCATGATCAGAAGACCCAATGAGGCCCAGCATGATTCATGCCTTCTTGGTGCTGACTGTATGGCGGGCCTAGACCGAGACATTCTATTCCAAGAGCCTAGTCACGCCGGCGCTCCCCCCAAGCGTTCTACAGAACGTCGCCGATTACTGGGTCCAAAAGGCCAGAAGAAACAGCCGGTCATGGTACATCATCGTCGACATGTATGGCGGGCCGAACTCGGCCATCACTAGGATGCCGGCCAACGCCACTTCTTTCGCGTATCGTGACCCTGTCCAGAACCTCTTTCTCTATCAGTTTTACGACCGAACAATGTGGGGCTCGTACCCGTCCGACGGTTTTAGCTTCTTGGACGACTGGGTCAAGAGTTTCACCGACGGCTTGAACGCGACGCAATGGGGCATGTACATCAACTATGCTGATCCCCGGATGAACCGCACACTGGCGCAGGACGTCTACTACAGACAAGGGCTTCATCGCTTGAGCCAGCTCAAGAAGCAGTTTGACCCGGCCGAACTGTTCTACTACCCCCAGGCCATTGAGCCGGCAACTGCGTGAGGTAGCTTTCATATCATTCAGTAGATAGATAGAAAGTTAATTGCCATTGAAGACTAGTTGCACCGTTTCAACTCAAAAGAAGAGCGAGGGTTAGGAATATTAGTAAAATAGCTCTAAATCTAAGTAGTCGAGAGCCTAGTGATAGAGTTAGTTGAAGTGGAAGAAGAAGAAGCCATTCTGACGAATCTATAATATTTACGTTGCTATAGGAAGGAAACCGCTATTGTAGGAAGGAAGTTGTTACCTAATGTAGGAAGGAAATCAAGATAGTTGGCTACTCTTGATGGCTGCACTGGGCTGGAAGGTCGAAAGGTTAGGCACTTATATATAGTTAGGTATATATAACCCTAACCCTTCGGCCGTTTCTCCCTTTCCCAAAACGGTTGCGAACACGGCGGAAATTCGAGATTCAGAGTCAAATTTCACCTTTCGAAATTCGAAGCCAAGTTTGATATTTCTCAACCCTACCATTCTCAGTTGGGAAACCGATCATCGTTGGATTCCGCTCACCTAGCTACAGACGGGCCGCCAATCCTTGGCATACAGTCCGTGGCTTGATCTGGCAACTGTAGACGGCCTGGCAATGTGGCTCAAATGGTCAATGTGGCTGTGTGAGCGGAATCCAACGATGATCGGTTTCCCGACTGAGTACGGAGTATGGTAGTTGTGCCCAGTAGCCGCCGAGCTGATACAAGGTCCAGTAGGAAGAAGAATGAATGGACTACACAGTAGGTACGAAGTACTTACCTAACGTTCCAGCGTTCATGAATTAGCGCCGACACAAAGCTCCTTCCATCTATCTAGTATATAAGGTTTATTAGTAAGTTTCCGTGACCACTGGAGACCTGTGAGGTACTGCATTCTTGTCGTCAAGCTCCAACATCAAGCGATTGGCAGTGGCGTTGCAGAGAGAAGACCCCGCATTAGCAGCGATGTGAACCAACGGTTACCTAACCTACAGCTAGCGGATCGAAATGACGCGGTGCTGAGCCACAGACTCTATGTGCACTTGTGCAGCACTGCCGCCGAGGCAGCCGATCCTGAAGCCGTCCAGAGAACCAAAAACCGGGTTTGACTAGGTCGTGCACCGTATATATATATGCTTTACCCGCATGCTCAGGAGTTCGGGTCCAGATCCGATCTTGCTTGCCAAAAGCGATTCCGCTCGCATCTGCTGACGTTCAATCTTGCCGCGAGAGTGCCCCTCCCCCGCACTGCGCGGATATACCATCATTAAAAACCGGCTCATTCGACACCAATTCTCGCACCAGATTTTCTGCGGCACATCAAAAAGGGTGTTAAGACAAGCAGTCAGATCTCTCACTTTGCAATGTCTTATCCAGGATATCCTCCTTATGGCCGTGAGTGTGGACGTAGATTGAGTGCTATGAGTACGCGCCGCTGACCAGAAGCAGAGGCCCCACCAGGGCCACCACCACAGCCACAAGGGGGCTACTATCAACAACCGCCTCCCCAACAGTATGGTGCCCCGCCGCCGCCACAGGGCCAATACTATCAGCAACCTCCTCCTCAAGGTTACGGGCAGCAAGCGCCGCCTCCCCAGCCGTACGGGTCTCCTGCAGCCCAACCCTACGGTGTCCCGCCTCCCCAGCCATATGGCGCCCCTCCCCCGGCCGGCCAGTACTATCCTCCACCACAACAAGGAGCATACGCCTCACCGCCGCCTCCTCCGCAGCAGTATCCGCAACAATATGGTGCTCAACAAGGATACGCGCAGCCGCCACCACCTCAACCCTATGGGCAATCAATGCAGCAGCCCTACGGACAGGCCCCTCCGCAGCAATATCCCCAGTATGCCCAACAGTATCCCCCGACGCCTCCGTCACCCGGGTACGGTCCCCCTCAGATTATTGCCTGGAACGGCGATGCGGACGCCAACGCGCTGAGGTCGGCCATGAAGGGATTTGGGACGGACGAGAAAGCCTTGATACGCATTCTGGCAACCAAAGATCCCTTGCAGATAGCAACGATCAACCAAGCCTATTCACGACTCCACCGCCGTGATCTCCTGAAGGACATCAAAAGCGAAACCCGGGGTGATCTGGAAGCCGGGCTTGTCGCGCTCGTCCGGGGGCCTCTTCAAAATGACGTCCACCAGCTGCGCGATGCCATGGCCGGTCTCGGCACCAAAGAGCACGTCCTCAACGATATCCTACTTGGTCGATCAAACGCAGATTTGAACGCCATTAAGAGTGAATACCAACGAACCTTCAACCGACGGCTTGAGGACGACGTAAAGGGCGAGCTGAGTATGAAGACGGAGCGGCATTTCATGATTGTCCTCGGGGCTCAGCGTGCAGAGGACTCGGCCCCGGTCATCAAGGCCGACATCGATCGTGACGTGAGCGATCTGTACAATGCCACCGAGGGCAAGATTGGCACGGACGAGATGAAGGTGTGCAGCATCTTGAGCCTGAGAAACGACAACCAGATTCGCGCCATCGCGCACGAGTACAAGCAGAAATATGCCCGGAATCTCGAAGATGTCATTCGCAAGGTGAGCAAAGCACCGGACCGCACCGCACCCCTGGAGGAGCTGCGAGGTGGTCAATTATCGCAAAACGGAGCTAACGTAGCTTGACTGGTAGGAATTCTCCGGTCACATGGAAGACGCTCTGCTGTATCAGCTCCGCACGGCCGTCGACAAGTATATGCACCATGCCCAACTCCTGGAGGAGACCATGGCCGGCGCGGGTACTCGAGACGCCCTCCTAATCAGCCGAGTTGTCCGGTTCCGTATGTATCCCGCTATACTTTCGCCCCCTGGTGGAAATGCATCGTTTCTGTCCAAGTTTGATGGGGTAAAAAGATCAGTGCTGACTGCCCCCCTCACCAGATTGGGATCAGAACCATATGGCCAACGTCCGCGCAGCGTATGAGAGACGATACAGAACGCGGCTGGCACAGAGAATCAGGGGTGAAACGAGCGGTGACTACGAACGGCTGCTGCTCGCATGCATTGGGGAAGGCTTCTAAACTTTAAAGGCTAGTTCTCGGGGTTTCCTTTGGAGATCATGTCGTTCCGGCGCAAGAGGTTTTTGAATGCATCCACCTGGGAAACACATCGTATTATTGTCGAGGTTAGCAAACACTGTGTATTACTAAACGCACTCCGTACCAGGGTTGTTTATCTGAGCTGTCAAGCAGAGCATGCCTGACGCTTTACGTACCGCATTTACCCGACATGATATACCAGTAACCTTCCTTGACGTGCCGTGGCATGCGGTGCAACCATCATCTGCGCTGGGATGTTTTTACTTCGATGGTCCCCTTGCTGTTCATAGATAACCGCACACCGATTTCACATTTCGGAGGCACAAACTAGGAAACAAACAAACGTCTCACGCAGCTTGCCGTGTACTGTACAGTACATACCTTACCTTTCTTTTTCCCACAGTTCGTTGATAGTGTACCGTACTTTGTATGTACCGCACCTGGGGCCAGGCGCTCATAAATCAACTTCATGTGCACATATGGATATGTGCATACTCTTACGCCGTACTGGCAGGCCGCCATTGCCTGATATAATCACTATAATCACAGAGGGCAAAAAGCGCAGGAAAGGCATGTGTTTCAGACTTCAGCAGGAGATTGAGACAGCGTTGGTGCTCGGCTATTGTATTTTACCGTGGTTACACCGTACCTACAGTATTGTGGCTCAGGATATCACGAGAAGTCCAGCGCATTTTTCTGAGCATGATTGGTTGCAACGGATGGACGACAAGTGGGGTAGTTCAAAGACGCAGCTGCCAAGAGGCGGAGGTAACTTTATCAGGTTAGCAGCCAGTAGCAACATGATTACTGTGGTACCTCCGTAAAGTACGAGCGAAAGAGCGAAAGGGAAATGGTGGCTGGAAACGCCAAGTAAGTCCCTAGGAACATATTGATAGAGCTTCACTTCAACACGATTGCAATGTAGTAGTTGTTTCCTGATCTCACCTAGCTGCCTGTTAGGTGAAGAGGAACTGAACACAGTGGTTGGGAAGACAAAATCAAGAGAACCATGACGCTCGCAGCTTCTGATTTTGTTACACGTGAGAGAAGGAACTTGTACCTCCGTACAGACAATTACCTCAAATGTGGGTCAATCAAAGTTTGGTCGTGGAGCACAGACGTGTAGCCAACCAATGAGCTCCGATTACAAGGGTCTTACTATATGGAGCGCTAGCTAGGAAATATAATAATCTTATCGCGTCGCGGATGTTAGCTAACATAGATTCACGAACATGGGTTTAATTAGGTTTGTTAATTTTCATTGAATAAGAGGGCCCACTTACTTTAACCGAAGCCTTGACGTCCAAAGAAGAGTTCTTAACTCAAGACTTGCTCTCACTAGCGCTGTTACTCTTGCATTCCGCGCTGCAATTCTTTCCCTACAATTATAGACATAATACCTTAGCTTATCCAGTGCACTCGCTGTCCCTTTTCTGCGTACGCATTCTTTTACGCGGCAGACCGCGTGCCCCACGAAGAGGTGGTGTATCAAAGCTATTGCCGTGATCGCGACGTCCTAAACCGAAGTTTAAGAAGCGGGATCGGAAATATAGCTTCGAAGAGTTGTTGCATTTGGCTCTCCCACAACCCCTTTGTGACAAAGAGGGTTGGCATTGCTCTGGATTGTGCCGTGTTGCAGAAGCGGCGACGGAGGAGAACAAGGGGCGTGCAAAATGGCATCGTCTCCTTCATCCTCGCCGGAGCAGCCACAGCAGCCACAGCAACAAGAGCAACAAGAGCAAAAGCAAGAGCCGCAGCAAGAGCAAGAGCAACCGCAAGAGCAGCAGCAAGATCAGCAGCAAGATCAGCAGCAGCAGCAGCAGCAGCAGAATCTGGACACGCTAAGCCTGGAGGTGTCAGACGCGCAAGATACACCAGCATCCCCAGGTGCAGCAACGGCCATTGACACAGCCGCGAATGGCGTCGCTGTAACTGCTGGGCAGTCAGAAACCCTCGAGACTCGGGCCTCAACACCCTCATCGCAATCTGCCGCGCCGTCGGCCGCGGATGCCCAGCAGCCGCCTGCAGATTCTGGCCGGGCTAATTCACCAAACGCTCAGCAGCAGCGAGACCCTGAGGCAGTCAACGTTAGCGTTAGGTCCGAGACGGACCAGGCAGTCCAGGCCCAGCCGGGAAATTCTCAACCAACTGGAACCCTCGAGACCAAGACTCCACAGCTGCCACCTGCACCACAAAAGCCCACAGAGCAGCCCCCAGAACAGGTGCTATTGCAACAATTGCAACAAATCACGGAACAACACCACCAGCATCTCCAGCGACAGCAACAGCAACACCAACACCAACACCAACAGCAACACCAACACCAACACCAACACCAACAGCAACACCAACAGCAACAGCAACAGCAACAGCAACAGAAACAGCAGCAGCAGCAGCACCATCCTCAGCCGCAGCAACCCACGCCGGGATTGGCGCCGCCGCCTCCGCCACCCGCCTACCCACACGTAGCTCCGCAACCGCAACCACATCCGCCGTCGCACGCGCATCACTTTCAACAAATCGCCCCACAAACGCGCCCGCAAATCCCTTTGCATCAATATCAACAACCGCCGCCTCCGCCGGCGCCACCGGCGACACTCCCGCCGTACCACCAGCAGCATCACCCCCAGCTTCAACAGCCGCCGCCGCAGTTCCATCCGCCGCAACCTGTGGGCCAACTTCACCATCTCCAGCCTCAACCGGTCTCACGTGCACCGCTCACAAAGCCCGTCATCATGGATCCGCCTAGCATGAGAAGACAACGTGAAACCCAAGCGCCGCAGCGCTTCCCGTCACCCACACGCGACCATGCGACTATCAACCCCAAGTTTGTCGATGACTGCACGCGCATGACATACGCCATTCAACAGAGCCTGCCCGAGGCCGTCCGGCGCATTGTCCGGGACCACTGGGAAAAGTGCCTGTTGGGTTCCGAGTTTCATCAAGCCTTCATCGTAAGTTGGCTCATGCTCAGATTCTACGCTTCGCGTCTGAAATTCATTATTTTCATTCTTCTCATTTTTGCCCCGCCCGAGTAATTATCGCATTTCATAATTTGTTGCATTCACGATCTATTGATTCCTTCCTTCCCTGTTCAGCCTGACCGGTCGCGACTACCCTGTTTCATGTCATCGCGTGTCTCTCACCCGCATCTCATCGCCTCGCCGCCTTACCAGCTGCTTTACCATCAGACCAAGCTGATTCTAAGCTCTACTTCAGCTTAATGCTTCAATACATCACGCCGTCCCGTCAATCACACAACGCGCTGTTCGCGACTTTGGAGGCAAAATGGTTGCCGACTCGAGGAACGAAATCATCGGTCACTTTACCTCTGCCGATCTCGACATGGTTGCCGACCTCATCATCAGCAAAGCCAGTGACAGTTTCCTGGACAAATGCCTCGAGAAGCGCCTTTTAACTATTGAGGCTAAGCCCTTGGTCAACGCGCTTGCAAAAGCCGAGCGCCTAGGCTATGATTCAAACGATATCGTCCAGGAGGACCAACGTGAGCGCGTGATTCCCCAAGAGGCCTATCCCGGAGCGACCGCAGCTGTGAATGGCTTTCCGGCTGGGCCTGCCCAGCCGCCCCAGCACCCACTGCAATGCATGAGTTGCTTCCGGACATTCCAATACCAGTCAGCGTATGATCATGTGAGTGTCCCTTCAAAACGCTGGGCTTCGCGTCCGCTAACCCTCATTGCAGCATATGAGATACAGCGTCTGCAGAGTAATCCCTCCTACGGCCAATGGCTTTCCACACTCTTGCCAGTACTGCGGTCAAGGCTTCGTGAGGGAGCATGAATTTATAGCTGTATGTTTGCATTTGATCTGAAGGATGCCTAGCTGCTAACATCTTTTTTCCTCCAGCATATCGAGAACCAAGTCTGCGGTAAATTCGGCCATCTTCATAGACGAAGACCGGGCAGGCCTCCAAAACAGCCCCCAGTAACTCTGTCCAGCCCGGTCGCGATTGTACCCTCAATGACTTCTCATAAACCGACCGCAAATGGCAACTCGAGTACACAAGCTACGAAGCCCCAAGGAACCCCGGCGCAGGCTGGAGCGGCTAGCCGAACCGTAGCCACCACTCCCGGCTCAACCGACTCGCCCAATATCGCTGATCCATACGCGCACCTTACCGAGCAACAGATGCAGGAAATGAACGATGAACTCAAGGCCGCAGAGGCTAAATATGCTCCTCGATTCAAAGAAGCCGAAAAGATTGCCGACGAGAACTTACGGCGCGTCAGGATAGAGGGTCTTCGCAACAGCTTCGGCACCAAGCAATCCATGATCCGCAAAAAATATGGCGTGCGGCTCCGCGAGCGCCGGACCAAGGCGGAGATCATGGCAGAGAGGGAACGTATGGGTCTTAAGCGAGCAGAAAAGGAAAGGGCGAGGGCCTCACTCGAGGCTCAGCGCACCTCAAGTCCGATAACTGACACGGAGCCTGCCCCACGTCCTGCCGGGGGCAGCGGATGGACAGCTGCCAACACGTCCCGCGCAAGCTCCGTCTGGGAAGAACATAATGCCAAGCGTCGCCGCGTCGACGAGTCCGGCGCGTATCATAGCCCATATACGTCTGCGGCAGACGAGACGCTGACGCGCAAAACCTTGTCTGTATCCGAGATTGGCGGCGGCCTGTCTGGCTCGGCTGCGACCGCCGCCACCCATGACCCCACTCTCCCGCCTCCTTCTCAGCCGACAAGAGTCGACGAGCAGTCTAGTGCACGCATCGAGATTCACGAGCCGTCCACCAAACGGGACGGGGCCGCCAGAAATCACTCAGAATCCGCTAGCCCGGCTAGCTCGGACGAAGGAGTTGGAGGTGGTCGGGACGAAACGACGCCTGGCATCGCTGAAAAGGAACCAGCCGATGTGGTCGGCGACGATTCGTCCTCTTCGTCAGGCGACGAGGACATCCCTCCAACCCTGCCAACCCACGTACGGAAGAGTCTAGGGGCCGGGAGCACATCGCTGCTACAAGGCGCCTGATCAGCGACGCCACATCCATTGATGGGCATAGAGCGGCAGGTCCGGCAGGACTACATCCAATGAGCATTGATACCCCGGTCTAGTAGCTACTGCGTTGCTCCTGCGGGGTATATACCCTTCGTTCGGTTCTCAGGTGGTTTATTTTCCTTTCAGGCCCTGCTCCATCGATCGATCAAATCTCGGGCCCAGTTTCACGCCGTCACCACCGATCTTAACCGAGCCTGGCACTTTGCATGGTGTTTGTTTTGGGCAGTAGCGACCCAGGGGGGTGCGGCTGCTCCTGACAGTAGGGCTGCTTCTCCATTGCCTCTTTTCCGGCGGGGCTCCATACTTAGTCACTCAATAGCTACAACATACGGTTTTGAGTTGGGTGGAATGGCTTTCTGCTTTAGGTAGATACCAAATCTTGCGGCTGATGAGAGGAACAATAATACAAAAAAGGGGGGCTGAAACCGGTAGTCAAAATCATAATATACCCTGGATTTTTTCCGCGTTCTCGAATCGTACAACAGCAGTTCGCTTCCTTTATTCATCTGCTCCGCTGTGCATATCAAAATTGGCCTAATTCCCAAGACAATGACAGCTGGGCAAAGAGCAGTCCAGTCGATAGTGAACTGCTCGCAGGCTGGAGAAGCAAAGTAATTTACATTCGCTGTATTGTATTGTACTGTGGCCCCCTAAGTATTTACGCTAACACGTCAATCATGCTGTCATCTACTCCGTACTCTATACAACACTGCTACCAGCAACAAGCCTGCTGTAAACTGAACGGCAAGGGAGACAAAATATACGAGACAAGAGGAAAGGTGAGACTGAGAAACAAGGGAACCAAGCAAGCTTCCTGCATGCAAAGCGTGCCTACACATTTCATCAGGTACTCCGAGCGGGTAAAAAACCACCCAGCCATAACAACAACATTAGCATCGCTCGACATAACCGAGGCCGCACCCGCAGCCGAACCGTTTACAACCCTCAGACTTCGCCAGAACTCCACATCACACTTCATCCAGACAAGTAAGTACTCGCCAGGTGACATAGCCAAGCAACCCCACCGCGGCTCCACCTGACACAATACCATCCTCACCCGCCAGGAGAAACACCCCAGTCACGGTATGTATAAACTTAAATCTTACCCAGCACTAGTAACCCTCCTCACCCAGAGTGTGGTAGGCTCCCACTCGGCCTCACGGTCGAGCCTCTTGTAGGCGCGGTGGAGCTTGAGCCCGAGCTCGTACTCCTCGCGCTGCACCTCGGAGAGCTCGGCCTTGAGGGCCTCGACCTTGCGCTTCTCCTCGTCGCGCTTGCGCACCACTTCGGAGCTGTTCATGAGCTTGTCGGTCGGCATCAGCTCCGTCATCTGCTTGATGGAGCGGTTGATGTTGATGCGCCGGTTCGCCAGCGCCCGCAGCTGCGCGTCGAGCATGGCCACGCGGTCCTGCGCTTCTCCGGCTGACGCCTCGGGCGGCGCCGGCGGAAGCGTCTTGTTGACGTCCGAGGCCCGCGAGGCGGGGCGGTCAGGGGCGTGTGCTTGCGCGTGCGCGTTCTGGACGCGGGCAATGGCTGGGTTTGCGGCCGAGGCCATGGCTTGTTCTTGTTGGTGGCGGCGCTGAGAGTCGTCGTCAAACGCAAAGGGGGAGGTCATGAATTGGTCGATGGGGGACCTGATGGGGCTGTGGTCGGAATGCTGTCGGTTGGTTCGGCTACCGTTCGGGTTATCGTTATGATGCCTGGAGTCGGCGGGTAATGCGGGTACGGGGGGTTGGTGCTCGTCGACAAAGTCGTCGCCGTCTTCTCGGGTGGTGCCAGTATGGCTAGTAGCGTAGGTTGTGATGCTGAACCGGGACGGGGGCGGCACATAGGGCTCCTCGTCGGCGCTGGGCGCTGCTGCTTGCTTTCTTGGGATGTGCAGGGGTGGAGGTTGCGGCGCGTCGGGTTGGGAATAAACGGACGACACAGATTCTTGGTGTTGATGCTGGGCGGTTGCCTGCACCGGGTACGGCTTCCTGCGGATAGTAGATTCGGACGGACTGTTGTTGAACAGAGGGCTCGGAAGAGCCTGGTTACCTGCCAGAGCTTCCTGTGCGAGCTCCCTGGCGGCCAGCGCGGGCGCGTCTACTGCGAACGGAGTTCCTGAGAGGGGAGGACTCGGATAGCTTTCCCCGGTAGGGGATTGCAACCGCGTCCCAGCTGGAATGTGCTGGGACGAAGAGATAGTTTTCCGGACCGTCTCCTGCGGGCCAACTGGTGTGGCTGTTTCAGGAGGAGGTGGGCTCATTGGTGGCGTTTGGCCGCGCCGTAGCGGGCCGCCCAGCGTAAGACCAAATTTTGAACCAAGTCCAGCCGTCGCCGCGGTACTCCTCTTTGAACTCTTCTCTGGGATTCTGAGAGGCGGTACTTCCGGGTTATCGTGCACAGGATCAACTAGAGCAGTCCGCCCGCTTGCCCCGCGCCAAACAGGGCGCGATGATGTGAATGCGCCGGCGGCGGGGTCTGTGTTACCCTCCATGGAGGCCGCCGCTTTCTTGGCAATCCTCCGAACCCGGTCACCAAAAGACGGAGGCGCCGTTGTGGGACTGCTTTGCGGCGCCTCCACTTGTGTTGTGATTCCCAAGCCTTGGGCAAAAGCCGCTGGGGTGACCTGTGACGGCCGACCCCGGGAGCTGCTCGTCCGTTCGCCGGTAAGTGGATCCCACCGTGGCGGTTCGCGGGCGGATGGATCCCGCGATTGCTGCTCCGCCGGACCACGCTGGACCGAGTGCACACCGCGGGTTGCCGCTTCCAACTGTTTCCGGCGTTCCCGGCGCATCATGGGGATGCTAGTCCCCCCATGGTTTTGCGGAGAGCTTTGTTTAGCTGGCCGGGGTTCTGGGGTGATGGTCCCAACCGGTCTCGTACTATTCGAGTAGTCATTTCTAGGCACAAAAAGGCTGTCATCCTCGTCTATCGGCGAAACCTCGTCCGACAAGAAGCTATCCCCGGGTCGGCCGTCAAGCTCCGGGGAGCTTGGCGGAGATATCTCATCGGTCTCGCCGTACCGGTAACCGTGCCTGGCCGCCAGGTTTGCTGAATAGCCGGGAAACACGCGGGGAGAGTTTTGTTGTGAGTAGATGGAGGATGCTGGACGGTAATTCGACATGCGCGCCGTCATTCGGCTCGGCTTGGGCGGAGCTGGCTCCCGCACGGGGTGATCGGTTTCGCTATTTGCGGGATGCTCGTGTCAGCATAATGCACCGTCCCTTGAGACCGTCAACGAGAGTTGAACGTGAGCAGCCAACAGGACACTGGGGGCTGGAGCGATGCTGGGGTTTAAAATGTCGTCCACTTGTTTGCACTGAGTGGTTGCCCCAAACAAGCATGCTGCAGTCAGCCAGCAAAGGGCACAGGCTCACTATATATCCGCTCTGGTGCGACCCGCTGGGGCGGGGGGCAGTGCTGCTGTTTTTGGGTAACGAGCTAACATGGGACGAAGGATGGAATTGACCACTCACTAATGAGACTCGACGAATTCTCTCGGTGGCCGCGGAGGAGCCGGTCCGCCTTTGATGGAATAACTGTATCCTTTGGATGCATTCCGAGTGCTGTAATTCAGGCCCGTCCATACCCCGCCGTCTTCGGGCGCGACACCGCTCCGTTTGTGGGGAGCCGTTCGCAGTTTGTCCCACATCGCGGGGTACCGGCTCCCAACGATTCCTTCCAAGAATCCAGGTACGCGCGCGTCGCAGCTAGCTTGCCGTCTGAAAGCTGGTCTTCTGCGGCCCTTTTTCCCTTTCCCAATCCTCCGAGATTATTCTGCCAACCCAAGCATGGGAGAGCGGATAGAGAGACCGGCCAAGCGTAAGAAGCTTGTCTGAGCGTTGGTTCACAATCCAGGGGCGCATGAACCAGCCTATGTCCGACGTAACGCGACAGCTCTGTGGCTAATAGCAAGACGGGTCAAAAAGGCTGCAAGCACGGTGCTGATGTTGCTTCTCTGTAGTGCAAAGCACGAGAACAGGAGCTGAAAGCCAGAATTCAGGTAAGAGGAAGCGGGCGCATCAGGTGCTAAATATCAGTCAGAATTCAATTTGAGTCAGTCGTCTTTGTTGACTTCCGGGCTTAAATGGAGATGCAATCTGGAAGAATAAGATTATTGGCGGTGGCCGTTTCAATTCCCTTTCCACATGGAGAAACTGTTTGAGAACCAGGAAAGAAAAGTCAGGCCATGGGTTGAAGTTGCCTAGGTTCTTTTCGCTAACGTTCGTAAGGATGCGATTGCACCAGCCATCAGGGCAGCCCAAGCTTGTAGCGGCGGCCACCACTGTATGTACTTCGTACAGTAGGTCGCGTCTGTTGGCCTTCATCAACGGCAACAATTACTGGGGGCGTTCTTTCTAGGAGTGGTGCCGGGTTGCTGGGATTGCACTCCTTCTATTGGCCCTCATGTGTTGTGCTCGTTAGGTGAAACCGCCGTGTTCCCGGCCTATCCTTCCCCGAGAGAAGCAGAGAGGTTCTTGATCATTTCCTGGGCCCGCCACGGCCCCTGAATGAAGACATGCAGACGGGCATTCTTTGCCCTGAACCAACTCGTCTGATTAGAGCCCATCATCACTTCATCAGCCGCTCACACCATTGTCGATGGTGAGCGCACTGCCACACGGCTGTGCCACATTGGCGAAGACATGGGAATGCGGTAAACCCTGCGAGCCGACCTAGACTTTTGACTTTACCTATATATCTGAACATCTTGACAAAAGCCATTGAAACCATTGTCGAACACTTGCAAAAGCCTTCTTTTCGCGCACTGTCGGCCCAGTTGCATTTTCCCAAATTGTTCACATCTTGTTTTGGATGGACGGACGGGACGGACCAGGGCATCGGTGTGTTTCACCATTTGAACTAAGGTACTCCTTATGTATAGACAGGGCTTCCGTTCAACCTGCAAATTTCCCGGACCTTCTAAGCACTATATTCACCGCTATGTTCGGCGAGCTGCATCATTTTTCAGCAGCTCATTATCAAAGGATGTTACGGGTGCTCGATTCAACCACACAGCAAAGTTGGACGGAGCGTCCGGCGGCGGCGACGAGAGGTTCTCGGAAGCACGGGCCCTATCCTCCGCTTCCCGGCGCCGATCAGGGGCCGATCCCGCGATCTATTGATCCAATCACTTCTTATGCCTCTCCGGTTCCACTCACCACTGGCCCGAACGAAGCAAAGCAGAACGTCCAACATCTTCAACAGCCTGGGATTCAACAACCCTAGTGTGCTATAACGAGCTCGAGATATCTCACGGCAAGCCCGGAGCGGCGTTCCAAGCTGTTAGTCTTCAACTCTCGCGAGGCGGTTTCACGGCGCAGCCATGAGGTTTGTCTGCCACGCCACACTGATCCATATTCTTCCTTGCAACGTGGAAGAGCGGACTTTGCTCATGATACTTAGCCCTTCCTGTGGCCTTCGTACACTATGTACGTCTAACCTCATTCATACCTGGTGCGTTGGAGTTGCACCGCTTGAATACACTTATATATGCTACAAACAACCTAGCGTTTTGGTATTGTACTGTATGTACATGCAATATCTTGGAAATCTGCAGATAGCTACAACCTTGGCAAGGTCGATGGGCTCGGGCTATGCGGACGTAAATCCTTCCCTGAGGCCATGGCTGCAGTGAGATCAGATGGATGCAACCCACCTTCCCCCAACTACCGTTTGGGTATCCTTAGTAAGTCACAGCCAGCTGGGACAGGTGCTTACTGCGAGGTGCACCTGCCCTGATCCGAACAACAAGAAAGAGCATCCAAGAACAACTGGAAGGAAGCCGAAACACAGTACCACTAGCCCGTCGTCGCCCTTCACCGCAACATGCTGACCTTACTAGTACTGTGAATTGGGCTTAGGAAAATCACGTGTACTTCTGACCACCAGCGTGAGCCAGGCTAGGGTCATGAATATTCCACCACTGAGCGGCTCCTGACCCCATCAATGATCCAACCTACCTACCCATCATGTTCAGGATGTCTAGCATCTTAAAGGGCTGGGATAGCCTCACCACGTACATGCTAGCGACAGCATGCGTGAGCTTTGCTCTGGTGGCTCCATGTCTGGCAGACGAATTTCAGACACCTCTAGACTCCCATGCAGACTCGGGATTGCAATGGAAGGAGTGCGGTGAGGTCAATAATCACACTCTCCAATGTATGGAACGACGCGCATGATGTTCCTGGCCTGTATGATTCTGAACCGAGCTGACACGGTTAGAAGGTTCTCAATTGAATGTCCCAATGGATCATTTCAACCCGTCGTCCGAAAAGACCTTTTCGATCCCCGTCATCAGAATGCTCGCCAAGAACGCATCTGCCACTGGAGATAGGCACATCTTTCTGAATCCCGGGGGCCCTGGAGGTATGTTGTAACACTGGGTCAGTTCGTGTAGCATTTACTGATATGTTGCAGCCAGTGGAGTGGGCTTTCTTCGGGGATCTGCCTCGCATCTGAATAAACTCGTCGGGGAAGGCTTGCACTTACTGAGTTTTGATCCTCGTGGTGTACGCGGATCGACACCGCCAGCCGTATGCTACGCGAGCAATGCCCAGCGTGCTGCCGCGTTTGCCAGCAACCCCTGGGATTTTGAGTACCAAGCTGGCGAGATGTACACCAGGGCCGAGAATAAAGCAAAGGCCTGTGTAGACATGATGGGCGAGTATGGGAAATACATAAACACTCCTCAGACAGCTTCTGATATGACCTCTATCCTCGACGCTATCGGGCAGCAGAAGATGTACTACTGGGGCCTTAGTTGTCTGTTTGCGTCCGTCCCTGTTTTCGTGATCAAGTCGACTAACAGGCGCAGATGGAACCATACTCGGTCAGACATATGCGCAAATGTTCCCAGAACGGATCTCGCGAATGGTAATCGACGGCGTTAGTAACTTGAATGATTGGTACAACTCCTTCCACTTCGACGAGTCGTTTATCGACACGGACAAGACTTTTACCGGCTTTATCGAAGAGTGCTTCAAAGCCAGAGAAGCTTGTCCGTTGTATTCAATCCGAGGAGGGCATTTCCGGTCGGCTGGCCAGCTTCAGTCCTATATCGACGACTTTCTACGCAGGCTAGAAGAAGAGCCCATTCCCGTTTACTTGAACAGCACCAACTACGGGGCCATTACCCGACGGAGTCTAGTGACCAACGGGATATTCTTCGCCCTGTACAAGCCAAAGACCTGGCCCCTTCTTGCACAGAACCTGGCTGACCTTCTCAACGGCAACTCAACCCCTGCTTACAACGCATACTCCGAGTCATGGCTCACGGATTTCCTGGTGGACGACTCACCTACCTTTGTTGTCATGAACGATAACCGGAAATCTGGGCCGGACGCCCCAGTTCACGGCATCAAGCCGGTCCGCAATCATACCCTCTCCAGTCCGGAAAGGTCGGTGTTGATATCGAGATATCAAGGATCTGACATCTACGATCGGGCCTCCTGGTCGATTCCAACTACCCATGACTTCCACCCTCGATACCGCCCTGAATTTCCCCGGACAAAGACCGCTGAGCCAATACTCGTCCTATCGACGACGTGGGATCCTGTGTGCCCATTGGCATCCGCCAAGGAAGCTCAGGATAGCTTTGAAGGGGCTCGCCTCTTGGAGCAGAAATCGTACGGCCACTGTACCCTCAGTATGCCTTCGCTCTGCACTGTAGGATATTTGAGGCGGTATTTCAATGAGGGAATACTCCCTGAAGCTGGAGCGACGTAGGATTCCACTCCTGTCCCAACGGGACTTGGCGGCCAGATACTGACCGGACAATTAGGTGTGGCATTGATGCTGGGTATTTTCCATCCTCTCAAGGATTTGGGGTGTCTACTAGGACCAGGACTGTCGAAGAGGAGGATTTGCTCAGCAGTCTTCATGCATTGGCAACTAAAGATGTCTTACTTCTCAAAGGGCCAATGATGGCTTGAAGACAAGCCAAGCCAGGCTCAGAGGAAGGGGTCGTTTCAACGAACTCGGGAGAGATATATATCATTATTCCCAACGAAGAACAATGTACTGTAGTCTGAGCTTGTGTTCAAACTAGGTGGTGCTTTATCTGCTCTAACCACTTTCATGACAATTAGATACTAGACCGTCAAAGGCATGAACTTTAAGCATGAGACGGACTACAATAGCTAGGTTTGATACGATACCGAAAGAAGCAGTGGCCACGGACTGCCGAATGGCCATACCGTCTTATGCTTGGGTGTACATATCTAAACCTTTGATTCGGAGGTGGGCATGAGCTGTAGTACCTGCAGTGCTTTCACTCACTGCTTTGAATCTTTCCCAGTGGGGGAAACGCTGTGGAGGATGTGAGGAAGGGCGTCACCTAGCACGGATAATGTCTACACGACACCGTGACCACCGAACATGCATGAATTGCACCTATGCCTGGAAGGTTATATGATTGAAACGGGAGGTGCCAAACAGCCATCAATTCACCACTCTCCCTGCGCATCTCGATCCATGATTTGCCCCATGTCCTCTGTCAGGGGAAGCAAGCGCTTCAATGGCGGGACGCGTGGTACTGCCCCAGATGGCTACCTAAGTACCTTACCTTAGGTTGGATATCAGTTTAGGTGACATAAGAGGGTACAACCAACTGTAAATACCTTTTAACACAGCATCCGACTAGCAACAGATGATAGAGTGACAAAACCGTACATCACAGCGACTTTATGACAGACTCGATGAGCTTGTTGTATCGGGTATCCTCAAGTTCACCAACTAAGGAGTAGTACTACGCAAACAACTCCACCCATTCCTTTACAACCTTCCGCCCGAACTCCCGTCTATCCAATTACTGACCATCCTTATCCAACCTCCCCTCCGACACCCCCGAAGGTGCCGGGGCATCATACACCCTCGACCTTCCCTGCGGCGCAAACGTTTGCGCGCCGTTACCAATTCCACTCCCCCTGCGATCCTTCCTCCCAGCGCGGCCGGCCTTCCCACCTTCCGGTCCGCGGTAGCCCTCGGCCGTCTCGACAACAACAGTTGTAACCATATCCATCTGTATAGCCAAGCCATCGTCCCTGCCAGTGGCAGCGGGCATCCTCCCCGCACCGGCAGGGCTCTTATCCCCCGACGAACCCGACGCAGCACCTCCAAGTCCCCTTCCCAGGCGGCGCCAGCCCATGCCCAGCCCTTTCCTCCTGCCCCCGTGGCCTATCCTCTTGAACCAGCCAAAGTTCCCTAGCCCCCCAGCCCAGTCCCCACCTCCAACAACCTCCCGCCCTACCCTGCTACCGCTCTCCCTCTTGCTCCTACCGCCAGCCGTGGCCCCGCCGCCTTCGACCCAGACCAGGTTCCCGTACCTCCGCCCGGCGGGGGTCCGCATGAAGGTGAAGGTGTCCAAGCCCGTCTCGGCGGTGTCTACGTCGGCGCTAAAGAGCAGACGGTGGCGCGTGACGCCCCAAAGGAGAACGTCCAACCAGCCGTTGGACGTGATGAGCGCGGCGGCGGTGCAGAAGTACGAAATGGGCACGTCGACGCCGGCCATGGTGGCGATACGGCCCAGGGCGAGGGGCAGGGTGCAGATGACGTAGATTACCGGGTAGAGCAAAAAGGCCTTGTGGTGGCCGCCTTTGTTGGTGTTGCTCGTTAGGGCTTCGGTAGTGGCGGGGGTTTCGGCGGTGGTGGTGGCCACAGGGGTTTTGTCGGGGCTGATGGTGGGGTTGATGTTGATGTTTGAGGAGCTGGAATTGATGCTCTCGTTGGCGGTGGCAGAGCGAGTCCGGGTCGGGTTCGTGCTAGGTTGGCGGTTACGAAGGCGGCTGGTCTGTCTGCGGAGGGAGAAGAAGATGAGAGAGTAGAGCACGCTGGTTACAGCGAGGGAGATGAAAATCCAGAGGTAGTGGAGGACGAGACGATAGTCTTCATACTCAATGTTCATCCAACACTGGGCAATAACGCGGGATGGTTAGTTTGGAGAAAAACCACATGAAAGGAGGAGTCGAACTTGAGAAGACGGCTTACCCATGCAGCAGCCCGGACGTATAAGCCACCAGCCTCCCTCCCATTGTTCGTAAGAGCGATGCCGAGAATGAACATGAGGTAGTTGAACACCCAGAGCCCAACCACTGCGGCGTAGAGAGCCCATTGCGGTGGAGTGTAGTTCCACACGACCACAAGATAGGTGTGAACTGCAATTGCAGTGATGAACAGGCTTGATGACAGGTCGCCCGTCGAAACTAACCACCCCTGAGCCCAGCATGTTGTCGTCCGAACAATGATGGCGTTTCGACCGACCCAGGAGGCGTTGAGCAAGAAGGCTGCGGACTGGTGGATGTCGGCCAGGAGAAGGTTGTAGATCAGGACCAGGAACTGGTTGGGATGCGCCTTCTTCTGTAAGGCGCGTAGCGTCGGGACGCTCTTGGGTCCCTCGCCGACAAGATGGCGTTCTGCGAGCCCTAGTGACAGATCAACCTGCTCGGTTGCCGGTTGCCCATTTGATTGGTGTGTTCGTCTCCATGTTTTGAGGTGCCATCGCACGAGTTTGTAGGTGAGGTAGATCAACACCAAGATCGAGGAGACGAAAGAGAGAGAAGCCAAGACGGTCACGGCTATGAGCCCATCCCGATGCGGTGGCGGAAGAGGGTTGAGGTCGTCGCTCTCTGGTTTCAGGATAGACAGAACGCTGTTGTCCGCCATGTTCAAACCAAACAGAGCCCGTTAACAACAGAGATGCAGCCCGCGTATTAACACGGACATGGCCGCACAATGACAGGAGTCGGGAAGGGGGCGGTTCCCAAGACTTTTGCTGTTGATGGTGGCGGACAAAAAACTACAAGGTCACCGGCCCCTATTTTTTCTTGTCATGTAGATGGGCCGAGATCAGAGATATCGTCGGCCGGGCGGAGCGGAGCGGCCAAGGGAGACTATGAAGATATGAACCCGGATCTAGGAAAACTGCGGAGCAAAAGGCAAGCAGTTCCTTCGAGCTGGTCCGGGATTCCCTTGTCTTTGCGCCGCAAGGACATGCTGCAGGTGTCGACACTTGCACTAACGCTACTGTATGGGTACTGGATAAGGTGTGGTTGTATGTAAACGCTGTGCCTCAGAGCGCTTGACAAGTGGTTGCCACTTTCGGGCATCCCAGTTCGCCCAGGACCCAAACACCAAACCGGTGGGATCGCGGCCCATGCTCTTAGCGATCCCGTTTTAATTGATCAGAATGGTGGAATCTGGTGCTCGGTCCTTCCGCTAGTGTGAGTGAGCGGCGTCTGCCCTTGTTCAACGTCCATTGAAGGTGCCGACAGGCTCATGCTGACAGTTCTTGGCCGCCGGGCTGCACCTTGCACAAAAGGGCCACATGTTCCTTGGCTGGCCTTCACACATGTGAAGACTCGAAACACTACGGTATCTCTGTCGACTCGAGGAGGTGGGGTAATTACCCGAAGGTGGAAGGAAATGGAAGGGGATGCTTGCAAACGCAGAGAAACATCGTGGAAAAACACAACCCTCCCAGACGCATGGAAGGTGCCATGCAGTACTCCGTATTACTGTGTATACTGCTGGTGTAACGTTAATAACTGTCAGCAAATAAGAGCGATGAAACCGTCTGCTCCATGCTCAAGACTCAAGAGTGATGCACGCAGGAACCAAACTTTCTGCGTGCCTGACACTTGGATGCAGAGTTGCAGACCTTACTCAGACACCAAGCACCTGCCTAACGTAGCTAGAATTCAAGCGTTAGCTTGGTGAGAATCCTCCACTCCACGTGTTTTGGAAGCCACAATGAAAGCCACTAACGGGTGTCTGTGCGAGCTCCACTCTGTAGCCGGTGGGCCTGGCGCTTTTGAAAAGCTCCGCATTGCGGCCGAATTGGCCCGATGTCTTCGGTTAAAAGGAGCCTAATCAATCACGTGACTTGTCAGGTGGTATCAGCAGGACCCAAGCAGTGTGCCTCACATTCATTGGCCCGAGATGGTGCAATCCGCGCTAATCCCAAATTGGTCATGGTCTGGAAAAGGGCACCTCAAGAACACTGACGACGTCCATCTGCTTTCTTTCCTCCTACAAATGCATTGCTCCTTTGGCTTCCTCGACGTTGCGAAGCGTTGTCTGCTTCTTTCCCCGATCTCAACGGTACGGCTTTTTGCTCCCATCTAAAACGGGTTCGATTTGGCCACTTTCAGGAGCAGAGTGTGTAGACGCACCGTGCAAGTTTCCTGTTTGGGAAGATCTGTTGCGTTGCTCACTCACATGGCGGCCAAGAGTTTGACAAAGGCTTGTTCAGGGGCAAGTAAACAATCTCTTCCCGTTCTCGTCTCCTGAGGAGATGTATTAACCGGCTAGACGATGCTGCCATAACGATGCTGCTAATTCACACATCCCCAACGCCCCGTCACCATTCCCAGGTCCCTACAGTTTCGTCCCATATGCGGAGTAGTACCCGCAGTCCTTGGTATGGCTCTTCTTGCCCGTCGCCGGGTCGAAGATGTGGCATCCTCCCCTGGCGACATTGGGCGGCGTGTACAGATGGAGCGAGACAGCGAAGTCGCTGCCCTGGTTCCATACGCGGTGAACCCCCAGCTCATCTGCCATGTACGCCACGTCGTTTTCCTTGTGTACTCGCTCCGATATCACCTTCATTGGCTTCTCAGTCTCTCCCTCGGGGTACAAATATCTTGTCTCTGTCAGGTTGCCCCGGAGGATCTTCATCAGGCAGTGGGCGTTGCCGTGGTCGTGAATCGGGCTACCCTTCCCTGGGGACCAGACGAGCACAAGCTGTGTTTTTGTCAGTCAGGGGAAAAGCAAACAACTCGTGGCACATTTCTACTCCCACCTACCAGGTTGCTTTTCCCATTGCCTTCGTCGACGAGGTTCCTCGTGTACCCACGGCTCTGGTCACCCATGGCGAACCGGGACCACTCTGCCGGGTCCGAGTCATAGTCCTGCATGAGCCGGGTCAGGTACTCTACGTCGACATCGTCCGATGTGAGGCCCGAAGACGGGCCCAGAGCGTCTTTCAGGGCCTGGACAAGGTCGTCAAAGCGATTGGTAGCGGCATTGGCAGTACACGAGAAGGCCAACGGGGCGTTGGCCGTCAGCTTCTTGATCATACCGATTGCCATGATGAAGATGTCGCTAGAGTTGCGGTACGGCAAGGGTACGGATGCGAGACTTGACGATGGGTTGACGACTACTGAGGAGGTTTGCTGGTGAAACTCCAATTCAAGTGGGTCAGCCGATGGATTCCGAATGATCTAAACCAACGATATTCGACTGCTGGTGTTGCTATCGGCCTGCCTAGGTACTGTTGGACGAAGCGTTTGATGAAAGGACAAGATGTTTGGGTTGCTGTTGGGATGCTGTATGGGATGTTGTCTGGGGCTGGGGAGGACGACTCTACGTTGGGGAAATGGCGGTGTCGGGAAGGGGCAGCCAACGTGGTCCATGATCCAGCTTGGGGATTTGCATTGCTTGCGGCAAGGGCCACAGCGCTACGGATCCGGTTGTACCGATCTCGGTGGGTCACCTGTGCGCGGTGAGCTGGAACATGTGACCTAGGTGGCTACCTGCTTGTCAAGTCAGACCAGCGGACCAAAATGATAAGCAGATCGAGGAATGTTTAAATTGAGCTCGGATTGATCGTTATGAGACAAATGTGCAATGACAAAGACGGTATCGGGCTTGGCAGAGAATTCTACGGAAGTTTGATTTTGAATAAAGTTGATCTTGCAGTCCATAATTGATCTGCTTGCACTGCAGGAAATAATAGCCTTTGCGATAAGGCTAAGGCTGCTGCAGACATGACAACCACAGAGTGTCAAAGGTGCGAATACCGTAGGGGGATGCCGTTCATGGAGCTCAAGGGGTACCCAAAACATGATTAAGAGACACTGTACCACCAGCACACCCTTAGCTCATGATTTCACCGGTTTAAGCATGTCTGTTTCAATTCCCATTTCAATTCCCATTCAGCCCAATACCGAAATAGAGAGAAACAGTCATATACAAATAAACACAATTGCATCGTCTCTCAATATAGACAACCCAACGCCTCACCTCCTCCTTTCCAACTCAACCGCCCCATGCTGACCGCCCACCTCCGACTCCAACTCAATATCCAACTCCTCCTCAGTCCCTTCCAAAATCCCATCACCTGCCCTGCCCCTCCCAAGACCACCTCCCCTCTCTCTCTCAATCGAATCCCTCAACCGAATCCTGCCTCCGCTTATGCTACTCACCTGATCCGACACCCACCCCGCGGCAGCCTTCATGAACTCCCACACCCTCTCTTGCCCGGCGCCGCCGTCGTCCGGGTCGCGGTGGTGGTGGTCGTGCTCGGTTGCCGCCTCGGCTTCGGCCTTGAACTGGTACTTGAGGCAGTCCTTGACCGTGACCAGCCCCGCGAGCCGGCCGCGGTACTCAATGAGGATGACGCGGGGCCCAATCTTGCGGAAGATCTCCATGACCGTCTCCAGCGGGAGGCGCGGGTGCACGGTCAGAGGGGTGGGGTCGACGTAAGGGGTGAAGTCGATCACGGTTGAGGCGGAGGTGATATAGTCGTCTGGATCGGACGAGGAGGAAGCCGACGCGACCGCGGGAATGGGGGTAATGGGAGTGGTTGGGATGATCGGGGTGGGTGTGTCTGTTGTCCGGGAGCCGGTGGCGGCAAAGGTGCACCGCGCGAGCGGGATCAGGGCGTGTTCGCGCTTGGCGCGGTCGACGGCGTAGCGTAGCTCGGTGCGGCCGATATAGCCGAGGAGTGTCTTGGAGGTTTCGTCATCGACGATGGGAAAACCTTGGTAGTTGTCTTTGGAGAGAAGACGCTCGACGGCCTTGAGCGTCATGCCAGTTGAGGGGATCGAGATCACGTCCGAGATCATGGCGTGGGAAACGGGGACGCCAAAATTGTGGTCTTCTTTGTTGTCAAGGTAGGGGAAGCCGCTGAACCAGATCATGCGGTCGGCGATGCCGCCTTTGCCGAAGAGTTCGCTGACGGCCTTGGTGACCCCTACTACGATCATAGTCGGGAGAATATAGGTGAGTGCGCCGGTCAGTTCAAACATGATAACGACGACAGAGACAGTTATATGCATAATGCCGCTCAGAGCGGCAGCGGCGCCGAGAAAAGCGTATGTCCCAGGCGTGATGCAGGGAACATCAGCAGGACAGGATGAGAAAAAAGCGCTCTGGGGATGCGCCTCGTGGATAGCCTGGACTATGATTCCGATGGTTCGGCCAAAAGAGGCTCCAATTGCCATCGAAGGCACGAAGATGCCCGCAGGGACCTTGCAGCCGTAGGATATGATGACAAAAAAGACACGGATAACGGTGGCCAGAATGAGCGACATCACATTTCCGAGGCGCCGCTCTGGCTCGCAGAGCCCATGATAATCTTCAGCGCCCTCGCATTCCAAGAAAAGGATCTTCATACTCTCCGTCATGTCGATCCTCAGAAAAGCGTTGGGGTAGCAGACGATGGCGGTGGCGGCTGCCAGAAACGTGGCCTCGAGGATGGCATATTGGGACAGATACTTCTTCCGGAACGCCTGGACCCTGAGATTCCACTTGATGACAAAGGCCCCATACAGACCGCCAAAGACACCAATGATAATGTAAAACAGAACCTCAAAGAAGTGCCAGGATCGGTCGTACTTGACTTGGAACATGACCAGCTGGCCGGTCCGGAAGGGGTTCATGGCGGCTAGCACCGCCGTCGCAACCAGAGCGCAGAAATAGCTCCGCCACATGGTCTTCAGGGGAAACTGGCTGGACATCTCCTCGAGCGAGAAAAGCACACCGCCGATGGGGCTCCCGAACGCGACGGCGACACCGGCGGCAGCACAGGCACTGAGGACTTCACGGGTCTTTGAGGCGTTGCGCCGATACTTGGCAAAGAGCCTCGAGATGACGTTTCCGGTGCAGACAGCATAGTGGACGCTGGGACCTTCTTTTCCAACTGAAAGGCCGGAACCGATAGCAAGGGGTAGGGCGATCGACTTGATGATCAAGGTCCACAATCCCAGGAAGCCTTTCATGACGAAGCCGGCAATGATGCACTTGATCTCGGAGATGCCAGAGCCTGCGGCGTAGGGGGCGTACGACTTGACGAGCGTAGCAGAGGTGAAGGCGAAGAAAATCTAACGCGAGTCAGCTCATGCCTTCGCGGGTACCGGGTTATGGCTGGCGGTAGACGGACCGCGAAGAGGATGTACAAGATATAATTGAAGGGTTCAAAGCCCGTCCACCGGTGCCATTCGACACATCCTTGGGTGTTCTTAGCATATCATCGCTAACGGGGCTGGGGACAAGGGGCAACCCGTCGTACCATTGTCTTCGCCCCAACAGCAAAAGTCCTCGTTGAGATAGAAGGCGGTGGTGCAATAGCCGAGCTTGATGTCAGCTAGCCATTCGGTGACAATGTTGAGAAACGCAGCATTCAGCCCTATCGCGGCGCCGATAATCGTAACAACGATCCACCCCTGCGCGGCGTCATAGGAATCCCATATTCTCTGCCTCCAGTCGAAGTGGCCCGAGCCGTAGCGCCCAGCCTGCCGTTTTATGCGTGCCTTCCTTCGTAATTGCTGCTCTCGTGCGGCGTCCTGAACCCAGTCTTGTCTGCTATTAGTACCTAGCCTGTCCTGTTCTGAGTATTCCGCAATGCGACAGCAAGAGACTGAGCTCACCGATCGTGGTAAAGTCCTAGTATTGAAAAGCCATAAGTCAGTCGCTAGAGTCTACGGATAAATGACCACCGGCAAAGCCAACCTCATAACGCTTGATCTTTGCAATTTCCTCATCTATCTGCTGCTGCGCGGCAACCCCCTCGCCATTGTGGTTCTCGCCGAGCTCGGCATTGGACACAGCGAAGGAGAGCTGAGAGCCAACCGAGGGTCGCGGTGGAAGTGTTGTTAAGAGCGACGGCGATCGAGGTTGGGAATTCATGGCGCTCCTAGCCGCCTATCCAGTACTGTCTATCTGCGCAGCATTGGGGATGGCGCATTCGTGCGTGCGAATATGTTGTGCAAAGAGGACGGATTCGATCGCAGCGCAACGCTGCTGAGCTGCAAGGCTGACGTCGCTGATGAACGACCCTGGGAGACGGCCTGGTCGCTGGCAAGGCCTACATACACCCCCTGTCACTGCAGCGCTTCGGCCAATCCTAGCGAGTAGGGTGTGGAAATGAAATTTTCAAATTGCTGAAATTCAGCCGTTTTTGTGAAATTTCGAATTTCAACCCAGGCCTTGGATTTCAGGATTTTCAGACAGGAGATTTGTTAGTAAGATAGAGCATGCCAGAGCCATAGAAGTGGTGACTATACGAAGAAATCAAAGATTGAAGTTGTTGAAGTGATGGAAGTTGTGTCTGGGAGTGGAAGATTGGCCGTAAGGCACAAGACTGTCCGCGATGATCACCATATATAACCCTAACTAGGAGTCTACTTTTTTGCCGAAAAGGGTTGGCGTTTTTTCATGAAATTTCCATTCGCAATTCAAGCCTGACTGTGAAATGAAATTCAAAAGGGGGTCTTGAATTTCCACACCCTACTAGCGAGTACCGCGGGGCAAGCCCAGGCATGGTTAACGAGGGCCTAGTGGGGTGTCGCGTTTTACGCGCTCTGGATTCTGGAACCACTTTCGTTCTCAACCTCTCTTATAACATCTGAACTCCGGCATTGTAGGCAAATTCCCACCGTAATTCTCCTTGCAAATCTAGTATTCAGTCTTCCTGACATCACCCTACCTTAGTTTCTTAAGCATCTTCGTGATACATAAGCTTAAGATCAACCCGCGTCACACTCAAGCCAGAAGAAGCACTTATACTCATTGGCACCAATCTGGTTCCTGGCAGGAATCCAATATCGCTGGGACCACAATACCTCTTCCCCAACATAACCACACGGACTCATCGATCCAACACACAAAATGCCCTACAACACGACGGCGATTCCTCCCAGGAAGGAAGTAACAGGCCAAACCCTGCTACCCCGTGAGTATACCTCAATCCATCAACGAGTTCGTTGCTCACACTATCACAGTGACACGAGTAAAGAAGATTGTTGCCGTGGACCCAGACATCACCGTCTGCTCCAACAATGCCGCCTTCGTCATTACCCTGGCAACAGCAAGTCCACCCGCCCAGTCATCTTCCTCAAGGTCGCCAACAGCTAACATGCTCTCACCCACAGGAGATGTTCATACAGTACCTCACCGGCGAGGCACAGAACATGACCAAACTGGAACGGAAGCCGCGCAGGAACATCCAATACAAGGATTTGGGTAAGACAGACCGTCATCCATACTCTCTCCATGACAAGCCTAACAAAACCCTGCAGCGAATGCCGTGACCCACCATGACAACCTCGAATTCCTCGAGGACATCATCCCCAAGACGGCTCCTTACAAGGAAATCAAGGAAAAGGCTGCAGCAGCACGGGCAAGGCTCAAGGGCGAGAAGTCGGCTGCCACGGCCGGCGATGAGGAGCGGCCAGCCGACGGCATGCCCAACGGCAAGAAGTCAAAGTCCATCATTAACGGCGGCGACTCCTCGTCAACCAACGGCTTCGCGCGGAGCCGCGTGCTGTCTGCGGATTCCGCGGATCCCAACGCCCAGCTGCAGGCTGAAATGATACAGGCACATCAATCGCAGGACGGTGATGTAGACATGACCGGTTAGATGCGGGATAATTGCATCATCCGTCGATAGTGCCGTCAAAAAACACACTTTTGTTTTCCCCTGTATTCCCAGATATCAACAGCTGGAAGGACACAGTCTCGACGGTGTCGCAGAACCGTGTACAGGTACAGTACAGCTTCTGCCGCTGAAGACCCAAGTAATCTTCCCCGTCACGTACCAACCCAATGTCGCACCAATATACCTTCCTACTCCTCCATCGTATCCTCAACCAAAACCCCCGGCGGCAGCCGTCCCTCGTTCAGCGCCTTCTCCAGCCTGATGATCTCCTCCAGACTGTCCGCCTTCTTGATCATATCCTGCAGCTTCTTGCGCTCCTTGTCGGTAAGCTTAAGCCGTGACAATTTCGAGTTCTGCCCTCCAGCAGGGCCGTTGGTCCCCGCGCCGGCGTCGAATGTCTTGCTCTTGATGCCCATAATCTGCAGCAGAACAACCCATAAGTCAACCCAAACGCGTTCCCTCGCATGGTTGAGAGACCAAAACCACTCACCCGAGACGCGAGCTCAGTCGGAGCGTCCGCCGAGCCAAACAGCTCCCTCGCCTTTTGGCGCTCGGCATCCTTGACCTTCTGATAGTCCAGAAACCGCACGGTGGGACACCGCCAGAGGACCCAGTACCTATAATTCTGTTGTTTGCACCACCCCCATTTGGTCAGCAACTTTCTTCTTCCGCAATCCAACCTCCACCTCCCATCCCTCCACCCGGGCCAATGCCACCTCAGAAACAAAACCCAGAAAAAACCCACCTCCTTCTTCGTAACCGGATTGTCCATCAACACAAGGTGCGTCAGCCTCGGGAACTTGCCGAGCACATCCAAATCCGCCAGCTCAGCAAGCTGGTTGCCCGTCAGGACCAAGTTTCGCAAGTTCGGCACGGCGTTGGGCAGGGTAGGCTGGATGGCCGCAACACGGTTGCGCGCGAGCAAGAGGGTGCGCACGCGCGGGGACAGCGGGAAGTTGCCCAGCAGCTGGATGTCGTTGTCGGTCAGGTCGATGGCATCATGAGGCTGTTTATCTCCATATGTGCCAGGTTAGCTCGAACAGACCCTCTTCGCTGGCGGAGGGCGCGGGGGAGGGGGGTAAAAGACGAGAGAAAACGTACGCCGGCAACACCCAGATTCTCAATGGCAGGTATTCGGTGACCTATAAACGCGGCGCAAACCGGGACGTTATAGCGTATCAACTCTGTGCTTGCATAGTGGAAAAGATCAAAGTGCAGTATCTGCTCTTTTCAAAAACGCACCTCGAAGATCAATCTCCCGCTCCTTTAGCGGGTTGAGGTAGGAGAGGGATTGGTGGATGAGGTCTGCCGTGAGCCTCATGGTTGTATTTTTGCTGCCTTTACATGTACTCCGCCGCTGGTTTTATCTGGTATCACGGTAGAAACTCGATCGAGAATCGTCAGACGGTCGTACACTTGTTGGCGCCGGTTCGGGGTTGTCTATTGCAATTCGAGGAGAAAATGCGACAATACTTCTGCGACTGTTGGGGTGGAAATACAAGCGAATTCGGTAGGCTGTCGCGAGAATGGTGTTGAAGGTTGCTTATCGACAACGCGACTTCAGCTCCCTCGATTGACATTTCGCTGTTCGCAAGGTTGAGTTCAAGGTGGGGCAGGTGTCAGAACCCTAACCCTCAATTCCCCCTTATGTACTGTACAGTACATAGAGTACTTACGTACACTCCAGGATACACTAGGAGATCAAGTTAACAAGCACACCTACGTTCGCAAATACTCCATATCAATTTTCAAAAGCTACCAGACATCTATCTCAGTGGGTAAATCAAGACCTGAGCGCCTTTCCATCCAGACCCCAACCCCAACCCAACACCAGGCTCGAATCCGACAACCAGACCATCCCCACATCACTGGAAAACAAACACCACTCCACTCCGATCCACCGACACAGTCATTGTATAAGGTGACTCAAGAACAGCCACATCCATGACCGCATCCAGGTGACTCTTGAGGAGCTGCTGCTGCTGCAACGAAATAACCGTCGACCTCGGCGGGCGGCTCGACCTGCTCCCCCTGGACGACGGCGAGCCCGATCCATTCCCGGTACCCACCGCCGGTGCCGCAGAAGTCGAAGATGGCACCGACCTGGGCAGCCGCTCGGTATTCAGCGTCATGGACGTGGTGGGATGACTAGCCGTGTAGGTTGGCCTGCCCTCGTCGGGCTGCAGACCACTAAAGATGAGGCTGTTTTCGATGCGCGAGAGGTCCCAGAAGCGGAGCTTCTTGTCCGATCCGGCCGTGATGATGTAGGCGTGCCGCACATCGCGCTGCTCCTCGGTGACGCCCGTGCCCACCAACATGGCGCGCACTCCGCGATCGGCGTTGCCCATGACCGACGGCTCGATGTTTGTCGCGAACCGGCCGAGCATGCCCTCGGGCTTGTCCTCGTCGACCTCCCACGCCTCGTACCCCTTGGGCCCTTCTTTATTGCCGCCGACGCGGTAAATCTCGCGGCACAGCGTGCGCTCGAGGTCCCACACCGTGACTTCTCCCTGTCCCGTGCCGCCGGCCACGCAGACCCACTTCCCCCTGCCCTTGGTCGGGTGGATACAGAGCCGGTAGATGGATCCCTTGCCAGGGACGCCCCAACCCTTGAGGCGCATTTTGAAGCGGAGATCCCACAAGTCGAGGACGCCATGGGACGTGCCGAGGCAGAGCCAGTTCCGTTTGCGATCGACACAGAAGCAGGTCGGCGTCCCGTGGTGCACAGGGTTTTCCAGCTTGTAGAGGAGGGTCATGGTCCGCAGGTCGATGCCCAGGATGACGGACTTGTTCGTCGCGAGGATCAAGACCGAGTTGGCCTCTTGTTTGAAGTGCTCGCACCACACGGCGAACTCGCCGTCAACGAGCTGGTACTCACGCAGCAGGCGGAGCTTGGGGTACCGGAAGTTAATGCCGCTCAGGACCGTATCGACCTTGACAACATGGACACTGCCATCACTTGCGCAGCTGATGAAACTGTGTGTGTTCTCGATAAAGCACAGCGCGAGAACTCTGGCTCCTGGCGCGTGTCTGTGCGTTAATCTGGACCGGTGGGTGATGTTACGCTCAAGTCTTGCGGTGTCCCAAACTTTGACGCAACCATCGTCACCGCCCGTAAGGAAGAATTGGTGATCCGGAGAAACAGCAATTCGGTTGATCGCCCCATGGTGTTCCGAGAAGGTGGCCACAAGCTTGCCCGAAGGCTTCCAGCCGTCGTCTCCCGGCTGGGATATAGACGCCTTGTTGGACTTTCGGCGAGTGATGGGAGTGACCAAGGGCCCGTACTCAAGGATGTCATGGGGATAGTTATCAATGTACATGTTGTCCAGCATCTTGAGTATGTTAGGATCGTTGCCCGTGTATGTGTGGTTAGCCCGCAATCGTGTGTTGGCGTATGCCAGGGGAGATCCCGCCTCGGGGTAGGAAGCATTGCGCGCCGGTGCTTGGCTGAACGGCCCCTCTAACTCACCAAACGCATTGGTTTCGGTTGTGCTCGTCTCAGGCCCAGACTTTGCGCTATCTTTGCGGTTTAGAAGGCTCATTGCGCTTGGCTGATGTCGCAGGTTCTTTCGTGTCAAATAAGGAGCGTCTTGGATCGAGCTGTCGTCGTCCATTGGCGACAGTGCGCCAGTTTTCCCTTGCGCAACGGAAGCCCGCCTAGATGTATCCCTTGAGCTTTCTCCTTGCTTCCCTTTCACCAGCTGGAGATTAGTTTCATCCTCCAGCGGGCGTCGGCTGTCTACAGATATAGGAGACATGTTATCTCTATTGCTAGGCCGAGACCGGTGAGTGTTGAAGGCCGCACGACGCCTCTTGCCCAGGGGGTCATCGATTGACATGGATGCATCGAGCAGAGCGTCCCTAATGGTTCTGGGGGCATTGCTTTCTTGATCCATGGCAGCTATGGGTTGTCGGTATGGCTCCTCATCGAATAAAACCGTCTGAGGGGTAACACCAAGGCTGCGAAGAGGAATGATATTGTTGAGGGCGGTTGCATTCACCGTCTCTTGCACGGCAGAGTCTCTTGCCTTGATTTGGCTGAGGCGCCAAATAAACTCCCGGAGAGCAAGTAGCTTTGGTTCGTCTTCTGACGCAAGTCCCAAATTCCTCAACTTATTCAACCATTGTTCATCCTCCTCGTTTCTGGAGCCCCTGGTCAATCCTTGATCTCCAGGGACCCGAGAGGAAGAGACTGGTGCCGATACAGCGTCACGAAGCCTCTTGAATGGTTTCCAGAAATCTCCGCGGTCGGTCTTCGAGGCCCATAAGAGGGCTTGGTCGAACACTGACCGGGATAAAGGCTTCTTAAGTTCGTCAAGCAGTCCAAGCTCGGAGAAGTCCGGTAACCTATGTGGCTTGAGATAGGGCGCCAGCTGCGGTTGCACCATCACTCGGAGGTAAGCTGGACTCAAAAAATGCTTACCCGCGGAGAGAAACTCGACTGCTGACTCGCGAACCCAGATGTTAGGGTGCATGGTAAAGCGGCCAACGATGCCGACAAGCTCGAGGTACGTCTGACTCATCAGAAGACCTAGGTTTGCCAACTCGGCCAGGGAGTGCAGCGCGCCCTGCACCACATGCTCCTCAGGATCAGTGACTGCTTGAACCATGAGAGGCAGGATGAACTTCTCAAGGGTATTGCTGCCCAGAAACGCCGAGATGCCAACGATGGTATCAAAAAAGGCGCATTTCAACATCCAGTCACGGTCGTTAAGATAGGTGTTAAGATGAGTGAGGATGATATCGTTTGCCTGGGCAACTCCAAAGAATATACACAAATCAGGGACTGAGCTAAGGAACGCCCGTCGGACGAACGGGTCCGAGTCCTCAATGAGCATCTTGGTGTGGGATTCAAACAGGTCGGTCAGCTCCCGACGAGCATTATCAAAGACGTCGTCGAAGGCGGCATCGGCTTCCTCGCCCGGTTCGACTTCGGGATCGGCAAGGGCAGTCGAGCCGTCAGCTCGGAGAGCCGCGGCCATTGCTAGGAAGCGATCCGCCGTTGTTGCAAGCACTCCAACGCTAGCCGCATACGTCGCCCGGACGATTGGACTGGGAAGCTCGCGCCCGCCCACCAATGCTAGCTCCATCCTGGGCATGATGTAGTCGAGGAAAATCTGCGAGTTTACGGGGCTGATAACCTTGACAAGATCGACGAGCTGGGTAATGGCTCGGACGGCGGAAACAACAACCATGGGGCAAGAGTCGTTGAGTAACGACATTAGGTAGGGGAGCACCCGGTCAAGCTTGGCTTCGTCCGTCAGCCGCTCGGCAAAGGCAAGAAGTATGTCGCAGGCTTTGATCTTTGCGGTCGCGTGTGCAGTATTGCGGAGGGATGAGACAACAAGAGTGAGGAAAATGAGGGTCCCGTCATCTGCAGAAGGCTGTCTGTCCCCGGATACGTAATGCTCGTTGTTCTGTATGTTCAAGCGCACAGGGAAGTGTCCTAGTCCAAGTCTTGGTGATAATTGCTGCTTCCCGGCGTCGTCCTTATCATTCTGGTAGCCGAGAAAATATGAGATTTTGTCAAAGTCTAGCCAGACCCGTTCAATCCGCTGATCGGGCTCGGAGACATTCCTGGGGGTGCCTGGTGAAGGATATGGACCAGATAAGGGTTCGGTTATGAGCTCCATGTACTGATGCAGGAAGCTGTAGAAGTATCCCGGAAACACCTTTCCCTTCCAAAAGTCCAGATACTGCTCGGCCGAGTATCGCTTTTGCGGATCCAACTGAATCATATGAGCAATCATTTCTCGCAAATCCTTGTCCGGAATGCGGCTCAAATGAGAGATGGCCGGATCGTACTCGCCCTTGCGGTACCTGTAAAGCTGGCTCAGGTTGAATATCGGGGTCTCAAGAAACAGCTCAGCAATGACACAACCGGCGCTAAAGACGTCCATGGCCCACGTCACTTTGGCATTCGGATCCGCTTCTTGATCCGGGGGCAAGAACCGCTCGGGGGCAAGATAGCACGTTCTCCGACCTGACGTGTCGAAGAAGTAGGAGAAATCAGCGGGGTTATCCTCGGGCAACATGACGCGTTTGAACGACGACGAGAAGTCGGAGAGGTAGAGCCAGTTCCACGACGTCACGAGCGTGTTCTCGGTCTTGATATCGCCGTGGTACACTTCCTTGGCATGGCAGTCGCGCAGGGCGCAGAGGAGTTGGAACGCCAGCCACTTCTTCTCCACGTCTTCCAGGAACGGCCTGGTGCTGAGCCGGTCGTAGAGCGAGTTGTGAAAGTATTGGCGGACGAGATAGCCATTTGTCTCGGTCTCTATGGCGCGCTGGTACGGCAGGGCGTTTGGCACATCGGCTAGTGCTCGTCGCTCGCCTGGGAAGAGCAGCAATCAGTACCGTATTTGGAACATCACACACAGCGCCGGCTCAGCTTACGGATAATCTCTTGCTTGTATTGCTCCAGAGACATAGGGTATGGCTTGACGAAGACTTTGGCCAGCACGACGCCATCGTGATGTCGCGCTCGGATGCTCTTCATGAAGCGCGCGGTGCCCATTGACTTCTCGTAGACCAGATCGGCGAGCTCGGGAACATCGATGCCGGCGGCCCCCGCAGGAGGGGCCGCAAGGGAGAATCCCTGGCCCATTGCAGGCGAGCTGAAGTGCTGGATAGTTCAGCTTTCGGCCAGCGTACTACCTAAGGCAGAACCCGCAGAGGGCGCCGCGCATCTTGCCGTGACCTCGGTATCGGAGAGAGCGTCACTTGGGTGCAGGAGCATCGGCGTTGGTCAGTCCGAGTGTGCCAAGCGCGGGTCGAGAGGAGAGGCGGGTTAAGTAATCTGGGGACGGAACTTTGCGGTAAATACTTGGCAGTAATGTAAGTCTCCAAGATGGTCGATGAGGAAGGAAGCGAGTGAGGGTGTCGTCAATGCTGGCCAGGCAGCGGACGGACAATCTGCCGATAAGATAAGCCCTAGCTGACCTCTCCCTCCCGTCCTTGGTCTCGACCTTTTAAATTCAGGTGCATCAGCGACCCACCAACGCTGTAGTGCACTGTACGTAGGCTCGGGACGCTCGGTAGGTTGCTTCGTACAATACAGAGGCGCCGAGCGTACTCCTTCCAAAAACTCTTCACCAACCAAAAATTACTAGGCAAACCCCAGGCGTACAGCCAGGCTATTTGAATAATGTAGAATTTGTAAATCGCATTCAAATCCACAAATTAAATACATATAAGTAAACTCTTCCCTATAAACTTCTTCTATATACTTCTTCTTCTAATTATATATAACGTACTTGCATAACGAGTTGCGCAGCATAACGAGTTGCGCACTTTTCTTGCACCTGCATTGCTTTGTATAAGTCAATTCAACCACAATACCTCTAA